GAGGGGACAAAGGTTGAGGTTACTGTCGGGGACATTGATTTGGATCAACCTAGAGCTGTGTTATCTCAGTTGAACGTTTGGTTGAATGATGAAGGTCAAGGTGTGGAACGAGGGGTCCAATTACGGAAGAGGAAGAGGATTATTCCTATGTGGAAGATCGTTGAAGCTAGTGAAGTGGTTAAAAAAAATTTGCCAAAGACAACCGGACTTCGGACGTTAGACCCAATGAAGGCGATTCCGCATGATGATATGGTGAAATTGCTGAAACTTTGTTCGGAATGGCGCCATAACCCAAAGTAAGTCCTTTGTTTTTTGAGATAGAAGGCATGAGTGTATATATTTTGTAATTGTTGTGTTCTAAAACTTTTTTATATTCATAGTTTGGTGATGCAATTTGGCAACGTGGAAGCTGAGATTGAATTCTTCGCTTCCCTCGTCAAAGCTGACGGTTGGCTGAAAGGAGATGTAAGTTTAATTGATTATGCATTTGTTTGAATGTGCATAGATAATGAGATTGACAAGGAAAACATGTGCAGCACATTGATTTGGGCTTGTATCTCATCCGGAAGCGACAACAACAGTTGGAGGAAGTAGAAATATCGGATTGGACAACGACCGATGTATTTTTTATGGTATGTGATGCAGGATGCATAGGACCTAAATTGTTTAGTTTCCTAATTGATTTGTTAGTTTCCTATATTCTTTAGTTTTCCAAATCCTAGTAGGATTTCTAAGTTAGTTTTCCAAATCCTATTAGGATTTCTAAGTTTCCTATTTTATTAGGAATAGGATTTCTGTTTTACCTGGGGATTTTAATTCTATTCTCTCTAGGTTTTAGTTTGCTATAAATACCCCTGTGTAGTTCTTTACAATTCAGATTTGAATATTGATTAAACATTCCTTTAAACTCTCTGATTTCTGCCTGCCTTCTACCTTTTCTTCCCTTCAGCTTTTCTTATCTGTTATGTCTTATTGCTCTAAGTGTTTAAACTAACACACCCAGGGCTGTGCTACATCAGTATGGCATAGGCCTTGACCAAGTGCAGTTAATAATTACAAATTATCCATACTTGCTTTGTGGAGTTGTTTAACCATTGATTGTTTTCTATTTCACAGAATCACATCCATACTTGCTTTGCGGATAATAAAAGGAAAAAAGAGCAAGTTGGGTGGAAAATTAGAACCAGTTTAGTGAACGTTGTAAATGGCAAGGTTCCGGCTTGTGGATTGGATTGGCAGAACACGTATAAGGTGTATGTACCTTGTATGTTGCAAAATATAAGCATTGGGTGGCTCTAGAGATTGATCTGATTCAGTGTGAAATCAAAGTCTACGATTCAATGGTTTCACTCATTCCAGATCAGAGCTTAAAGGAAGAACTCGGCCCCCTGTCAATTACGATTCCAAATCTTCTGCACACCCTCGACTTTTATGAAGAAGGTGTTTACGCGAACGAGTGCACCCGAGATTGGTGGTGTCCATGGCCAATACATCGTGTGGATGTTCCACAACAGGCTAATCAGTGAGCACAACTTTTTATTTAATTTTATTACTTTAATTTGTCAATTACGTTAGAATGTCATTAGTTGAATTGATCGAGTTCTTGTTTTGCTTCAGAGGCGATTGTGGTATGTTCGTGTTGAAGTACATTGAGCTGTTGAGTGCTGAGATTTCCTTAGCTACTTGCACCTCGCAGAACATGCCATTTTTTCGGTTGAAGTTGGCTGCAGAAATTGCACGGGGAGATGCTTACATGCCATGATATCGGTTGAACTTGGTTTAGGCACATGATGATGAAATAGGTTTTGGGAATGTCAAATTTCAAAGTCATGTAAATACACAATAGAGACCCATGGGTCCTTTTCGAATTCCACCTCTGCTCCTGAATTCTTCTTCGTCTTTCTCAATCTTAGTGTATTTGTGTACAGAAATTTAGATTTAAGTTACTGGACAATAACAATTAGAACCAAAATAGTGGCAAATATTATAGCGGATGCATGCTTTCATTTTCGATTAGTGTGATATTACGCTATGTTTATTCTCATATTGTGCGAAATGTATATGGAGCTGGTTGCAGAGCATAGAAAAATGAAGAATCTGAAATGGAGATGCTGAGGGTTGGTGAGGAGAAAAGTAAATGGATCTGTAAATCTATTGCACGTGGGCAATCTAAATGGATAGGCAGATGCGTTTTTGAAGTTAGACACATGCCATTCCCATACATAGAATGTGCATATGGAGTGTAAAGTTTTTTTTGATGTAATGAAACAAACATCGGTGTAATATTGGCCTAACTCCTTCACGACATTTACCTAACCTCAACCAAACTGCATTGAATTGGGATTTGAAGACTGCATATGTGAATTGGATTTGAAGAATGCATATTCACATAGGGACTGATGGCTTTTTAAGTGTATTACATCATTGCAAAGTGATATGTCATCATTTATCCAAGCCACCATTCCAAATATCAGATCCCAATCTTTAAGCCGTTCAACATGCCTTGACTTAATCGCAATGGGTTGCATCTTAATAAGGTAATTCTGTAAGGGGAATAGGCGCTATGGCCTCGCCTCCAATATTTTATTCAACCATGCCCTCCTTATAGAAACACATGAAAAAATGTCCCCAGGTGCAATGCTCTAAAAACTCCCTATTGGTTCCGCACTGCCCCTCGGGTTTGAATCCCTCTCTCCTTTATAATCGGTTAATAAATTGGTTGATTTTCTTTATTTTATTGGTTTTGGGCAACTGAGTAGCATAAAGTAATGTATATTGGTGCGTCTATATTGCATGTCTGTTGGGTCTATATTGCTTGTCTATTGCGTGCATATCTTACATTTATTGCGTCTGTATTGATTTGTATTGCTTACAAAGGAAATAAATAACAATACACAGGCAAAAGACAAGCAATATACACGCAATAGACATGAAATATACAGCAATAGACATGCAATATACATCAGTCCCCAATTACATCAACCATAAGGAAGTCGTATTGAATAGGAAATTCTACTTAACAGTTGATCTTCCTACTAAAACAAAGAATAAGGACCGTTTCCCCCCTTAAATGTAACTTGAGTCCTACTTTTGCCCCCAATAAACATGCAATATTGGAGCAATAACATGCGATATACATGCAGTAAACACTCAATCAACTTTCAATAAACCTTCAATATCGTTTCAATAACATGCGAAATACATGCAGTTAACAATCATTAAACCTTCACGAAACATGTAAACAATCAATAAACCTTCAATAAACACTCAACATCGGAGTAATAACATGCGAAATACATGCAGTTAATAAACTTCAATAAACATTCAACATCATGCGATTTACATGCAGTAAACAATCAATAAACAATCTATATACGCTGAATAATTATGCAATCTTCAAAAAAAAGGTATTGTCTTATTATTGCATCGTATTGGCCCTGTATTGTCATTTTATCGTCTTCGTATGACTTTATTTTTTTAAAGTAAGTTTAGGAAAGTTTTTACTGGGTTTCAGACAAATAAATGCTTTTGTTTCAAACAATAATTTAAACTCAATGCCAATCCACCTATTTGAAGAACAAAAATTACAAATTGGGTTTGAAAAGTCATTGGTGGTGCGTGCAACATGTGTTTTTGGGGAAAACTTTTACAATCCTTGAAACCGTGCACTTAATTGGTCATTAAAAGAACAAATAATATGACAATTGATACAACTAATAAAACTAATACCAAGTCCTTAATGGACTTCAGCATATTAAGCATTGTAGCATCATACGTGTCAGCTTGCTGATCTGCTCCTTAATGGAGTTTTACATCAACCCATTCGAATCCATTGCAACTGGTGGCTCCCTAATTTCAGGCATCATATATGCAAAATAATTCTGTCAGAGTTAGACCTAGGATTTTTTTTTCACCCACATACATATTCTGGAAATGAGAACTTACATGGGAGGTTAGACACTTCCAAAATGGCTTCCCTCGATTTTTATCTGATTTTGAAACCCGAAGCACCATTGCAGCTCCACAATACTGACACCTCTTTGTTTGAGCGGGAGATGAAGACGAAGACATGTTGAATCTTATCACTTGTACCTCTTCTCACTCAGATCTTCTCACTAAAACCTCTTCGGACTCATACCTTCTCAGTCATACCCCTTCACTCATAAGTCATAACCCTAAACTTCTCACTCAGCTCTCTCTCATCTCTGCCCAAATCGAATTATATCCTTCTTTTCTGTGTGTGGGTGGGTTGGTCACGATCTGGACACCTGTACCGTCAGAATTGTGACACCTTTTACTCCGAAAAGCGATATACTATTTCACTACCAAATATTAATCTTACAATTGAGGGGACACTGCTTTAAATATATTATTTTCTTTATATTTCATTAAGGCAACTAGTTGGATAAGAATCCGTCATTTACTAGGGGTAGTGTGGTGTGGGAAAATGAAAAAGTATCTGATGGGACTTTCTGTCACTAGTCAGTAATCCATCACAATTGTATCAATGAATTTAATGGCGGGAAAAGCCTAACAATGGCTATGGAAATAGGTTATTAATTGACTTTTGGACGGTCTGACTCCCTTTGCATTTCGATGACGTTTTCCTTTCGCCTGTCTTATGTTTTGGGTGTTGGGTTCAGTTTCTTTAAAAAGGGTCAACTTGGAAAAACCCCAAGGAAACACATTTTCAAAACAGTGCAAACAGAGGCTAAAACAAACCCAAAACCCCGTATATTCTCATTTCTCCCCTCTTGCAGTCCTCAAATCGTTCCATTCCAAAAATATTTCAATGAATTCGAAACATTACACTACAGTTGGAGGAAAGAGAAGGAAGCATCTCCATCTGGATGTGCCTCAAGCCTTCATCCGAATTAGCTTGGTTTAAAGTGATGTTATACGTGGCAACCCAATCATCGGAAGATCTCTTTCGTATGGCATCTGTGTGCCCATTGTTCAATACGTTGGCAAACACTCCACAAGTGTGGAACACAATTTCAATGGAAAAGTACCAAGACCATCCTAACTGGTACTATGCCTCAACGCAGGTCCGGCATTTCGTGGAACAATGCAGGGCTTGCGAGAACCGTGAGGCGATATTTAGAGAAGCGTTCGACGTGTTTTTCAGGCAGGGTAATGTGGAAGCATTGTCTGGGATGCGCGTTGCAGCCACGGCAGGCCATATGGAAGCGGCATATCTAGTTGGACTACTTGGCATGTCCGGAATTGGTCAGTCAAAAGAGGATGCATTAGAATTCTTGTGTTCTTTGAATCAACGTAACAACATTGATATGAAAGGAACCAGGGATGCTTTGAGACAACGATTAAGCGGAATTTTCTCTGTTGGAAGACATATCGTAGATATGTTTCACTATGGGAAGATTAAGTTCAATCAGTGCAGCGCTTGTAACAACAACGACTGGTGTTTTGTTATTCCAGGCTGGCCTAGTGAAGAAAAGATCAATCCTGCCTTCTGGACTTGTTGCAATCGATGCAAATGGCACCGTGAGAGTGTTTTTTGGTTCAAGGTGATGCGTGTCTATGTTGTGCCAGGGAATCCATACCCTTATAATTAGTTGTAGTATGTTTCTACGGTTTTTATGCGTGTCTATGTTCTACAAATGTTGTTTTCTATTTCATGTTTTAATCTATTTTGTCTGGTGTTTGTGCTGTCCTAAACCGTTTTATATATAAATGTATAATATTTGTTATATAGTGGAATTATTACTGACATAATTGACGGCTACGAATGACATTTTACTGACACAGATATTTTGCACAACTGCAATCTTAATATTTGGTAAACGAAAACGCATGCATGAAGTGAGTATGTGTCTTTTCACCGGTTCTTGGGAATGACATTTTCCCACTTAACATATCCCAAATGATTGGGTTACACGTTTCTTAAGCAAAACTTGAACAGTGAAAGACTTTGAATAATTATTTCCTAATGTTGTAGAATGGAAAAAACGTCCCTTAAACCTAAAAAAGAAAAAACATTAACAAATTGAAGAAGAGAGAAACTGATTAGCACCAGAAATGGTCTATTCGCACGGAAAATAAAATTAAAATTAAAAATTTGGAGTAAATATAATTAACAAATGTACAAGCTAAAAAGTAATATAACAATAATAATAAAAATAATTTTGGATAAATAATAATAAAATACTAATGTAGCGTAACCATAAAACAGGGAATTCAGGAGGAAGATGAAGTCTCAATGAGCTCGTAGCATTTTCGGAACATTATTGTGATTTTTGTGTATTTAGTTATGAATTTTCTAAGAAAAAGTCATAAAATAATAATTTATGGTAAAAGGTAAGGATGTGGCCATTTTGACTGACGCACACTTGTCAAGGGGTGAAAGGTGAGGGGCTGAGATCGCGCCAGGTGTCCATTTGGCAATTATTTTGCCTTTTTTAGTGCAAAAATCTTTGAAAAAATGCAATAAATAGTAGAAAAATCCTAAAAATGCCCCGAAAAATACTCCCGCCTCCTTGTGACGTTATAAAACGAGGGGAACCCATAAATCATCCATTTCGCAATTAAAAATTCAAAAATGGTTTACATAACTCACTTTCCTCTTAACCCTAAGTATATATGTTTGTTAACTTTAACTTCAATAACCTACTTCAACAAGCATCTCCCGTTAATGTTCGGAATTGTTTTTTAAAATGCGTAACCACTAATCGGGGAATTCAGCAAGGGAGATGGAGTCTCAATGAGTTCGTAGCAATTTTCGGATCATTTTCTGATTTTTGTGTATTTAGTTATGAATTTTCTAAGAAAAAGTCATAAAATAATAATTTATGGTAAAAGGTAAGGATGTGGCCATGTTGACTGACGCACACTTGTCAAGGGGTGAAAGGTGAGGGGCTGAGATCGCGCCAGGTGTCCATTTGGCAATTATTTTGGCTTTTTTAGTGCAAAAATCTTTGAAAAAATGCAATAAATAGTAGAAAAATCCTAAAAATGCCCCGACAAATACTTCGGCCTCCTTATGACGTTATAAAACTATGGAACCCATAAATCATCCATTTCGCAATTAAAAATTCAAAAATTGTTTACATAACTCACTTTCCTCTTAACCCTAAGTATATATGTTTGTCACTTTAACAAGTATATTTCCTTAATATTCGTTATATAATTTGTACTAATACAAGAATTAGTTTCCTTTCATATATAAGGATGTAAAATTATCTGTTTTGGTTATAATAATGTACATATATAATAAATGGACCACTACTTCGAAGCCATCATTGGAACTGCGCATGCGCCTAGGGCTTTGAAGACGTCAGAGATAGTCAATAAGTTGTCCATATGCATCTGCACCTAGAGTTTTCAACACGTCGGCGGTATTCAATAAGTTGTCCTTATGACGCCGCATTGGGAATCAGTAATATATTTTCTATCATGTCCAATCGCATAAACATATAATATAAAGAAATAAAGCAATAGTAGGAGATGAACCAGTACAAAAAACAATATATAACTGGTACAAAATAATGCCATAACCTTGTCACAAAACCACTCACACATGCTTTTCCATAAACCTTACCCTAACATATAATACATAAAGGCAACATTGCATATGATGCAACCATGTCCAAATCTGATACGTGATCACAAAAAAATGGACATGGCAGCAACATATGACTGAAGTAGATGGGCACTTTGCATCGTGTTATCGTAATTAAAGACATCAAAATATTAAGGTTGAAATATTCCATAGTAGTAAGCATCAAAATAGGTTTGAAGCAGAGTTTAACGAAAATTCCAGTTCCTCTGATTTGCCTCTACCCAAACACGATATTGCTGAGTATATTTGTTAACGTCGGAAACGGTAATAGATGACCAATCAAACCCGGGTACGACGAGTTTTGCATAGGACCGGAAGTAGTCGAATCCAGCTTGCATCACACGCTTCTTTGACTCCATTGCATTAGATGAGTTCTTGTATTTTTGAACAGCTACACTCCGAAGTCGTTTGTGTCTACGTTTCATGCGCTACAACTTCGCCCTATCCAGATTGGCCTGCCTTTTGTCATCTTCAATTTGGCCTTCAACAAATTCCAAACGTGCCCTTGCCCTTTGGATTTCATCACCAAGTTGAAGATGCCTCTCCTTCCAGAAAGCAAGAACTCTTTCAAACTCAAAACTTCCAACAAAAAGGTCATTCTGTCTAGGAATGTGGCATTGCTTGTCTGGTGACTCACTTGTGTTTTGAAGGCGGTCTTTGTTTGGAGGGGTGTTTATTATGCTCACATCAAACTTGGTTAGTAAATCCATTCAATGGGGGGAGAGAGTTTCTGTGGAGGAGAGAGTTTCAGTAGATGGAGACAGATTCGGTGGACGAGTGAGTTTTTTGTGGAGGGAGAATTTTTATGAAGGGGGTGATATTAATACCAATAAAAAAAGGGTTCCCGCCAAAAAAAACATTTGGTTGACAATGTATAAATGAAAAAAGGTCTCATACAATCTAAGTTTAATCCTAACTAGTTTGTTTAGTTTGGTTGGGTTCACTAACTAGATGTCACTTCCATTGAGTTTCTTTCAACCACTAACAGTGGTGTAAGGAGAGTGTGAGGTTGACATGCTTGAAAAGCAAAACCTGACACCTCTTTTTTTAAAATTGAAATAAAGTAGATATGTTGACTACACGCAAGCTTTGGTATGTTGGTCTATAAAGCTATGTTCCATTTCTCAAACGAAATTGCATATGCAATCCTCATCCTCTAAAACAAATAGGATTATTCAAGCATGTCAACCTCTTCAGGCGCCAACAACACAATCGAAGATGAAAAATTGGAGTCGCAGGTTCCGTTTCCACGTTGTACTCGCCGACCCCTTCCATTTTCAACATCATTTGGGAGTGAGGGGGACTCCGATGATCCATTAGAGGCAATAGATGCAGTCAGTACCAAGCTGGATTATAATTCCAAACTGATCAATTCATGGCACGAGAAATGTGTTGAAGACGAGGCCATTTTGGCTGATCTTAACATTAGAGTGAACAAAGCGTTCTCCCAAAAGAACAAGTACTTGAAGCTGAGTCATAAAAGGAAGCTGAAAGCTGAGGAGTTGGATGCAGTAATGAATGATGAAATTAAAGGTTGTTTGATGAACCATATGCGATGCGAAGAGCACCACAGTGAACTGGAGTTGGCATTCAACGAAGGATTCGAAAAATTCCGAGCATTCGCGGCAACTACTCATACAAGTTATAATTGGGACTATGTGTCCCCTGATGCTGTGAGAGAGATACTAGACGATGGTGGTGACATGAATGAGCATAAGCACGTCAAAGCTGCTCGGAAGAAGCCGACCGATACGACTAAGTGATTGCGGCTACAGTTGTTCTGTTGTTTGGGGGTGATCGTGGTATTGCACAAATTAGAACTATATTCCCTTAATGTCATTATCTAATATAAAATAATACAAATATCAATTTCATTTGCTTCATATATAATTATTGGGACTATGTCTTGGAAGTCATCATGTGTTCCTTCTGTCTAACATTATATTTTGCAAATATGGAAATATTATTCAATAAGCAGTCAATATCACAGCACGTTGGGAATCAGTAAAGCCCCATTATCATGACACGTGAGTCATAAGTAAAATACCATGTGCTATACATTGTGTAGTGAATGGTTTATGGTTTATGTATATATAATAAAATTCCAAATATTGCTGAATATTTATTTTGTCTATATCACTGGGGACATGAGTGACCATAAGCACGTGAGACTTGCTAAGAAGAAGCTGACCAATACGACCTAGTGATTGTGGCTACCGTTGTTCAGTTGATTGGGGAGATTGTGGTATTGCTAAGAGGGAGCACATAAAATGCTTTGCAATCAATTTTCTTTTGTGTGTGGAATTATGAGTAGTTCAAATGTTAGTGTACCCTTTAATATTACCCAACCATTCGAAATGTGATTAGCTGCAATGTACTTTTTTACACGTTGCTTTCTAATCTTTCTGTTCCAACAAAGTGCTTCAAGTATCTTTCAGTTACGAATGTTTGCAAAATCGTGCACCTAATAACCAGTCGAGCTCAGATCTTAATCACCAGTAAAACACTAGAACATAACATTCGCAAAAAGTGGGTGCTGCTACAAATGATGCGTGTTGCTGGAAATCATTACTGGTAATGGAAACAACAGCTGGCTGCTGAAAATGCTGCATTAGCCTGTCATATAATCAATGAATCTCTGTTAAAACATAATTCACCATAAACTACCCATTTTACAAGGTAAAAGTCATTGCTTCTTCACATAAATCAAAATTTGATGCTTTATCTAATGTCTATGAAAATTTCTAAATAGGGAGAAGACGTAAAATTAACATGTGTCCAAATTTCATGCAAGAATGAAACCAAGCAAATTTTCATTTCAATTATCAATGGACATAGTAAGAGCTCATCGGTGGACATGAACAAAAAAATAATAATAATAAAACTACATCTAGAAAACTTCACCTAATCATTAGTCTTCATAATAACCGGGCTTCGTATAATAGAAACCTAAATCATTGAGTTGGTCCGTGCATCCAGTAAAATTCGTCGAATAATGGGTCACTAAGATCTATTGGAGTTGATTCGTCATTGTTCGACGGTGATGTCCTGCATAAACATCAAACAGAAGCACATAAGAACTTTACCTATTCAAATTTTAGGTCTTATTATAAATAGTGTTAACATCTTACGGTGTGTTCAAATTTCTTGGGCATTGTCTTCTATCATGACCAATGTGTCCACACTCCCGACAGTGTCTAATCCCTCGCTTCATTGCCTTTTCCTTTGCTCCCGTTACTCGTTTCGACCCTCCATTGCACCTTACTCTCTTAGGGTCTTTCATATATTGTGTTTGAGAGCTGGACCCTCCAACTTCGTTATTACTTGGTCCATCCTTCAACAACTTCAACTTCACCCGCAAACTTTTTAGAGTCTCTGACAGTAGCTCACATCCTTCTTCACACATTAATGCATCCTCAACCACATCTGAAGCAAGTCGGGACATTGTACTCCGCTTTATTAAAAGACCAGGATCTGCAGAGTCTTTAATTTCGTTGCCATTTGCATCTGACACCAATCCAAATTTCGCAGTTTTCTTCCACCTCTTCAAAATGTATTTATCGGGCATATATTCAATCTGGTCCCTTCTGAACAATGCTAGGATGTGCTTGCAAATAATTCCAACAAATTCAAATCTTTTGCAGCTACACGATGCGTGGTCAGAATCTTTGACATATACGACTTCTGCCACTCTTGTTTCCCAATTTTTCCTTTCGCTCACATTAAAGACAACTTTAGAAGCATCCTTTGTTTTCAGCTCTAGGAAACATGTTGTACTTTGTATTAGTTCTTGCTCAAACTTTTGAAACATTGTCCTTGTGTACAAGGTAGCCATTTGTTTGTTCATTGGCATCGGTAGAATACATTGAGCCACTTCAAATGCATCTACGTGATCAGCAACTAAATCTTTTTGACGTTGATGAGAAAGTGCCCTCTCAAATCTTATTATGAAATCCATCAACGAATTTCTCCTTGATATGTATTGCTTGAAGAAACCATGAGAACATTCCGCTCTTTGGCTGCTTGACATTCCAGCGGCAAAAAAGTGTCGTGCGTAGGCTGAAACCCAAGATTCCCTTAAATCAAACATTGAACTTAGCCATGGATGGTCAGTCAAACCAGCCTTTGTAACCACAATATTCCATTTTGCATCAAACTCATCCTTATTGTCAGTATCCCATATGGCTTTCTGGAATTCACCCCAATACTCCTTATAAGCAGAATGTGGTAACTTAACAGAGAACTTTGATGTGATGTGCCATATGCAAAGTCGATGAAATGTAGTCGGGAAGGTTATTGAAATCGCTCTGCTCATTGCCGCATCTTGATCTGTAATGATCGTTTTAGGTTCGCCACCTGGCATTGCTTTCTTAAACTCCTCAAACATCCAAATAAACGACTCAGTCGTTTCCTTGCTCAAAAATGCGCATGCTAGGACAATTGTTTGACCATGGTTATTAACTCCCAACATTGGTGCAAATGTCAAGTCGTATCTATTCGTGTTGAATGTGGTATCGAATACAACAACATCTCCATAAAACCCGTACCCCCGTCTAGAAGTTGCACCTGCCCAAAAACATCGACTAAACCTGTTATCGCCATCTCCCTCAATCTTGAAATAAAAAGCCTCATTTTTTTTTGTTCAGCCATAAAATACTCGGTCACTAGTTCAACATCGTGGTTCCTTAGCTTCCCATTCACACTACATTCAAGATTGTAGATATCCTTTTTGATAAAACCGATTTTATCCATTCCTCCGGATTGCACCTCGAAAATACTTACCTTCTGATTAATGGGAATATTAACCGAACCCAACTGTTTTGTGAGTACTTTTGTAGAATCTGAAATACGACGGTGTGATCTCAGTAAATGCATTCTTCCTGAGGGTGTCATCTTATGATTGTGTCCCTCTGCAAAAAGAGAGATGGTATACTTCTTGCTCTCATGTGTCTTCACAACCACAATCTTAGCTTTGCAATTGCATCTACTTATTCCCCGCTGTCTTTTTCTCTCCCGAGTTTCATCATTCCGGTATGCACCTTGTTTGCAACATACAAATTCTTTTCTCAGAATCTCTTTCTTATTTTTCCCCCAAAAGCTGGAATGAAGTCGAATACCAAAGCCAGCCAAGAATGCATATCTATTATAGAAATTATAAACGAGGTCAAGCGAGTCTAACTTCATCCCAACTGCTGGTGTTTCCTCATTTCTTACTTCAGGAATGTAAACCCTCCCATTAGCTGTTACAGAGTCATCACTCTCTGAGCCCCCAGACATTTTATCCACGTATATTATTGATCTACATCTATATTACTGCATAACAAATGTTAATTCATTAATCAATCATTACTGCATCACAACTTATCAATGCATTCCACTTACACAAAACATTGCCCAAATTGACACAATACACGCATAGCCTAGCTTGTTGGATTCTGATTACACAAAACACAAGCAAAATTTAATAATAGTTATGTCATCTCTTGTGAAATAATCTGGAAAAAATAACATTAGAACCAACATGTTCAACTAAGAACTCAAATGTAATTCAAACCAGCAATTACAGAACTTCACCCAATATCCTCTCCAAATGCTTACTCCTAATGCCATTAAGCCTAAGTTTAGGATCTTTTACCTACATTTCATAATTTTCCAACCCCCCTCCAAAAAAAAAAGTATATTGAATATTCATAAGGAAATGACGCATTATTGATAGCAAAGCAAATGACGCATTATTGATAGCAGAGCAAATGACGCATTATTGATGCCACAAATGACAAATTTCTCACCCTCACAAAAAACAAATCAAACCCAACAAAATCAATCCAGCAAGAGTGAACTTACCTCTCAAAGTCAATCGGGAGCTCCGAAGTCAGTCAGCTTGAGAGAATGTGGTGGACATTAGAGAGGATTCTTTCGTAGTGGAGACTCAATCTCTACCAAAATCGAGGAACAACTGCAGCAGCACGAAAAAGAGATATGCTACTTTGCTTTCATCTGGAATCTCTTCTGCTGAACGAAAAAGAGAAGGGGTTTTCACTTGAATCATAGAATCAAAACAGGGCAATAGCTAGGTAAAAGCCATTAATCGTCATACCGAGGATACCATAGATCGCAGGCCTCCCAAGGAGCTGATGACAATGGAGCGATTATAGAGTTTGGGAGCTTTGGATCTTTCTAATCGTGGATTTGCATTACATTAAAAAAGAGAGGATTGTGTTCTTGAGTTTTTCACAGAGAGGGAAAAATCTTCAGCTGAAGTTGGGTTTCCAAACGGGTTAGATTTCAACCCGGTTCTACATGCACCCTCTTTTAAAAACTCACCGTTGGATCATCCAACGGCTCTTACATACCCCTAAAAAAAAACCCTTATAACTTTCCACTCACTATAGAAGCACTCCATCACTTGCCTGATTATAGGACTTAACCCAAAAGGGTCAGAATCTTGTTGGGCTCCAACCATGTCCAAACCCACACCCTCCCTCCAGTCGTTTGTTGAAATAAGCCCACTTCCTTCGTTGGGTCAACTCTTGCTCCCAATACCCCTATTATTAGCAAGTCCAAGGCCCCCATTTAACTCCACGTCATTTTTAATCGGAAGCAAATCAGTACAATTCCAATTTGACCTGTAATCATGCTGCTCATTTAAAGCTAACGTAAATTGCTTATAAGAATCCGCAATAACCTCATGATTGGGCTCCCAATCAATCCCCAAATTAAGACTGAGATTTAAATCCGATAATCCAGGACGTGCTTCATAGCTCAAATTTTCCATAACATGCATGTCATAATTATTAGCCATAATTGGAGCAATTAATGGCTATAAAACTTCCCCAGTACGATTCTCCTTGTTCAATCCAACACCGCCGCCATGTCCATCGGGTCGGAGATCCCAAATCTCCTTCCCAGGGGTCGACGATATTCAGGTCCAAGAATGTCTTCCTGAAACCATCTCTCATAGGGTTTTGCCACATCATCTAATTGGTATCCCTAAAACTTGTGGCATTGACTTTCAATAAGATCAAAGCATCCACATAAGTAGCAAATGTGCAGGAGTTTTTCATATCGGAGGTCAATCCATTCCACCTTACCCTCTGGCAATTGAATTGGCAAACAACGCCTTAGTGGTTTGGTAATATCTAGAGCAACTCGAATTCTCAAATAGCTTCCCAAGCATTGGCCCCGCTTGCTTTGATCGGAGACCACAAACTCCTCTATCTGCTGCCCAATCATCTTAGAGCATCTCCAACCGATGTGTCAAAAGTGCCACGTAAACAATTAACGGCTAGAAATAACATCTCACATCACTCCAACCGATGTGTCAAAGCTGATGTAAAATGAAGGCTGGAGGTTGAGATGTTATTTTTGACATCCCAAAAGCAAGATGTCAAATGAATATTTTATTATTTTTAAAAGATAATTGGCTGTTACTTTCATTTATTTTTTTCTTTTTTTCTTCTTTATCTTAAATGATTTGACTGTTACAATAATTATTTATTTGACATATCGGGTGGAGTATAAAACTGTGTAAATGTCAAATTGTCACATCAACCATCAAATTTAAATTTGATGTTTGGTATTTGACATCTCCCTTGGAGATGCTCTTACCCATCTCTCGAGTCATATAGATTAAAGGTAGTCCCTTCACTTGAACTCAGAACTCTTGTTGGCATAACAGAATTCTCGTCGGGTACACCAGATCATCTACTTCAGCAAGAACTAACAGGAAATGATTAAATGTCCATGGACCTCCCCATAATATTGTCGCCCTAGCTGCAGTCTTCTTAAAAGAGAACACAAATAAATTTGCCTCCAAGTCTGCAATGGTCACCTCCGCCTTTGGCCGCCATGGCATGGTTCGTTTAAAGGCTTCTTTATTAATTTCTTGTCTCAATAGAACTTTACCCACTAGTAGGAATCTTGGTGTTTTCAAAATTTATGCTCTGTCTGGCTCCACAACCAGTGCTTGTTGCCCCTCATCGGTGAGAGAGAAACGAGAAGCAAAGTTTTGCAACATATTCTCCATGGTTGTGAAAAGGAGAGCGAACAGAATTCCTCCCTTATCTACACACCACACTGCCTTCTTCAATCCTCTCTAACAACTATCTCGTATCATACAGGATAACTACAACCACCGCTGAGAAAACCAGCCGTCTTCTCAAGTCTACCACTCCCTGGTGTTTTTTACTCTCCTAAAGAAGCCTAGAAACCCTAGGAAATTGTAGAGAGACTCAATTTATAGTGTACCTTCCTCTTCTCCCCACTGAGTGGTGTATATCATGAAAGGGGATGGAAGTTTGCCATGACTTATGTGATGTAGCCTTTTATGAGTATCATGTGGTTGACTGGGATGCAAGTGGTTAGATATGTTTTCAAAGTTTAGTCATTGACTCATTGGGGATGCTTCCTCTGGATTTCCTTCGTTGGCTTTATGAAATTGACAAGGAAAAAATTGTAGTTGTCTAGAAGATACAAGCACATGTATTCATTGTACGATAAGAAACTTGTAGGTTTTCATTAGGGTGGGGGTTTTTCTGAACCATGGTGCATTTGGATGAGGGAAATAAACTTGAGATTTTGACAAAACTCAGAATTTCTAAATTGACATGAACCAATTCCCGTGTTTGGATATATAAAAAACCTAGAAATTTAGAAATTCCGCGTAGGAAAAAACATGGAATTTGGAGATCATAAATCCCAACTTTAAATTCTATCTAAAGGTCGTCATTTCTAAAATCCTAAGAGATATTGAGTTTTTAAAAAAGATAATTTTACAAATAAATGTTAAATTCCGTGTTTTAAATCAATCACACAAACAAGAAACTTTACAAATTCTCGAACATTAATTTCCGTCATTTATGAAATCCTTCGTACTTTTAAATTTCCTCATCCAAATGCACTGACTATTTATATATCCACCTTCACTATTTGTTCTTTTAAATGTGATCTACGAATTCTCTTGTCCAGTTTATAGTTACTGATTATTAGAGGCATGCTCAAGCTAAAACTCGATTTGGAGCCGGTCGATTGGAGAACTCAAATAAATAAAAAATTGAAACTCTCCATCCCCAAATGAGTTTTCACTCCTTTTTTCCATTTTCAAGCCACATACCCCCACCCCCCTCCCCTCCCCCCTTCCCCGGGGTTTTTAATTTTATAGTTTTTTTAGCTGTTTAGCTGTTTTTGCTAGCTTCTCTGGCGCTTTTTGTTTCTGGCTGCCTCCTAGCTTTCTTGTGTTTCTTTTCTTTATGCTTCATTTGGTTGTTGCTTCTCATTTTGTTTGTTCCCTTGGCTTGTTTTGGCTGTGTTTATGAAGATCTTTTTGCCAAAAATTTAAATAAATAAAAAAACCCTAAATCCCCAAAACCCCTAATCCTAGCAGACGACATCCTCATTGGTTAGTTTGAATAAATTATGATTTTTTTTAATTAGATTGTACATGCTTTAGTTATATTATATCTTGATAATTGGATTAGTTTTTGTGTTCGTTAATTAATGAATATTCTTATACATTTTTTATTTTATTAGTTGTTGGGAATTTATTTTGATTAGTTTGAATAAATTATGGTTTTTTTTAATACATTGCATCCATTAGTTTGTATGCTTTAATTAGGGGTTTTTCAAATACAATTATAGAACGATAATTTAAGAGAAAATTCTCATCAACTACTTCTAGTTCGGATAATGTGGGTAGTTTGAGTTCGAGAGATGTGGTGGGTAGTTGGAAAGAAAGTGAGTTGCAAGATGAAAATTCGTCGTGGACAATTGTAATATGATTTTTTCAATTAATTATGAATTATAATATTATCATTTCATTTTTATGGGTCTATTATTTTGAATATAAATTTTTTAACCTTTAAGACGTTGACTCCTGAAAGAATTCCTAGATCCATACAAAAAAGGCAACCAATCATCATGTAGTGTAAAATTAGTCAAGATAACACAGCTTAGCTTATTCTTCTTACATCTCATTCTTCATAACTAATTAACAGTTCTTCCCACGCTACCCAAGTCAAGTTCAATACCAACATCCAACATGGTAATTGATCTTTATTGAGAAACAAGCTCCACAAGGAAAAAAATTATTTCGAGTAGTTGAAATTGTTTGATAGCTATTGTCATATCTTTCCAAAGATGGCTCACATCACTTCTTGGGTTAATGGCTCAAATACCCCAATTTTGGCAATTTAATTACTTGAAAAAGGTCTTTTTCATCACTAATTATACCCAAGCCCCTTTGATTTGGGAACTTGATAGCTAAGGCAGTGGGTGAGAAAATATGACGGGGGTAGAATAGCAGCATTCATTCGTTTTCATATTTGTTTTTCTTTTTTTATAAAGGAAAAGTATAGTGTGCTAGTCAAAAACTTAAATTGAGTCTTTTGGGATTAGATTAACCTGTACTTGAGACAATTACTAAACATAATTATCTTTTAGACTTTAGTGAGGCGCTTCGAATGGTAAAAAAGAAGGATCAATTATTAAATAACATCTTTTTGCATATTCATATAAGTATAAAAATTTCTTTTTTATAAAATTGAAACACAATACAGTACAGTGCAAGGATGAGTGGTGATGATAATAGTCAGAGGTTAAACCAACAACTCTAGTAATGGTAATAAATAAAAAGGAGACACACACAATCTTAACTATGGCAACAAGCAAGTGACAACAATCTGAAAGTTTACAACTTTTCAAATGGTAACGGTGACAATAGCAGTGGCCGTAACAGTATGTTTAGCATAAAAATTCCGCATTTGCCAACAAACTGATGGAGACTGTATGTAGTTCTCTTCAACCTAGAGGAGAGTTTGGGTCTGTTTGGGAGTACTTTTGGAAGGGCTAAAAGCGCTTTCTGATAACTAAAAACACTTCTTACAATGTTTGGCAGAAACATTTAGAAACGCTTTTGGGTCATAGAAGCGCTTCCTAGAGAAGCACTTGCTATTATGTGCTTCTTCAATAAGCACTCCCAAGTGCTTTTCCACGAAGCACTTTAATTTTTTTATGAAAATTCAAGATTTTTATAATAAAAGCGCTTTTGTTAGAAGTGCTTATGAGTATAAGTACTTCCTGAAGAAGCAGTCCCAAATGAGCTCTTTATATGCATTGCAAAAGTGCTTAAAAGTTAAAGCTAAATATAAATAAAAAAAGGTTTTAACCAAAACAACCAGTGGTTGCTGGAAACTGTTGGTTTTACAGCATTTAGTTGAGCGATCAAACAGCCCAAACTAAAATAACAAAAACACTGAAAGAAACAGAGAATCAGCAGTGTGGAAGAGTAGAAGACTTCTAGTTGAGCCTAAGATCTAATCAAACTCAAATCACGCACTGTGTACAACATAAATTAAAATAAAAAACAACAGCAAACAACAATAAATCTAAAGCTTAAGAGACAGATCTAGGGCAGCAGCATCGGTATCAGATGTTGGAGGCTCACGGTGGAGAAGATCACAACGGATTGGCCTGTTGATTCCAAAATTCGAACTCGAACCACCAAAGTTGCAAACAACACCGATTTCCTGATCAAACCTTGAAGCGCTGTTGGTTCCTGGAAGCCCTAATATTCCACTAGGAGCATTAGCATGAAGGCCCTCCAGGTTGAGCCTATCAATAGTGGATTGGAAGTTCAAGAGGCTACCTGCCCTAGATGACCAATGGCCAAACCGCCCAAAGCTTGGGGTTCAGGACCATAGATAAGAAGGCTTGTGGTGAATCATGGAATCCATCCTAACCCCAAGAGATTTATTGAAAGATCCATAGAGAGGGTGATGAGAGACTGGAATATGGGTTGTAATAAGAAAATGGTGAATGTCCCAAGACACCCATATTTTCAAGTCCCCCTTGCCGCCTTTTGGCCAAGGCACGCTCTTGTTTGTGAGCGTTTTGATGCCCTCCCAATGCTTGAGAAGTAGAGAACTCCCTCTTGCAAAAGTTGCATGTGAAAACCCTAGATTGGGATCTTTTGTCATCACAGTTCTCGTCTGTGGTCTCATTGGGTTGAGAGTACCCTGAGACCGGGTTTGATGAGTCCGGGTTCGAAGGGTTGAACATGCTGAGTTCAAGCCTCGACGACGACGACCCTGACCCACGAGCAGAGTAGTTGTTGCACAGCTTCATATCAAGTAGGAGCCGAGAACTTTGTGATGGCGGCAAAGATGATCTGATGGCTGGTGGTGGTGGTGGTTGTTGTGGGGGTTGTTGAGTATCATCGATGACAATTTTCTCTTTCATTTTCATCTTCATTTTTTGTTCAAGATTTTCAGGGCCATCTTTTTGTGTTGGTGGTGGACCATCCAAGGCGGCTAAGATGTTAGAAGCCTCAAAAGTAGGGCTTAGACGTTCTACTCTGGGTTCTTCAGCCATCCCAAGCATTAGAAATTTTGAGTTTGATGAAAAGATTTGGTGATATCAACTCCTTTTTATTAAGGGTTTGAATTAATGCCTTATCGTTCATGTTCAGAAAGAAATCTCATTTTGTTATTGGAAGATATCTTAATTTCGATTCCTCTCTTTCCTATTAATCAAAAAAATAAAAATAAAAAACCGGTTATGTATGATTAAGCCCCGACAAAAAGAATAAAAAGACTTCTAGTTTACTTGCTAACCAAGCACAAAGCATCAACTTTCCCAGAAAGTTTAACAAAATTGAAGGGAACAAAACAATTTCATGGCGATTGGTCACAACAAAAGGCATATATAGAAAATTTGACACAAACCCATGAAAAATAAATTCACCCAAAAATTACCCAAAAAGTCCCATTCCTTAAATTATACTAAATTTAAAAGCAATCCCTCATTCTCCTTGAGTTTCTTGGGCAAAGAGGCCTGGAGGGCTTCTTCAGAAGCGGAAGAGGCCATGCAAAATTTCACTTCTGACAACGACTGAATATGGGGGATTACTGCTTATGGTAATTTACATCCTTGTAATTCCCATTAATTTTTTGGGTAATAATTTCTCAGTAGGGTTTACGGAGACCCTGGCCGTCAGATTTTATACTAAAAGGTTTTATTATTATTATTTTCAACAACGTGTTTGGTTGGGTTCCTTGAGAAATTATACCGTGGTGCAATCACATGATATGAGCAACAAGACAGTTGATATTTTCCATTTTTATGGCATTAAATTAAGGAATATTCAATTGTATTATAATATGTGGACGAGTTATACCATGTGACAACACTATAATTGCTCCAGTTACTTCTATATAAGGAGTTTAAGATTTTTTATTTTTTTATTTTTTATTTTTGGTCTGAATAAGGAGTTTAAGATTGCTCATGTGTCATCTTCCACAATATCTTAACTTCGCTCATAAGGGATTTTTTATTTTGGGTCAAATGCTCATAAGAGATTACGACCAGACAAAAAAACTTTGGTCATAAGGTGTTAACTGATTTTAAATGAGAAAAAGCAAGTCTCTATGCCTACAAAACTATGGAGAGAAATAAGGCCTATAATAGTGAATCTCTCCTTTTTAAACTGGTCCTTTATTGAGGCTTGTATGATTAAATTTAGCTTTGCTTCTCAAGCTTATTTTTTTATTTTATTGAAGAGTGCTGCTATTTCCATTCTCTGTCTTATTTCCCTACCCATCTTATCTTCAAAATTTTAAAAACAAAAGTACCTCTTCGTAAAATGACTTCTAACACCCTATCTTATTTCCCGTAACCCACCTATTCTGCCCTCATCCCTGTCAAACACCACCCCGCCACTACTACAAAAAGTGAAAAAGACGACCAGAAAAAGACGACGGTAGAAGAAAAAACCGTCGTTGTATTTAAAAAGACGACGGTAACAAAAAACCGTCGTGAATAAGTGACTTAAACAACTAAAAACTGGAGGTACTGTTGAATATTTTTTTTATAACGACGCACACAAATAAAAAAGCGTCGTCTTATTAAAAAGGTTTTCTTCATAGTTAAAATCTGACCAAAAAACAATGACAGCAGGTATGACAAGCGTCGTCTTTTTTCTTCAGAGTTAAAATCTGACCAAAAAACAACGACAGCAGGTATGACAAGCGTCGTCTTTTAAAAATCAAGTGTCATTTTTTTTGGTAAAGACGTGGTTGTTTTGATAAAAACCGTCGTCTATTATATGTAAAGATGACGATTTTTATAAAAACCGTCGTCTATTATATGTAAAGATGACGCTTTTTATAAAACCCGTCGTCTATAGTATGTAAAGATGACGCTTTTTATAAAAACCGTCGTCTATTGTATGTAAAGATGACGCTTTTTATAAAAACCGTCGTCTATTGTATGTAAAGATGACGCTTTTTATAAAAAAAGTTGTCTACTATATGTAAAGATGACGCTTTTTATAAATAAATAAAAAGGTCGTCTATTGTATGTAAAGATGACGCTTTTTATAAAAACCGTCGTCTATTTTACGTAAAGATGACGCTTTTTATAAAAACCGTCGTCTATTGTATGTAAAGATGACGTTTTTTATAAAAAAAATTGTCTACTATATGTAAAGATGACGCTTGTTATAAAAATAAAAATAAAAAGTCGTCTATTGTATGTAAAGATGACGCTTTTTATCAACCGTCGTCTATTATATGTAAAGATGACGCTTTTTATAAAAACTGTCGTCTATCGAATGTAAAGATGACGCTTTTTATAAAAACCGTCGTCTATTGTATGTAAAGATGACTCTTTTTATAAATTGTCGTCTATTGTATGTAAAGATGACGCTTTTTATAAAAAACCGTCGTCTATTGTATGTAAAGATGACGCTTTTTATATAAAAAAAAGTTGTCTATTATATGTAAAGATGACGCTTTTTATATATAAAAAAAGGTAGTCTATTGTATGTAAAGATGACGCTTTTTATAAAAACCGTCGTCTATTGTCTGTAAAGATGACGCTTTTAAAAAACCGTCGTTTATTGTATGTAAAGATGACGCTTTTTATAAAACCGTCGTCTATTGTATGTAAAGATGACGTTTTTTATAAAAAAACCGTCGTCTATTGTAAGTAAAGATGACGCTTTTTATAAAAAAAACCGTCGTCTATTGTCTGTAAAGATGACGCTTTTAAAAAACCGTCGTTTATTGTATGTAAAGATGACGCTTTTTATAAAACCGTCGTCTATTGTATGTAAAGATGACGCTTTTTATAAAAAAACCGTCGTCTATTGTATGTAAAGATGACGCTTTTTATAAAAAAAACCGTCGTCTATTGTACGTAAAGATGACGGTTTTTATAAAAAAACCGTCGTCTAACAATTAAGAGTTTATTTATACTTTCGTTAAATATAACATAAGATTTTGTGGTATCCACTAGTGTAAATATTTTAAATTGAAGATCAAATTCAGTCATTGTATTCATATAGGGTCAAGGAGTGTAGTGGTAAAAAATCATCAAAATCGGAGTTAAAATAACCGTTGAATCATGATATTTCATTTATAACCGTCGAATTTTTTTGTCTCATTACTTGATCTCTGAATATTTATTTTTTCCAATTTTTGGCGTATATGATCTCGAAGTATAAATAAACAAGTTTGACGGTTGGATCATTGAAACTAGTTTCTTAGAATGCATATGCCATCAAAACAATATATTCACTAACAATTAAGAGTTTATTTATACTTTCGTTAAATATAACATAAGATTTTGTGGTATCCACTAGTGTAAATATTTTAAATTGAAGATCAAATTCAATCATTGTATTCATATAGAGTCAAGGAGTGTAGCGGTAAAAAATCATCAAAATCGGAGTTAAAATAACCGTTAAATCATGATTTTTCATTTATAATCGTCGAAATTTTTTGTCCCGTTACTTGATCTCTGAATGTTTATTTTTTCTGATTTTTGGCGTATATGATCTCGAAGTATAAACAAACAAGTTTGATGGTTGGATCATTAAAACTAGTTTCTTAGAATGCGTATGCCATCAAAACAATATATTCACTAACAATTAAGAGTTTATTTACACTTTCGTTAAATATGACATAAGATTTTGTGGTATCCACTAGTGTAAATATTTTAAATTGAAGATCAAATTCAATCATTGTATTCATATAGGGTCAAGGAGTGTAGCGGTAAAAAATCATCAAAATCGGAGTTAAAATAACCGTTAAATCATGATTTTTCATTTATAACCGTCGAATTTTTTTGACTCGTTACTTGATCTCTAAATGTTTATTTTTTCCGATTTTTGGCGTATATGATCTCGAAGTATAAACAAACAAGTTTGACGGTTGGATCATTGAAACTAGTTTCTTAGAATGCGTATGCCATCAAAACAATATATTCACTAACAATTAAGAGTTTATTTATACTTTCGTTAAATATAACATAAGATTTTGTGGTATCCACTAGTGTAAATATTTTAAATTGAAGATCAAATTCAATCATTGTATTCATATAGGGTCAAGGAGTGTAGCGGTAAAAAATCATCAAAATCGGAGTTAAAATAACCGTTAAATCATGATTTTTCATTTATAACCGTCGAAATTTTTTGTCTAGTTACTTGATCTCTGAATGTTTATTTTTTCCGATTTTTGGCGTATATGATCTCGAAGTATAAACAAACAATTTTGACGGTTGGATCGTTGAAACTAGTTTCTTAAAATGCGTATGCCATAAAAAAAAATATTCACTAACAATTAAGAGTTTATTTATACTTTCGTTAAATATAACATAAGATTTTGTGGTATCCACTAGTGTAAATATTTTAAATTGAAAATCAAATTCAATCATTGTATTCATATAGGGTCAAGGAGTATAGCGGTAAAAAATCATCTATTGTATGTAAAGATGACGCTTTTTATAAAACCGTCGTCTATTGTACGTAAAGATGACGCTTTTTATAAAAAAACCGTCGTCTATTGTATGTAAAGATGACGCTTTTTATAAAAAAAACCGTCGTCTATTATATGTAAAGATGACAAATTTTTTATTTAAAAAAGCGTCGTCTTTTAAAACACGCTAAAAAATGGCCGCTTAAGTGAATTCGCGCTCGACAAATTTTCAAATTTTCACCCGTCTTTGAAAATCTTATCTCTCATTAACAAGCGTCGTCTTTTAAAACACGCTAAAAAAAGTCTACTTAAGTGAATTCGCGCTCAACAAATTTTCAGATTTTCCCCCGTCTCTGAAAACCTCATCTCTCCCTCCTTGAAACCCTCCTGCACTCTCTAAAACACCCTCATGAAACTCTTTACAAAATCATCAAAAAATCGATATCAATGAAGGAGTTGAGAGATTGAGGTCTTAGCAAATCCATAAGATGTAGAGGGATATTTTGTATTTGAGAATCAAAACTGGTTGAGGTCTTAGTCTCTTTGCGTTTTTGGTATGTTCTTTGTCTCCCTAATTTCAGATTTTGTCTCTCTTGATTTGTCTGATTTGTTTACATTTTTTTTTCTAGTTTCTTTTTAGATTTTCTGATTTGGTTATCAGGAGATGAGGAGGAAACTTGCAGATTTATAACTTTTTCTTTTGTAGGTTTTCTATGTGAGTCGTATGTTTTTTTGTTGTTGAAAATTTGCAGGTTCTTGATGGTCTTTTTATGCTCATTTTACAAGTTTTCTATGGAAATATAGACCAATGGTAAAATTTCTCTTCCACCTAATTTTTTATGTTTATAATCTTAGCTTCTTCTTTTTTTCTCTCTTTGTCATTTTGATTTATTTACAGGGATGATGGAGGAGGCTTCAGTTGTGCATCATTTGTATGTTTGGATGAGGAATGCTTGGATTAGGAGTACGTAGGTCTTGTTAGGAATTATGTTTGTTGTAGATTAAAGATTGGTTAACTATGTAATAACTATTGAATCTTCAAGTTTTATGAAAGAAACTATTATATATTCATTAATAAAGCATTATGGTTGGTTTTCTAGTTAAAATCATTGTATAGCATCATAGGAAATCAAAAAGCATTATTGTATGTAAAGATGACGCTTTTTATAAAAACCGTCGTCTATTGTATGTAAAGATGACGTTTTTATAATAAAAAACCGTCGTCTATTGTAAGTAAAGATGACGTTTTTTATAAAAAATACCGTCGTCTATTGTATGTAAAGATGACGCTTTTTATAAAATACCGTCGTCTATTGTAAGTAAAGACGACGCTTTTTATAAAAAAAAACCGTCGTCTATTATAAAAAATCGTCATCTTTACATACAATACATGACGGTTTTATTAAAAACCGTCGTCGTTATGGATAAACAACGACGGTGAAAAGCCGTCGTAGTTTGACACCCAAATAGATGTCGGTCGATTTCACGACCGTTTGATAACCGAATACACGACGGTGAATTCCCGTCGTCTTTGGCCTTTTTTGTAGTAGTGCGCGGACCAAACTCGAAGCTTAGTTTGCAGTCCCTTCAGTACAAAGGTATTAACCCACAAAGAAGTTGTCGCAATTGATATTAGGGTTGATAGAAAGGAAGAAATCAAAACTCAAATTAAACTTTTCAATGACAAAAGTACACGTATCACCCTCATCTGCACCATAAACTGAATCGGATACTGGGCTAGTTTGTTTCCTTCCAAATCCAACTGCAACATTAACACATGTATTACAAATGAATTACAAATCTGTTTTAATATTTGTGTGAAACTAAAAATAAATTATTTTAAAGGAAATAAAAAATTGAGTTAGGAATACTTCTTACTACCAAGTTGTCTACTCTCAGCTATGGAAACCATTATATATATATATATATATTATAAATGCAATTTAAAATAATGCTTATATGAAATTACTCAAAATAAAGATAACTGAAAATATCAATTTTATTCATACTCACAGAAACAACTTCAAGATAGCAACTTCCAATTCCAGATACACAACACTCGGTGTTTACAAAGATGATTTCTCCAAAGTATTCAGAGAAAATCTTTAAAAACTGAAAGTGTAAATTGTAATCTGAATGCAACTGAGTCCAAGGCCAGCTTATATAACACAAGGAAAGCAACTATGGTTTTTAAAAGCAACTGGAGTTACTTAGAAAAGTAACTCGGGTAACCGAAAGCAACTCTGGAGATAAGGAGGCAACCGTGCGGGCACGAGAGGAAACTGTTTTAACTTTCAATTATGTCTGGTAATAATTTCATCAACTTTTGACTTTTCCTCAGCAACTTTTCTCTTTTTCTTTGTAACTTTTTTCTTTTACTCATGGCAAACTGTCGGAGAGCAATGATGATAGAGGCAGGAGGCAGCTGGCCATCGTATGGGTCTTAGCTGTCTTCAAACCAGGACTTCTTTTTGGCAGGACTTTGCATGGGCTGGCAACTAGATGATGAAGGGGAATCATTGTCTTCATCATCATCCCTCTGGGAGGCTTGGATAATCAACTGGCGGGCAATTTCTTGGAGTTCGGACTTCGATTTTCCTTCAACTGAGAGAGAAGATCGGGTCGAACCAGTAGGGGAGACTGGACGCGGAATAGGCTCTTGGGGCAGATCATTGTAGACATATTAGGCAATTCTGTCAACTTCAAATTTATCCCACCATTTAACAGAGAATTGGCGGGCAAGAACTCGGGTAGAGTCTTTGGCAACTTTGTAGGACCACTTGAGGATCCAAGGGACCTTATATCTGGCAACAAAGAGCATCTGCTTTGGGAAGAATAAATCATTTTTTGCGAATTTGGCTTTTTTAATATAATGGCGTATTAACTCATGAATTGTAATGGGCAAAATTTCATCAATTGGACCATGCTTTTCCCACCAATGGAGGAACCAGAAGGGAAAAGGACTCTTGAACTTATTGTCAAAATTTATAAACCAAGAGTGACTAAAATCCTCGGTTTGATGGAGGAAAATAGAGTACCAGGCTTCAATATAATCAGAATAATTATACTGCAATTTTGACTGAAGGGTTTTTAACTCATAAGGGTGGCTACTGAAGGATTCTTGGCTTACAATCTTATGAATATAAAGAGAATGATAAAGGATGATCTCTGGGTGATCTTTATCCCTTATCGGCTTAATTTCAACTGATTGGGTTTCAAGTAATATATCTCTATAATACTTGAGGGACTTATATGAACTGGGGGGCATATAATGAAATCCAGGAGGAAAATAGTGTTTGGCTATTTCAACTGGATCAGAATGAACATCATAAACTGGCTCAAGAACAAATAAGTGGGAAGTACTTTTGAGCATATAAGGGGATGACTTTTTGAAGGCAACTGAGGGTCCAGCTGGGGAGTCCCCAAAGAAGGGATCATAACTGGAGATTAGGGTTGACTGATAGCTAGGGCGTATTTGGCCAGCTGTAGATCCTAAGGTAGAGAACCTATTGGCAATTGAGATTGGTGTGGCAACTGAGATTGGTGGGTGACCTGGGTAGGGAACCACCTGCTTAGGGATTTCTGGCTTATTTTGACTCATAGATGCAGGAAGGATTTTGAGCGACTGGGAAGGCGACTGAGATGACTTAGATTGGCTGGTTGACTCTTTTTGTTTGTCTTTTTTGGGTGCCATTGTGCATCCTGCAAGAATTCTCTAGTAAGAAAATCAGGAATTGAATTCTCACTCCCTCTCAAATACTCAATATCAAAGTCAAATATACTCAAAATGCTTTGCCATCGTGCAAAAATCTGTTTAGATGCAATGTTTTGAACATCTTTTTCTAAAACATGTTTTGCAGATTTACAATCAACTCGTATTAAAAACTTTTGATTTAGTAAATCATCTTGAAACTTACTAATGCATAATACAATAGCTAATATTTCCTTTTTAATAGTACTATAATTATATTGCGATTGGGTCCAGATTCCAGAATGAAAACGAACAATCTGTTCTGGAGAATTCGGACAAGCTCTTTGTTTCAGAATGCCACCATAACCTGTGTCAGAGGCATCTGTTTCAACTATTTTGAAGGAATCAACTGAAGGAATGCCAAGGCAGGGAAGTGTCTTGACATGGGCTTTGATTTGCTTGACAATTTCAGTATGAATATTTGACCATGGGGGAGGATTACTCTGCAATCTATCAAACAAGGGCTTACATTGTTTTCTCAGATTTTGGTAAAAGTTAGAAACATAATTTAGAGATCCTAGAAATCTCTGGAGTTGACTTTTATCAAGAATTTGATCAGGGAATTTATCAGCAAATTGGATGACTCGATCAATTGGGGAGATTTGTGATTGACAGATATTGAAACCAAGAAATCTGATATTGGTTTGGAATAACTTGATTTTCTTGGCAGAGACAACTAAACCATTTTGTTTGACAATTTGAAGGAATTTATGCAAATGTTTCAAATGCTGTTCTATAGACTCAGAGAAGATAAGAACATCATCAATATAGACAATTGAGAAATGACTATAAGGATTGAAAATTTCATTCATGATATTCTGGAATTCACTAGGAGCATTTTTCAGACCGAAAGGCATTACATTCCATTCGTAATGACCAAAAGGGGTGACAAACGCAGTCTTATACCTATCTGATTCATGTATTTGGATTTGCCATAAACCACTCTTCATATCAAATTTGGAATAAACAACTGCTTTTTCTAGTCTATTAATCAGGTCTCTTTTATTAGGTATGGGGTACCTAATCCATTCTAGGACCGAATTAAGTGGCTTGTAATTGATAACTAGTCTTGGGACTCCTCTTTCTAGTTCAGCATTTTTCTGGACATAAAAAGCAGGACACGACCAAGGGGATTTACTTTTGCGAATTATTTTCTTTTCAAGTAACTCATGAATTTCTTTTTTACAGAACTCCATTATTTCTTGACTCATCTGAATTGGCCTGGCTTTAGTAGGAATGTTCTTCTCACTAAAGGTTTTGATATAAGGAAGATAAACAACATGTTGTTTTCTATACCACAAAGCATTAGGCAACTCAGAGCAAATTTCATTTTTCAATTTGGTTTCAAATTGCTGGATTTGCAATTGTAAGGGAGCATCACTAAGCTGTTGTTCAATTCTTTTAAACCTAATTTCTTCTTTAAGGAAATTCAACTGATTATTTTTCCGAATAATTTGTACTGACTTAGAAACCGACTGCTTTTGCAAAGCTCTTAGGTTATGCAACTCTGGCTTAGATAAAAACTCAAATTTAACCTTTTCCCCTAAATAAGTAGAAATGACACCATCATAATCTACCTGAAAGGGTTACAATAAAGCAATAAAAGGTAATCCTAATATGACTTCATCAGTAATATTTTTTACTAACACAAATGAGGTTTTGAAACAGATCTTATTTTGGCAAACATGGGCTTTGGGTATTTCGAAATTCAACTGGAGAGATTTTCCTGAAGCAGTACTTAAGGATTCTCTAGACTTTTGGTAAAACTTAGTAGGGATTAGACCTTCCTGGATACAGTTAAGATCGGCTCCTGAATCAAATAGGGCAACTGTGGTAAACTCAAAATTTTGGACAAATATTGTTACTTTTGAATACCATTTTCTAAAATTGACCTGTCGAATTAGGTTGACTACTTGTTGATCTTCTGGAGGTTCATCATCAGAATTATGTGGACTTCCAGACTGGCTTTTAGACTCAGAGGACTCTTTTTCCATTATGTGAATTAAATCTTGTTCAATGGCATAGTTTTCACTCTGTAGTTTATGACTCATTTGTTTTAATTCAACTATTTCTTTTTTAACCATTTTACTTCTAACTGTAAATCTTGTAAGGCGACTTCTTTCTTTTTGGCAAATCGTTCTAAGGTAGTGTTTAAACTAACCGGCTGAGGGGTAGGCTGACTTGAGCTTTCTTGACTAATAACCTTTCTTAATTTTTTCAAATACTCGGATTTTAAATCCGGATTCTCCACTTTGCTTATTAATTCTATTAGCAATTCTTCTTGTTCTTCCTGTTTAGTAAGAACAGAGATAGATTTTAGTCTGTTACAGCATTTATCATTACAGCCAATTTGGATGTCCGGTGAACTTATTTGGGAATCTGAGAACTGGTCAGATTCAGACTCAGAACTGGCTACTAGGGTTTCAACACTGCTTGTTTCAGAGTCTCGCAACTCTAAGACTTTTATCAGCTTCTCTTTTTCTTCATCTGCAATATTTAACTGTTTAATAGTATCTTTTACCTTACATTCAGAGGCATAATGACCAAACTTTTGGCATTTAAAACATTTAACTTTAGTTTTATCATTATTCTTTTTGGACCGATTTTTCTTTTGACCTTTCGGGGCTTTGGACCAATTTTTCTTAGGAGAAGATTTTCTTTTCTTATAAAACTCACGATCATCATTATTATGTTGGGAGAACTGCTTCCTACGAGAATAATGACGATTTTTTCGAAAATAATTGGGCTTATTTTTCTTGGAAGGAGGAATACTGGCAAGACCATACTGTTCACAGAAATTGCCTAGCTCATATTTGGCTGATTTCCTATCGGACTGTATTTGTTTACCAATTTTGAAATCAATACACATTTTCATTCCAACCTGGTTGATTGTACTTATAATGTTTCCATAAGTCAAACTATCCCAATCTATATGACCTTGCTCATTACTTAAGGTTGTGCGTATCTTATGGGCAAATAGATTCGGAAGACCATTAACAAATTTTTCTTTCCAGAAAGGTTGATTACTATCATCTCTAAGCATAACTCTAGAAATGAAAACATCTTTATACCATCTGAAATCAGACAACTTGGGGCATCTAAGATTGCTCAACTGATCATGTATCCTAGCAGTGGTATTGCTAGGGGTTCCAATAAAATGCTCAATTATTGTGTAAAACAAAGTGTTGACACCGTCTTCTATACCGTGACCTACATGTTCGTCAAATATAGGGAGACCATCTTCATTAAGTTTTACAGCATGAATGATTAAGTTCTTAGACTCAGGGGTTAAGTGCTTATCCCACCAATACCTGAGAGTACCAGTAAATCCAGTGACTAACAGAGGTACAATTTCAGACTGTCTGAAACTGTGATTGGTGATATAACTATTGGCAACCATAGACATATGTTGTAGCTTATTAAAGATTTCTTGCTCAGAAAGACCATCAATGTTCCATTCATACAATTTATCAGAAGAAACTGAAAACTGGGTTTGGAGGTTTCTTTCTTCAAATTGGATATCTGGGGGTGTTGGTCTAGGGTACCAATTTCTGGTTAAGCTAGTAGGGCTTATATGTTTTTCTAATTTTTTGACTTTGGGTTCAATTTGGGCTTCTAGGTTTATGAAAGCATTTTCAATTTTTGAAATGTTACTAGTTTCAGACTCTGTTGTCTCAGACTCGGACTCAGAATGATTTGCGAAAGAATCTAGTGTTTTGAGACCAGATTTTTCAGGTTTACTTGGGGTCAATTGTTCTAGCATTTCTTCAATTTTCTTCATTGTAGGCTTGATTTTAAGTTTTGGGCTTGACTGAAGATCCTGGAACTGAACTATCGGCTTTTCAACTTTTGGTTTAGACTTAATTTCTGGGGAACTTATCTTATCTATTTTTGTCTCAATTGTATCTAACTGTTTTCCTATGACAATTAGACTCTGGTTGGTATAGTTATTTTGCTCAACTAACCGTTTATTTTCATCATCATTTTCATAGGTTTTGAAGGGACTGGCAGGTATGAGTGTGTTCCTATGGTTAATAATTATGGTCTCAGCTGGAGGATGACTGGCTTCGACTTCTGATCTATCTATCAATTTCCACTTTTCTTTAGTTAAGGTTTTTAGTTCACTAGGCATGTAACGGCTTTCAATAAAATCAAGGTAAAAAATTTCAACTTTGGCTGACCGCATATAATCTTTCCATTCATTAAAGATTTTTTGTCGGCTTTTACTATCAGGATAGGCTTGGTGATAACTATCTCTTCTGTTTTGGTTTTCTGAAGACTTAAGATGGGAATTTAGACGTTTCAATTAATCTCAAATTTCTTATTAAGGGTTCTAAGTTGGTTGTCAACTGCTGCAAAATTTTCAACTAAGAAGTCAGACTGTGTGGGTGACTCAGGTGAATCAGATTTGTCTTCTTGGACTAGTGCCTTGCCGTAACAAGGTTGGTTTACCTGAGAGGATTTTCTCAGGGACTCAAGCTTAAAATCAATCATGGCTTTTTCTAACTCTAGGTCTCGTTCTAGAGTGGAAGATGAAGCTGTAAAAGAGCGCCTAGCAGGGGCATGTCTCTGGGATTGACCAGGGGTTGGTAACTGTTGCAACTGGACATTAGACTTTTTTAATGGCTGATTGTCAAATCTAATTTTTACTGTGCCGTCTAAATATTGTTGAATGTAGTCTAGATTGTTTAGACTACGCTGTATGGGAGCTGGTTGGCTCTCAGTGGCTAAGGTCCATTCTTTTGGAAGGGCAACTTCTGACCATTTAATGGTTTGGGGAACTTGGACTCGGGCGTCTGGCGTATGACTTTGTATCAAGACAGTCTAGTCTTTTGGGCTTTTATTAAGAGCTTGAAAATTCATATTAGTGCCTGTGACCTTATAGTAAATTCTATAGACTAAGGCTAAAGGTTGGGTTCCTGGGAGAACATTATAACCTTCAGTCTTAATATTCAAAGTTAAAGTCTTTAATATGTGATGATCACTAAGGCTTACAGTAAAATCTGGATAACAATCAAAATGAACTGGGCCATTACATAAGCTGGACTCAATGACTCCTAGGCAACTGTTGCTAAACTCAGTGAATCTAGCATCCCTTAGACCAAGGAAGATAGAGGCTTTTAATCCTAATCTTGTTAGGGGCTTATATATATATATATATATATATATATATATTGAGGGATCCCTCAAATAATTTTATTTGAGGGACGCCTATTAGGGTACCCTATAATTTTTTTCTTAATGATCCAAACCATCTATTTTTTAGGTCTTCATTCATAGATCGTCCTTATAAAAAATTAGATAAATCGGAAACCGTTTCAACATCCAATTGTGTCTTACAAAATCAATGAACATGGTGCTTCAAGAAAGTACTAAAATTTCAATAACTCAATTGAGTGGTCAAATGATATCGAATTCAAGTGATTTTTTTGTAGAGATGATCTTTGAATGAGTATCTACAAAATAGACTGTTTGAATTAGTGAAATACAATCCGGAGTGGGGCCTATAAGGGGTGTCCCTCAAATAAGCTTATTTGAGGGATCCCTCAATGGAAGCTCACTGTATATGTATGTAATCATTCTATGTTTTTAGTAAGAATTATGTTTAGTGTCTGGGTAATGAGATTTGACGACAGTGCACAACCATATTTTTAGGTGGAGATGGTATGACTAGTTACAAGCCGGCCTGTCCAATATCACACTTTTTGGGAATTTTTCTTGAATTGTGATTGAAGAGAAGATTTGGAAGAAGAATAAGAAGAGGTTGTTGGGTTTGTTTGGGTTTTTTTTATATTCTTTTTTTGGGTGTGATTTCTAGGTTTTACTTGAATTAATAATTAAAGGGTATTAGAAATAATGATGGGTGGAAAGATAGGATTGTGTTTTTTCAAATTTACATGGTGGGTGGAAAGATAAGGTGGGTGGGGAAATAGAATAAGGGGGTGGAAATAGCAGCATTCTTTATTAAATTATAAAATGGGGTGTTAGTTTGATTCATGAGGCCTTTAGTCCCAAAAAAAGATTAAAATTTCACACAATTCTATCTCTTATAAATAAATAAATCAAATCTCAATTCTCTATAATATCATAACTCAAAAAAAAATACTATCAACTAATTGCTATATGCACTATACTATGTTCTCCATAGAAGTCTCTCATATAGTTGTGGGAAAGAGAGAGAAAAAAAAAAAAAAAAAAAAAAAAAAATCTTTTGTGCCTAGGGTTTTGCGCTGCTAAGGTTTCACTCTCTCTCTTCTTTCAGTTCTTGGCTCCCATTCTTGATCTCACATCTTCTCTAGTTATCGGTACCTATTCGGAGTCGGTTTCTGGTTGCTCTTGGATTTTGGCTGGTGTGTCTGCATGCACTACTACAAAAATCGAAATAGACAACGGGAAACCACTGTCATCTAGAAGGTTTTCCAACTGTCGTGAAATCGACCGCCATCTTTTGTACTACAAACGACGACAGTTAATACCCGACGTAGTTAAGGAATTCAACGTCTAGATTTATTACGAACCGACATGTAATTACTATATAATTAGCCTAAAATGAAATCTTTGACAACATTAGACGACAGTTTTATGAAAACTGAGATGTCTAAAGAGTGTTACATGTCAAGATCAAAAGAAGAATTGGCGTATAGATAATTATCCACGTCCCTAAAAGAAGGAAAAAAGACTTGGATAAGCTAGAAACCATCGTGGTTAATTCGTACTACGTTAAACAAACAAAAAAAAACCGACGTCTAAAAGATAAACTACAACGTTAACACAAACTAACAGACGTTTAAAGAGTATTACATGTCGTTTGCCTCCAATAACCGTCGTAACATGATATAACCACATCCTGCACCTGGCATCACCGAAGCTTATATAATTATCCATGTCACAAACTATAATAAAAACCGATGTGTTAAGTATATACCACGTCTGTTACTTGCGAGACTCGTCGTTTAAATTGCACAAAGAAAGACCTTTGACAGAGTCAGATGTCACTTTTTCTAAATAACCAACGTCTAAAAGATTTAAAATGACATAATATTACTCAATATCGACGTACAAAACTATACCCCCACGTCGGTTTTTGTTAACGGATGACGTTATAAATATTATTGAAGGCGTGGATAGGAAAACAACCGACGTGGATTATATATTCAACGTCTGTGGCGTTAAAATAATGGACGTGGTTAATTATTTCACTATGTCTAGAGATCCACCTGCTTGACGTTGTAATTGCTTACCACATCGGTTTTGATTACATAATGACGTGGTTGTCCTTTTAAAAGTCGCTTATTTAACCTGCCTTGACGTATGTATGCTCGAAGACGTCAGTTATTTAGACTAGCCGACGTGCAGAACATCTGTCACAACAGTTAATGGAACTGAACGGCCTTTATTTCGCCCTTTAGACGACGGTTTATTTTAAGCAAACCGACTTGATTTCTTTTTCAGATGTCTGTTTTTTTGTTTTACGGCCTTTTGCCTTTTAAAACCCGACGTTGCTTTTATTTTAGACATTTGGGTTTCCAATTTTTTTACTGGACTGTCGTACTTTATAGCTTTAACCTAGCTTTTTAATTTTTGATTTGTCGTGCCCAAAGCCTACATAATGAAAATGTGATCATAATTAAAATGATGTACGTAATTATTAATTAATGTCATACAATTAACTGAATAACTAATGTCATACATTACAACAATCAATCAATCCATATATCTTCACACCCATCTCTAATATTTTCATTCCCAAACTCACCCACTAGGTCATCAAATGTGTCAACATTTGGTATCCCTCTAGTAAATGGCTCACACTCAATTCTAGTATCACCTAGCACATCATCACCAATAACATCATTATATTCTCTATTAGGCATTGATAACACTACCGACCAACCACGATGCATTGGGTCGTCAACATAAAATACTTGTTTGACTTGAGAAGCCATAACAAATTGGTCATTCCTATGTCCAATTTTACTCAGATCTACAAGGGTAAATCCAAGTTCGTCGACTACAAGGCCCGAAGTGTTATCTATCCAATCACACCTCAAGACTGGGATTCTAAACTTTTTGGTAGTCAAGGTCCCAAATTTCTTGAATAACACCACAAAAAACCCATATTGGAGACAATAGGGTTTTTATCCTTGGCACTAGCAACTTGCATAGTATGTGCAAGTAAATAAACTCCACTATTTTGGACAGTTCGCACATCATCTTGTGCCTTGGTGTTAAATTTAACACCATTAATAAGATAGCTCCTATATGATGGCACTGCCATGCTTGGACCAGCTGCTAGCCACCTCAAATTTTCTGATACGCCATTATGCTCTTTCCCCATTAAGTTCACTTTGAACCTGCAAATTAATCATATATATCTTAATTCAATCTAACATATAGAATGGAAGAAAATTAAAAGTTGAATGCATGTCATTCAATAACATATATACCTTAAAGTGGAGCCATTGAATGAAAGTGCTATTGTGCTTATCTTGCAGCCACTTTGTTCTCTTTCTAAATTTTGGATAAGTGGTCTTGATGTGGATCATATGTTCCCTACATTGACACGAAAAATCAAGCATTACGCTCCCTTGTATATAAGATAAACATAAGGAATAATAATATTTAAAATGGCTCCATATGAAAAATAAAAGTCATACGTACTCGATATAAGGTAGGACTTCCTCCGTATTTTCCAAGATATATAGATGTGCCTGGTTCAACAAGTCCCAATCAACTAAGCTTACTGTGCAACTTGATAATGGCTTCGAAACTCCCATCTTCTGGCTTGAAGGCACTCCAACTGTACTAACATCAGATAAATGCTCGGTGCAAAACTCTACAGCTTCTTCAGCTATATACCGCTCAGCAATGCAACCTTCCGGACGAGTACGGTTCTGAACATACCCTTTTAGCACTTTCATATACCTTTCAAACGGATACATCCATCTAAAATATACTGGGCCACATAGACGAACTTCTCTGACAAGATGTACTACTAGATGAACCATGATATCAAAGAATGAAGGGGGAAAGTACTTCTCAAGCAAACACAAAGTAACTACTACATCTTCTTCCAACTTATCTAGCTTGGAAACATCTACCGTCTTTGCACATATAGCATTGAAGAAGAAGCACAATCGAGTTATTGCATACCTTGCAGGCTTTTCCAAAACAGAACGAATTGCCACAGGGAGCAATTGTTGCATCAAGGTATGACAATCATGAGATTTAAGTCCAAGAAGTCTTGAATCTTTTAAAGATACAAGATTTTTATATTTGAACAATAACCTTCAGGGACCTTCATACCATAGAAAGAATTGCAAACCGCTCTCTTCTCTGCTCTTGACAAATTCCAAGGCCCTGGAGGCAAGCGAGTACGTCTTTCTCCATACTCGGGTTGCAAATCAGTTTTGACCCCCATGTTCAATAAATCTAACCGAGAAGCAATCCCATCTTTATTTTTCCCAAGGATCTCCAACAATGTACCAATGATACTATCGCAAACATTCTTCTCAATATGCATAACATCTAGGACATGCCTCACATGAAGGTATTTCCAATACTCGAGATCAAAGAATTTTGATTTCTTTTTCCAACAAACTTTGTCACCATCATTCTCACGAACACTTCCCCCATTTTTCGAGCCCCATATGTAATTAATATCTTCAACCATGTGCAACACTTCTTCTCTAGTTAATGGCTCGGGAGGCGTGCCATATTCAGGTTTCCCATTAAAAGCTGCACGCTGCCTCCGATATGGATGATTGATTGGTAACCATTTTCTATGCCCAATGTAACAATTTTGTGGCCATTTTTCAACCTGTGACTAGGTGTATCATCGCAGCATATTGGCCAAACTTTATATCCTTTAACGACACAACCAGATAAGTTGTCATAGGCAGGAAAATCATTAACTGTCCACAGTAATACACCTGAGTGTAAAGTATTCTCCTATATGTGCATCATACACTCCTCTAATCTCATCCCGCAGAGATTTTAAATCATCAATAAAAGGCTATAAGTAGACGTCTATATCATTTCCAGGCTGTTTAGGACTGGAAATCAATAAGGTCAACATCATGAACTTCCGTTTCATGCATAGCCATGGTGGGAGATTATATGTAACTAAGATAACTGGCCAACAACTGTATTTGCTACTTAAAGAACTGTGGGGATTGAATCCATCAAATGAGAGAGCCAATCTCAAGTTTCTTGGCTCTTTACCAAACTCGGGTCATTTATCATCAACAAGTTTCCAAGACGGGGAATCTGCTAGATGAGACATCTGACCGTCAACTGATTTTCTAGCAGCATGCCAAGTCAAACTCTTAGTTGTCTTATGTGATTGAATCATCCTTTTAAACCTTGGAATTGAGGAAAATACCACACCACCTTCGTTGGCACACCCTCTTTCAAGATTGAATCTTTGCCTTCCTTCCACCTTGAGACACCATAAGTAGGACAATTAGTTGAATTTTCATAATCCTTCATATACAAGATGCAGTCATTGGGACATGCGTGGATTTTCTCATAACTCATCCCTAAAGCAGACAATGTCTTTTTTGCCTCGTACATAGAGGAAGGTAGTGTATTTCCTTCTGGAAGCAAATCTCCTTGAAGTATCAATAATTCTGTAAAACAAACATCACTCATCTCATGTTTTGCTTTCAAATTATATAACTTCATCAAAGCTGACAACATTGTGTACTTACTGCTACCAGGGTACAATCTCTATCCCCAATCACATTGGCAAACTCATAAGGATCAAATCCAATATCACCTAAATCATTATCATCCATCCCTATTCTTCATAAACAAAACTGAACCTACTATGCTCATCTTCTTCCACATTTCTCCTAGCATTAGTAGTCCATTCCCAAGGTTCTCTATGCCATGTCCAAATCTTATAGCTTTGGCCAATTCCATTAAAGTATAAGTGGTCCCTTATAATTCCAACTCCAAACAATCGAATATTTCCACATTTAACACATGGACAACGAATATGAGTTGTATTTCCAAGATTTTCTACAGCAAAATTCAAAAATCCTTCCACACCTAACTCATATGCCTTCGATCTTCTATCCGCATGCATCCATGACTTATCCATCTCACACACTATAAAATCATACATATAATAAAGTAAAAGACCAGCAATGAAACACTACTATATTGACAAAGAAGAGAACAAAGTGGAAAAAAATAAAAATAAAAATCTACAAGAATCAGACGACGGTTTTTACAAAATAATCGTCGAGTAACATAGATTAAGACGACGGCATGTCTATTTACTGTCGTCTTTAAGCAACCTAACAAGATATTTGTTAGGGTTAGGGTCAACGGTGGTAGTAAATAAAAAGCTGACATATAATAAAAATTTAGACAACGGTTGGTCCCACCAACCATCGTTGTGGTTTACAAAAAACCAAAGCCTAATTCTTTCATCCCCATTCCTTTTCAAAGAACCCTTAACAGAGTGCAAACATCAAAACATAAAAGAACCCATATTAAGAAACCAAAGCTGAGAGAATATACAAACTAACATAATATTTAGAGAGATCTGAGACAATATACAAACTAATTAAGAGAATATTGAGAGAGAGCTGAGAGAATATATACAAACTAGTAAGAGAATATTGAGAGAGAGCTGAGAGAAAATATCAAATGCTTGAGAGAGCTCAGAGAATATACCCAATGCTTTGAGAGAGAGTGAAAACTTTAAGACAAATTTACGTTGAAGAGAAAGAAGGAAATGCTTTAAGGTTAAAGGGAAATTTTGAAAATTTTAGATCCCAGTCAAAAATTTCAAAGGACCGCATTTATTAAAGACGGCGGTTATGTTACACCGACGCCGGTGTAACGCGTTTTGACGTCGCTCATACAAAAACCAACGTCTAAAGTATTAAATAATTAGATTTGCTTTGTGTTTCCTGGGATTCGAACTCGAGTAATTGACCAAAAAGAGCAAGAGAAAACCGGCATCGTTTCAATAAAACCTAAACCCTAAATTTTACAATAATTATAAAAAAAAATACGCAAGTATGAGAAAAGTGAACCGAAAATTGCTACGGACTCCTTACAACAATGCCTTCTATATTAGTAGGCTAATATCCATATTAAATAATTTTGAATTTTATGACCACCAATGGACCACATAAACCTTATAGGGTTATGTTATGGAAAGTATATGACTATTGTGCTTTGTCTCTAAATCTTTTTTACTTTTGTTATCACTTCTAATTTTGAAATCTAAAATTAAAATTTTCAGGCATGTAGGGGGGAGATATTGACTCAATGAGTGCATAGAATTTGTCGGTTTATTTTTGGATTTTTTTTTAATATATTATGAATATTAGTAAATAAATACAAATACAAATTTTTTTAAAATTAAATTTTTTTAGAGATGTAGGGGAGATAAATATTTCAATGAGTGCATGGTAGTTGTCAGTTTATTCTATGGAATTTGTTAGGAATAAAATATAAAAGTCATACAAAAATAAAATGACAAATGTACATAATCGACGTTGCATCCGTTTACAACGACATTAAATAACACATGACACCGTCCTAGAATACATTAGATGTTGTAAAGTACTCCCCGACGTGGTCAGTATGTTACAACGTCAACCTTTTCTTAATAACCGCCATATGTAGAATTTATATCGTCGATTATTATGTTGATGACGATGTTGTTTAGATATACAACGTCATATTTTACCCTGTAATCGACGTTGTATGCCTTTAACACGTCCACTTTGTTGTACTAACGGACGTAGTATATCTATACAAAAAATTTCGTAGATTTCATATTTAAATAATTTAATTTGAAAATATTTGCATGGTAGTTGTTTATGGAAGTTGTTTTGAAATTATTATGAATATTAGGAATAAAATATAAAAGTCATAAAAAAAATTAGTTTGTACAAATGTACATAACCGACGTTGCATCAATTTACAATGACGTTAAATAATACATGACGTTGTTCTAGAGCCCATTAAACGTCACAATGTACACACCACCGTGGTTAGAAAGTTACCACAACAACCTTTTTTGAATATAACCGCCGTGGGTAGAATTTACACCATCGATTATTATGTTGATGACAATGTTGTTTATATATACAACGTCACATTTTAACCTGTAACAGACGTTTTATGTCTATACAAAAAATTTCTTAGATTTCAGTTTTATATATTTACCGTCGTGTATATCAACCTTACATGATGTGTTTGAGAAATGCAATCGATGTTTTCTTTCCCGTTATAATAAGACGGCAGTTGTTTATAGATATGAGACGTGTAAATAAGAATTAGACGTCGGTTTTTGGGAATTAATTTAAATTTTTATGATTTATTTTCATTTTATTTCATTTAACGACATAAATATCTTATACCCAAAACAAAAAACAAAAAACTAGAAACAAAAATATATTTCATTTGATTTTTTTATGAATGTTCAATTAATTACCAAAAATATGTTTATATACATTATCAAAAAATTAAAATAAACCTAAACATTTTTAAAATAAATCACTTATTGTTCTGTAATTGCTTTTTCACGAATTCTGCCCATTTCAGCCTGACTTCGTCAATATGTTCTTGAGTATACACAATTGCTTCCTTTTTCTTGTCAAACAGCAAATAAAGAACAAAAACCGACGTGTTATAAATATTTAAACGATGATTTTTAAAGAAAATGTCGTGGTATTAAAATAAAGAAATTATATCTTAAATTTTACTTTCTTCTCAAATGCTAGGCCTGGATCATGAATTATATCTCTCATGAAACGCATCACGTAATAGCCACACTCTATATTTGTTGGTTGTCTAGGAGTGCCTTGTAGATTTTTCCATATGGGTGATTTACGTGATGATAGTTTGCCTGTGTGAGAGTTATACATTTTGATTGAATTGTTTCAAGAAAACAAACAGTGTTAGTGACAAAACTAAAAATCAACATAAAAAATATTAACCGCCATGGTATATAAGTGAAGATGACGGTTTTGTAAAACAAATGACGTCGTATTTTATTTAAAACGTCAGAAAATAAGAACCGTCGTTGTGTATCATTCTAACATCGGTGAAAAAGAAAAACGACATTTAACCAAAGTTGTTTTTAAATGAAAGTTGAACAGAAAAAATTAAACGTTCTAAAATGAAAAACACAAACGACATGGTATTTCAATGAAGAAGACGGTTTCAAGGAAATACTGACGTTTTAAATTATTTCAAACGTCAGTTATAATATATCGTCGTTGTGTTTTCACTACAACGTTGGTAATTGAAAAAGCCGTCGTATCATTCAAATGCAGAAATAAATAATCTTAGATTTTCATTAATAAACTTACGTATTCACTATATTTCTCACGTCCTTGTCAACAGAGCGGTTTGGCAATGAATCCATGTAATAGACAGTCTCCTTAGCTGGTCTCACAATTATTAACACCCAATGACCCCTACACAAAATGATCCATATAGATTAAATATACTACCAAAAAAAAATTATATTACAAAGGACCAAGTATAGAAGGGGACTAACCCTGGATTATAAGGCACCAAGTAAAATTGATCCCCATCTGCATTTTTCAGGCGTTCTGAGAGATGTTTTGAATGGTGAGATAACGTTCCAGATTGAGAGCTGACTTGTCCAGGGTCCACGAGGCCAACAAGGTTTACCATATTTGCCATTTTGAAATAGTCAAATGGGTACCTAATTAAATATATGAAATTCAATTAAATGAGATTTTAATTTAAAAAGAAAGAAAAAAAAAAAAAAAAAAAAATTGGATTTCTAGAATTACCTCATGTATACTCCAATCATTGTGGATCCAATCTCAACCATGGAAGCAAACTGTAAAATGTCTTCCCTCAAGAGCCAGGTATCATGATCAATGCCAAACATTTCCTCTGACATGTGAATTCTAATGGTCTCGTTAGAAGGCTTCAACTTGGTCTTGACATATTGGCATAGGGCTAATAGAGGAGCTGGCATGTCAAGCTTTGAGAGGTCTTGTAACAAGAAATAGATAAAGAAATAAAACTTAGTTTGTGCATGAAGTAAAATAAATGACTCCAACAAATCAACAAAACCAACGTGGTATATAATATCAACGACGGTTTCTAGAACATACTGATGGGGTAAAGGTTATAAACGATGGTAAATACATAACAGTCGTTGTGTAAATGTTACAACGTCGCTACACAATAGAAAGGTCGTCTAGGTTAAAATAGACGACGGGTTGTAAAATAAAACCCAACGTCTATTTAAAATTAAAAAATTTTAAAAAAAATCAAATGTCAGGGATTTTACCGTTTCATCTTGACGGTTTTCATGAGCATCAGCATCATTCGTGGGATTGTCTTCATCCAATTCAAGGGCTCTCACATTAGAGCAGCTTGCTTTGTCAGACATTGGATTTTTTGGGCTTTGCTCTTGAGGAATTGGATGAATTGGAGTAATTGGTGTAGTTGGATTTTTACTGAGCAAGTTGGGATCAAAGTTGAGAATTAGTTGACTGAATAGTTTCAACAAAATTTCCCTCTCTACTCGGACTGCCTCCATAACACTTTCCTTTGCCCTGGTCTCCATCTTTTTGGTTTCCTCTCTCACTGCTTCCATAACACTTTCCTTCAATTTGTCAGCAAATTTTACTCTCTGCTGTCTCGGCAAATTGAAGAATTGAGTTGGGGAAACCCCAGCTCCAACACCTTTGACTCTCCCACCATGCTCAGGGGTTCCCAAAGCCAAGGTCATAACATCGTTGCTCCCAGAGACAGTCAGAGTGCCCTGGGAGACTTATTTTTTCAAATCATAGAGAGAGAGAGAGAGAGAGAGAGAGAGAGAGAGAGAGAGAGAGAGAGAATGTTAGTGAGTGAACAAATAGTAAAACTTATTAAATTAATAAATTAATAAAAATATTAACCGACGTGGTAAAGGGGTTAAGACGACGGTTTATTTAAAAAACAGACGCAGAAAATCATTTAATACGTCAGCCCAAAACTATCGTCGTGTTGTATACATTAAAACGTCTGTCCATGAAAAAACCGTCGTTTATTTGACATCAGAGATAAAAATAAAATAAAAACTTAACCAAAATATTCATTGATCTAGAAATAGTGTACAAACCAATTGCAGAGAAATGGAAAGGGAGAGAGAGTGTGTGTGTGCGTGTGAATATGAAGAAAGTTCAAAGTTTAATTTAAAAAACCTAACACACAAAACCGTCGTTGTAATTCAATACTGACGTCGGTTTTATCAAAATACTAACGTTATATATTTTTTAAAAGGCAGTAAATAAAAATCGTTGTGGGGTTTCATGTCTAACGACCGTTACTAAAAAGATCGACGTCTGAATGAAAAATAAAACCTCTGTTTTACAAGTTTAGAATAGAGTCAGTGAGACTTACGATTAATTTTGCCTTCTTTGCAACCTTTGGATCATGGATGTTTCCCTGTTTATCTTATCTTGCCTTCTTCCATAGCAGAGATCGATCGATTTCTTCACCGGGTATGGTTTCTTTCAATTCATCCTCCAAACCAACGTATCCTTTTCGAGACAACCTATGGTTGTACTCACATTTCTCCCTTCTCTGTGACTGCTCAGAATGCACAACCTCAAAATCTGGGGATAACCTTGAAGCTACAAAGGCATCCCATTGCGACTTCTCTATGAAGTTATAAAGCTGAGGGGCCTCTTTTAACTTCTCCTTTTCATTTGCGAATGGAAGGATAAACTGCCTAATTAAGGTAGACTTAAAATCCTTCCATTTTTTGGCGGCAGACGACAGCACCATCTTCGTACCCCCTTCCCCAACAACATAAGCCATTTGAACAGCTTCCCAAATCTGCTGCTTCAAGTCCTTGGGCAATTGAGTCCATTTCTTGTCCACAAGAGGGACTCTGGTGCTTGCCAAAACACCAATGCAACTCTGCATCTCAATAGCAGCCTTGCCATGTGGTCTGCCACTTTTATTGTACTCAACCACAAGCTAAATCTTCTGGATTTTTCTCTTCACAACACGGCTCATTGTGCTGATACCACGAGTTGATTTCGTCACTTCATCAAATGTCACAGAGCTTGGGTCCTTCTCAGAGGATGAAGTAAATCTCATCTTCTTTGCGGGATTGCTTGGAATAGATTTGGATTCAACCATTTGTGCATTTTAAACTGCAATGTCCTTGCCTTAACCTTTTGACGCTTGAGCCTCCTTACTTTGAGATTTCGAAACTATATTTAGAAAGAAATACAAACTGCAAGAAAAACGACGGCGGTTAAATGAAAGTTCAGACGGAAAATGAAAGTTCAGACGACGACAACCAAACAGAATTGTTGTTCTAATCTATAGAAACGTGGATGTGCTAATACGACGTGGTCATTAACTTAACACGACGGTAATTAAATAAACTGTCATCATATTATAAGTTCATAAATAAAAAAATCGCCCAGTTTTCTCTCTCTCAAGTACGTTTCCACTCAGACGACAGTTTTTATCTTTCAAACGTCGTATTTATTAACAAACCACGTCAGTTATTATGAACAGTCGTGCTATTGAAATAGCACGAATGTAATTACCGTCATGGTGTGTCAACAAAAACGTCAAATTCGAGAAAAACTCGTCGTCCTCACATGACCTGTGAGTGGGAACAATGAAAGATTTGGCCTTTTCAAACCTGAATCTTGTTTCAAACATCAGTGGGACGTTCTTTAAAAAAAAAAAAAAAAAAAAAAAAAAAAACTAAATGATGATGGAAAGAAAGAAAAAAAAAAAAAAAAAAAAAAAAGGGAGTGAGAAAATACCTTTGGCTTGCAAAGAAAGTTTTCTTTGTAATCAAATTTTGGAGACGAAGACAAGGAAGAACGTAAAAGAGAGGGAAACTAAGAATCAGAAACGCAGCTTTTCGGAAATGAGAGGGAAACTGAGAGAAAACTGAAAATTTTAGAGAGAACGTAAAAGTTTAGGTCATGTGACCAAAAAGTTTATATAGTGACCCAAAGATAAATACAATGATGGTAGTCATAAAAACCACCCTAGTATGTACTTACCACGACATTAAAATAACATCAACTGACGTGGTTAGTAAAAAAGCCTTTTGACTTTTTGTATTCCGAAAACGACGTGGTTAGTTGGGCGCTACACATCAAAAGTTTACTTTTGAAGAAGTATTATAATAAGTTACAACGTCGTTGTTTTATATGGAACCGACGTTATTTGTCTAACCTTGTTGCCTTTAGTTTAATGACCGACGTTGTTTTTCTGGTTAATACGTCTTACTTGTTTCACGAACCAACGTCGATTCCTTTGTTAAACAACGTTAGGTGTAATATAACCGACGTGGATATGAAATTTTTTTTATAAATTGAGTTTATTTTCACGAGTTCTTTCATTTTCAATTTTCAATTACGGTTCCAACTTCTTCTTGCCCTTGGCTCTGTCTCACCTCTTAGGAGGTAATTGTTTGGATGTTGATGTGTGTGTATGTTTGTGTATCTGAAAGACACAAACACACACACATCATCAACTTCCAAAAAATTGTCTCTCTGAATGCAAATCTGTTTCTGCCGTCGTCAAATTTTAGTGGCAATTATTTGGATGTTGATGTGTGTGTGTTTGTGTATCTGAAATACACAAACACACACACATCATCAACTTCCAAAAAATTGTCCATTTGAATGCAAATCTATGGCTGCCGTCGTCAAATTTTAGAGGCAAATTTTTGGATGTTGATGTGTATGTGCCTTCGTGTATCTCAAAGACACGAAGCCACACACATCATCAACGTCTAAAATATTGTCTTTCTCTCACATTGGTGGTCCGATTATGATGAGGAACAAAGTTCCATCTTGTAAGATTTCGTAACTCTTGGGATCTCAAAAAAATCTGATTTTGTCGGCGGTTTTCTATATAAACCGTCGTGGTTATTCTCAATTCTTGTCATTAAGTTGATCTACCGACGTACGATACCAAAATCCAAGAAATAAGTAGTTTAAAAAATTACTATTAAAACGACGGTTTAGATATAAGGTGAGACGTATAAAGTGAATAAATACGACGGTAATTTTATCTTCACAACGTATCTCTTGGGATCTCAGAAAAATCTTATTATGTCGGCGGTTTTCTATATAAACCGTCGTGGTCAATTCTTGTGATTAAGTTGGTCTACCGTCGTAGGATACCAAAATAAATAGTAAAAAAATAATATTATTAAGATGACGGTTTAGATGTAAGGGTAGACGTATAAAGTGAATAAATACGACGGTAATTTTAACTTCACTACGTGGTAAATTTTATTATATGGTATTAATTGACCAAACCAACGTGGTTAGAGTTAAAGATACCGTCGTAGTACACTACAAGAAATAAGTCGATAAATTTATCTTTACCATCGTTGTACATTTATTTAATACAGCAGTATTTTGTAATATACCGTCGTGGATTCTTTTGAAATTATACGACGCCAGATACGAAAACTTGGTCATGTTTATTACGGAGTAAAAACGGCGGCTATTTCTTTACACCATCGTCTTTACTTTCTACGTCGGTGGATTCATCCTTCTGCTGTTGTTTGTGGGCTCAGAGTTTACTCTGAGGAAAACCTTTTTTCAATAAGACGTCGCTTTTTTAATTAGGTGTGTCGTTTTTTAAAAACTCCCATTGGAATCTCCATTTTTTAGGTGTTTAAGTTAATCATACACAGCGGTTTATAAAATTGTCATATATTCAAACACAACGACGGTTTTTCGTTGAACCGTCGTTGTTTTCTGGTCGTCTTTTTCACTTTTTGTAGTAGTGATGGTGTTGGTTTTCTTTGTGCATTGGTTTCTGACCTAGGGCTTTGGTGCCGTTTCTTTATCTTCTTCAATGTCTAATGTGATTGATTGCAAGTGGACAATATCGTTCAAATTAGTATAGTAGTAAATAGTGTATCGTTCCAACAGAGATCAAGTTAATCTAATTAAATATTAAAGTGATTTATTTCTAATTATATTTGAATTAAAAAAATAAGAGAATTATGATGATTAAAATCTAATTAAGCAAGTAAAATAAATCGAGTTTAAGTAAATAATGTAAAAGATGAAAACAAAGATGATAAAGCACTAGGGCACCGATTTTACCTAGCTAATCCCACCCAAATCCTTCTGCCTTGTTAATCATAATTACCTAACATATTGATAATCATTTTCCCTTACCTCACCAATACTCTCTTCCGAGTTATATTAGTTGTATTCCTTACCATCAACCCACTCTATTCCTAGTTATGGATTTAGATAGCTAAGAACCCATTAAGAATGAGTATTCATAGCTAGGTATGTATAGATAAATAAAATTAACAATATCAAAGAATGAGTATTCATAGCTAGGCTACATCATAGCCCTAGTAAAGGAAATTAGTTCATGAATGACTTATTGAGAATCATGATGGTTGATGAAGACATGGAAGGCACCGAATTCTCCAAGTAGAACGGCAAGGTTGCGCAAGCTCTCTTCGTATTCTCCTTTGAGTGCTTCGGCTATGAGTATGAATATGGAGGAATTTGATGGTGGAGGGATGGAGGATGATGGATCCTTGGCCAAAACTCCACATTTATAATACTCCTAGAAATCCTATATATCTAAGGTAAAATTACAATTGTTATAAAAATAGGATTCATTCTCATATAGGGTTTTCTTTATTTCTCCTCATTTGATTTGGTAAGACTTGAATCATCTTGAACTAGGAAATTTGACAACATTCCATGTGACAAAATGAATGACTTGGCTTTTTTTTTAATTAATCTCCAATCTTCATCTTCTTGCCCCTTTTTACCTCAATTTCTCATATTTCACAATTCCTTGACAAATCTCACGAAACCAATTAAAACAACCAATTTAATCCAATGAAATTAACAAATAAATAAGTAAATGAAGCATAATATATATATATATATATAATATAGGCTTATCAATGTCGCTTCAGGTCCTCATTATTGCGTGTTGTCACTTTTTATTTCCTTTCAATTATTGCTTCCATGTTTTTGGTGTGTGGCAGCTTGGCGTTTGCTCGAAGCGTTTGGTGTGACGGCTAGGGTTACGGGCTCTATACCTTTGCCTACCTCCACGCTTTAGGGTTGGCCTATGTCAGTTGTTTTCTTGTACACTTGTGGGTGTCTTCCTACGTCTTCCTACGGTGATTCACAATCACGATGTTTCTGTTGATGATATTAAGCGCTCCTTTGGGAGTTGTTTGATGCTCACCTCACGTGAACAGGCTGGGGTGGTTATTGGTTCTTCAACCATCTCTAATAGTTTTATTGGATTTACCTATAGTCTTGTGGCCAAAAGTCCTTGTGGATCACCGTGTCAACAGTGATGGTTTTATTAAGACTTTTTTGAATCTTTGGAAGGAAACTGAGGAGGTCTTAATCAAGGAAATATTGTCTAATAGATTCTAGGTTCGCTTTGTGAGTGAATTCAAATTTGATCTCCTTCCATACTTCACAAGCAGCAGCTAGTTCAGGACTCCATTTGCTAGCCTCGCGAATAATTTCATTACCCTCACCCTCACAAGCAAGATCGCATCCCTCATTATGAGCTTGTACACATGCTTCTAGAGCTACTTGATTAGCTACGGCACCAAGTGCATTTCCCCAAGGGTGTCCTAAAGTTCCGCAGCCAAATTGTAGTACAGAATCATATCGGGATCAAAAAAAGGTCCTTGAAATGGAACCGTAGGTGTATCGACGCTCATTAGTCTTAATGGCCGAACCCCCAAATGATGACAATATGCACTCTATGCCTTTGATGCATGGCACTTTTTGGGTTCAGTTACACGGTGTTCCTAGCTTCTATATGACAATTTTTGTTGCTCAGGCTATTGGTGCTATGTTAGGGGATGCTATTCGGGTAGATAATCGTGATGGATCCGATTGTGAAGGTCATTTTATTCTCATCCATGTGCGATTTGATGTCACTTTACCTCTCATTAGTCAAGCACCAGTCACTTTTCCAAAGGTTGGGGAGAAAATGGTGGAGTTCATATATGAGTATCTTCCTAAATATTGCTTTGCTTGCAGGCAGCTCGGCCATTCTACTTAGGTGTGCCTTAAGAAATATGAATCCATCAGGCCTTTCACTCCGAGTTTGTGTGATTAGTTGTACTCGGCTTTTGCTCATTTGGAAGGTATTATTAATTTATGTGGTAAACCTATTGGCTCTCTGGCTCTCCGATCCTCGGTTTTTCCCCTTCCTTTCAGGGGCACTACTACATTTTCACAAGATGGTTCGGGTGATCACGATAGTCCTAATGATCGTTCTTGGCGTTCTCGCTCCCGTGATAGGGATGAGTTTACTGATATTGCATCTCCTCCCACTTCATCATGTTGTCATCGGGGTTTGGAGGCCATTGATTCTTTTCCTTGACAGGCTGGTCTCACTTTGGATGAAGTTCACTCCCTGGTACCACCTCCACCGATCCTGCCTGAGCTGGAGTTTGGTCCTCTTCCCATGGATATTCCCCCAATGAGGTACCTTCCCAGGCACCCCCTACACTCTTGGGGATTTGACTATTTTACAGGTTGTAGGTGCACCTTTTGGATCCGTTGTATCTCTTGGTTTTGGGGCCACTTCTTAGGATTGTGTGAGTCTGGATCTCTTTGACCCTTTTGCTCTCATGCCTATCATCCAGTTCTCTGAAGGTTTACCGAAGAAGAAGGGTCGTGGCAGACCCCAAAAAAGAGGATGATGGTTCACATAATGCATCCAGTAAAACCAATGTGAAGCGCAAGCAACTAGATGAGGTGGTTATATGTGGTGATTTATTGGTGTATGTTGCAGATTGCGTTGGTCATAAACGCTTCTGTAGTGGCGATCGTTCTAATAAGGCCAAGGAGACTAATCTTGTGGAGTCTCCTGAGGGTCCACCTTAGTGTGCTGCTGGAGTGTCCGTGGGCTTGGCGTTCGGCGAATGCTCTTTGCCCTAAAGTCGTTTTTCTTCAGGTTAAGTGGCCATCATAGGGTTTTGTTTGTGTTCTTGCTTTTTCGAGGAGCTTTCTTGGGTTTTAGTTTCTGTTTTGATGTCCTTTGTTTTCCCCTTGTTTCGTTGCAACTTTGCAGCTCTTCTTTGCTCTATGTCGTCTAAAGAACTGCGCTTTGTCATAGGAGGTTTTCTTTGTCATCTTCTGAGTTGAGTTGGGGTGCTTCACAAGGTTCATTTTTACTATCATCTTCTGTGTTCTTCCACTGTGTGCTCTCCTGCGTTTCTGTCTTTGGTATGTCTTGCGGTTCATGTACTGGCCAAAGGACTGTGAGTTCTCTCATAGAAAGCTTCTTTTGACCCTTTGGATGATGCGTTGCGATTCTCTCACATGGGTCTAAGTGTGCAAGTTGGGTTTTTTTTTTTTTTTTTTTTTTTTTTTTTTTTTTTTTGGTTTTGGTTTGTAACTTTTTGGGTCTGAGTCGAACTCTTCTGTTAGTCCTTTGCATGTGTGGTACTCTTTCCTATCTTTGGATTTGTCCCATGTAATTTTCCTATGAAGGTTTTAACGAGGCTACTATTTTTATGCCTTTCTTTGCGTGCATTTTTACTTATGAATGAAATCTTCTTCCCCGAAAAAAAAAACCTATGTAGCATAAATAACCATCACTAAATACCTAGCTACCTATAACGTTATTTGTTGGAAAGATCCTGTTAATTCTAAAGAACTTCTGCTGAATGTTCAACCAACTTTCTGGTATTCATAATTATTTGTTAGAATGCTTTCCTTGTCCTCCATTCTATCTTGTACACGTTGCTCATTTCTGGTATTCATAATTATTTGTTAATTCTAAAGAACTTCTGCAGATTTTTCGTACACGTTGCTCATTTAGCACACCAAATAAAATTATGCCTTGGGATGAAATATTACACTAACAAATTATAGCAAGTCATTTATGCAGCAGCTCCTGTGCTGCCATACTCAGCAAACCAGTGCATCCAGCACGTTTCTATTACCTGTTCACCCTCTGATGATATATACATGCCTCTACTTACAATGCATTCAACCAATATGCTTCTTTTGCATTCTCTCTGCCCCCAAATATTCCATCCATGTATTTTCAGCTTCCCGCAAGATCTAAACAAGAAGATAAAGTCGGAATAATTAGTTGATAAAGCCATCTTGGATGCAGGATTTTTGAACATATAAATACAAAAAACACTCGAAAAACACACAATCGACTGTGTATTCTAAAACTCTCTGTCCATTGGCACTATCTTCAGTAGCTTGGTGAGGTCATAGGACTTGAAGTCTTTCCCATAACATAAGCCCAGATCTATGGGAGTTCTGCCATCCTGAAAAATATGGAGCAACTTTGTTAAGATCACTTTTACAGAAAAAAGGAAAGAAAAAAAAACAGAGTAGAAAAATCCTTGCTTCATCTCTACTAGAGATCCCTGCCTGTATCTGGTTAATCCTACCTTATTTCTTCTACTCTTATCTGCACCATTGACTAACAAAATTTTTGCAATATCTCTATTTCTACTTTGTACAGCAATATGCAACGGAGTCCATCCATCCTGAAATACAAGCATATGAAGTTGTTAACAAGCTGGAGAAAATAAAAGAAAAAAGACAAACTGGATACAGCTTTGAGAAATTTCAAAAAATAAAACTCACATTATCTGCAACATTGACATCAACTTTATATTTGATCAATAACTTGACAATCCGCTTGGTGCCTACTTGTACTGCATAATGAAGTGGCGTAGCACCATCCTATAACACAATAATCATAAAAACTTATAGTTCCCCCACAGAAAAACGGACCAGGAGACATTAATCAAAATCTTTTCCTTACCCCATCTCTGATATGAGGACTTGCACCTTTTCTTAGAAGATGACTAATAACAGCTTCCTTTTTGGCTATGATTGCAGTATGAAGAGCAGTTAAGCCATCCTGTTTCACCAAATGAATCTGAGGTTTACTAAGCCAGGTACTACAGGGTGCTATCAAATTGGAGATAGATACGGGAACTCCATTATAGATAAAACTCACCTTATCAACAACATTAATATCTACACCATCGTCAAGTAACTTGTCCATGAAAGTTACCAGCCCCGATAGTGCAAGAGTATGTACTGGATTCCATTTTGCCTGAGTAATGAAGGTATAAGACACAATAAATGAAGGAAAAAAAGTAATCACTCTCTACTTGCACATTTGACTTCTTATTAACAGTTGTTTTAGGGAGTGAGAAACAGTTCAATCAATCTGCTCAATCTACAATTCATCATTTGTACTATAGGAGGTAGGTAATGGCATGAGCAGACTGCTAGAAACTCATTTTAGTTAAAACTTGAACAGAAAGCATTACAGTTGATATTTTCTTCATATAGGGAGTCGCATGCTTGTGCAAAATTGCTTTTTCTTCTTGCTCCAAGAGCTGTTCCACCTCTGAAATAAACAGATAATACCAATGAATATTTGGCGTTTACCAGACACTGAGATGCCCAAAAACGTGTTATTACATTGAAGAAGAAAATTATCAGACCAGTGTTTTAAGATCTACATGACCAAGAAATTGTAGACTACAAATCATCAGCCAGAACTGAATAATCTTACTACAGCAACAAATGTTCTAATATTGTAAGATAACATGGTAAATCTAGGAAAAATGTTTTGTCAAACTATCAATTTTAACACAGCATGTCTGATTCTCTGCAAAGAGAACATTACCCAATAAGACTTTTCTTAAGAAATCATTTAACAATAAATAAATAGTACGGAAAACTAGGGGTTTTCCATAAACTTCCCAGAAAGATCATAAACCCTCTAGAACCCAAAGCTTCTTTTAACTTTTAGAACACCAATTTCAGAGAAAACAGTAATATTGATGCGACAAGAAAATAAAAGGAAAGTAAGAATAAACCTTTCACAAGTTCCTCTTCATACTTGTTTGTTGTGGACCTGTCAACAAAAGCAGCAGCTGGAGCACCCTTCTCTTCTTCTCCTTCTCCTTCTTCTTCCCATTCACTTTGGAAACCCAAGTCATGTTCTTCTGTTTCTTCCTCATCTTCACTGCCGCTGCCATCGTCAGGATCTTCCCACGTTCCCATGTGGGTCTGTAATGAAGATGAAGATGTTGGGTTTGACTCAACCAAAAAATTTCTCAACTTGGAGTGCCTGTCAGCACCATGGAAGCTGAAGCTTCCCCTCCTTATACTATACGCTTTCAAAACATTGGTGTTATGAAGCAATTGTAATTGATGGCTATTTTCTTTGGCCGTGAAATGCTTGAAAGAGCTCAAAATTGCAAAGGAATGGTAACCTTTTGGGGCAGAGAGTGAGCGTAGAGCTGAGAATGGTGAGATTGAAACCGTGCCCATTTGTTTTCAGCGACCGAAGTAGCCACTGTGTGAGTCAATGAGAGAACACAAGTTAGAAGAGAGTTTGGGTATAGAGGTATGGATTAAAGTTAAAGACTATCAAATGGGTCGGGTCAAACCGGATTTAGTAATAGAGGGATTTTGGGTATAGAGGAATGGATTAAAGGATACAGGGTTAAGAACTATCAAATGGGTCGGGTCGAACGAATTTAGGAATTTAAATAAGGGTGTGTAAAATTTGATTCAATTTTAATTGATTTTGATGATTTTGCGGATTGCTAATTTTTTGTTTCCCTCTTTTCGGCTGAAGCGGCTGACGAAAGGAACTTTTGGTCCATCTTCTTTTCTAAGTGTTGGGCATGCCACCATCAAGCCACGAATTTGGCTTGGACGGAATATGAGTGTATGTTGCGTCCGAGATTTGACTTTAATCAAACGATTGTTCGGCCGAGCAAGGAACCTCCTCACGACTGAGGTTCTTTCACTACCTCGATGTCAAGGCTTTATGTGAGTGACCAAATAATGTGGAGTGGGTGGAGATGAAGATTGAAGGTGAAACGTAATGAAACGAAGAACAAGTGCATAAAGTAAATGTGCTTAAACTTAAATATAATTTAAAGATAAATGTGTAAAGTAAAGTGCGTAAGATAAATAATGTAAAGACAAGAATTGAAGTGCGATAAAATAAATCAAAGCGATAAATAAACAATAATGAAATAAGAACGATAAGAACGGTAACTAAATTAAACTTGAATTTAAACTTAATGAAAATTCAATAACCATGAAAATGAAAACGATTGAAATAAGCTTGAATTTAAATGACAAGATAATGTAAATTGCAAGAATTTAAACTTACAATAAGGAAAGGAAGAACTTGCTACACTAGATGCTTGAAAAGTAAAATCCTAAGTCTAAGAAAAGAAAAATGTAAGACGAAAAATAGGTTTGTGTGTCTTCTGTCTTCATTTGGTGAGGTTTATATAGGGCATTCGTCAGCCCATAGCTTGACCATTGAATAGCCAAAGGTCAACTCTTTTAAAAAAATTCCTTTCGAGGCCCCCCTAAATCTGTGGGATTGCATTGATTGAAATATTCTAACATGCTTGATTCTTCCTTGCTTTGGAACATTCGGAATTATTATCAAACTCCTTGATTTCTTTCCTTGTGAGGCCTCCGTCACGTGCACACTGACCTCTGGAAATCTTAGGTGTGAATCTGTGTCTTGGGCTTGGACCTCCGAGATTTCATCTTGACATCTAGTGGAACCTCGTGCCGTTTGAGTTTTTAGGCAACTCCAGCAGCCGATTCCATCAAGTAAGGCATTGATCTTCATCCTTTTTCCACGTTCTATCCATTTATGTAGTTGGTTTGGATTGATTTCGTGGTTTGAAGAGTTGATCTGGACACCCAATTTGGCCGGCAATTTGGCCGTATTTTAAGCCACTCCGGCCACTTTTTGACCAGGGTCCAAACATTCATCTAGTTGTGCTTGACCTTTTGGTATAGGACTTGACCGGTGGTTTGGAAATTTTTCGATCGCCGGAAATCTCTCATGCCACCTATTGTCAGAGGCGATGTGTGGTGGTGCATCAGTCGGATGTCGACGACTTGTGTCCCTCAATCTTCCTAAGCACGACGGTATACTAGCTAAATTCGACCGTTTGAGGATTATACCAAAACTTACCTATTAGGCGACGAAACTCTCGGGATATCTTAAAGGGGTTATGTTGAACCTATAGAACTTTCATATTGATGATCGGAGGTCGTAGGCCCCGCGGGCTCCGTTGACCAATATGAAAAATTTGACCACACAGTTAACCACGGGTCTTCTAAAATTATTTCTTTTTGCAAAGTGATAGAATGGGCCTAGGAACTTTCTAAGGTACACACTTTAAATGTTGGGAATTATGTTTTTTGAATAAGGGCTTGAGGCAGAGCTTTTTTATTAACCAAAGCTTGTATTCTCTCAATAGGTGTACAGACTCCACATGCCCAACCCGAGGGACCCTCGAAGGGTCAAGCAAGCTTGGACCCACAGTGAGTGGACAATTGTTTTATAAATGATTTTCATGCTATGATGGTTTTATAAAATATTTTATGAATGAATTATTTATGGTGTTTACTTTCCGAGAATTGGGTTTTGGTTGAGATTATTATTATTATTATTATTATTATTATTATTATTATTATTATTATTATTATTATTATTATTATTATTATTAAATTAGATTAGTTCTGAAGTTGAGAATGATTTGAGAACTGGATTTGAGAAAAGATTTGGGAAAGGTTTTCAAAACCACCTTAGGTATCCTTGTGTTGCCTTCGAATATTATGATGTCCTCAGACGTCTCAGTTGCCTTTGGAAATTAGAATGTCTTCGGATGACTTGGTTGCCCTTGGATAAGTCTGCGCGCATATGACACTGCGCCCATGAGGCTTGGGGATGCCCAAACTGTGTGGTGCGAGGAATGCGTCTCATGCTGACCTTGTGTCCCCCGAATTTTGTGAGGATGTATCACACATGTGGCCACATATGACCACATGTGTGGTACTTGGAATTGACGGTATATTGTTGGAATTGACTGATTTTCTATGGGATACACCTAGGAGGAAAGTATTTTCAGTTTGAGGAATTTTGTGTTGAAAGTGATGATTTATCTTTTTGCATGAGATATTATATGTATAAGTATGAATCTTGTTTTCCTATACGAATATAGAATGGAAGTGTAACTGGTTTTCAAATGGTTTTTAAACAATGGGGGTTAGGCCTAGTTTGGGATTGCTGTCACTTTAAAAAAAAGTTGATTCTGCTGTGCTTTAAAAATAATTAGCTGTAAAGTAAATCAGCTCCATGTTTGGTAAACACTATTTTTAAAGTGCTGTTAGTACAAAAAGCAGTGTTAAAACCGTTTGGTAAATTTTAATATAAAATTATTGTTAATGTGAATAATGACTAAAATAGACATGATGTTAAACGTGTTATGCACTAATTATATGGTGGTAGTGGTAGTGATGGAGTGGAGTTGGTGGTGGAGATGAAGGTGGAGTTGGTGGTTGTGGTGGTGGGGATGGTAGTTGTGGAGGTGGTGGTGGTGGTGGTAGTGGCAGCATGGTGGTGGTGGTGGATGTGGAGGTTTTGGAGGAGGTGGTGATGGTGGTGGTGGTGGTGAATGAGGAGGAGGTGATGTTGGAGGCGATGGTAGCGGAGGATGAGGAGAAGGAGGATGTGGTGGTTGTGGTGGTAGTGGTGGCGGTGGTTGTGGAGGTAGTAAATGTGGTGGTGCAAGTGGTGGAGTTGGATGTGGAAGTGGAGGTGGTGTCATTTTTTAAAATGAATGATGATATTTTGGGAATTAGAAAAATTCATTAAATGTTTATCTATGCTTCTTTTGAAAGCAGCTTTGAAAAGCAACCCAGAGTCAGCTTTTAAAAGTTGCTGTCAAAAGGCCACTGCTTTTAAAATAATCGGGATATTTTAATTTTACCAAACACCTTAAACTGCTTAACTTTAAAGTTAAGCAGGTTTTTGGCCAAAAAAAGCAATCTCAAACGGGGCCTTAGTATGTCCTTATTATGTTATTAACATTTATTTTTGTCCACTCATACTTTTATTGTTTTGCGTCCCCTAGACAAAAGATGAGTACCGGACAACCACTTGAGGGCATTCCATCTTCCACTACTTTTCCTCCTTCTCCCTTGTGTAGGAGTTTCCTTGTTTGTGAACATAATTTCCTTGTTGTAAACTTAAGTGGAATAGATATGTTATGATATAGCCCTAAAACTCTGTAAGGCTTGAGGCCATCCGGATTAGTTGTTCTGTGTGTGTAAATTTATCTTTTACATGCTGAACGTTTGGAGATTTTAAACTGTGACTTGTTTACAAGTGCGAATTTGTTGGAAATGAGCATTTTTCAAGGGAGACTCTGCCAATTTTTCGGTATAAGTCAAACTCTAAAGTAGTTTTTGGGATTAGGGAAAAATGGGTATTTTGGTCATTCGTGCTCGACACCTGTTGTGTGTTGGACACGCACATGGTTCGACACGGATTCCAAAGTGGAATTTGAGTAGGAGCCTATCAATCAAAAGGTTCAAATTGAAGACAAAATTAAAGGGAAGAATCTTATGTGATTGACTTTGATTTAAATCAAATATTAATCAAGTCAATCAATTGAAGATAATTTGGCTAAATTGCTGAATTATCGGAATTGATTTTAAATCAAATCAAAATCCCACAAAGCAAGGTCCTAAAGAATGAAAGCCCTTTAGATCAAGAATCATGCAGGAGCCTATAAATAGGAGGCCTCAAGACAAAGGAAAGGACTCTGAGACAGACCAAGAACTCAGAAGAATCAAAAAAACTCTCTGCATTCTTCACCCCACTTTAGAAGAGCCACCAAGCACAATAAATAGGTGTCAGTTCCTCCACCATAGAAGAATCCAATCACTAAACAAGCCTTGTGCTACCCGTTTGATCAAGATCAAGTCTCTATGACCCTTGCATCAATCACAAATTTTCTTTAAACACTTCGGAGATCGAATTAGAGGATTTCATACAGATATACTAATAATACTTTGTATACGTGTTCTTGTCTCATTTGTCGTAGAATTTTCAAGTTTACAATATATTTTATATATATAAAAAAATAATGAATGAATAATGATAAAATAACAATAACAATGAGAAGTATGAACTAGCTATTATAATCTTGCTTTCATACTTCTTTATACATAAATTAAGCTCACCACTAATAAGAAGTTTGAAAGATGATTGAAATTTTCTTTTCTTTTTTTGAATTTATTTGTAAATACCACGAGGTGTCCCCACACCTAAAGGATGGGATTAATCCCACTCGGGGTTTGGTCTAACATATGGAGATCATTTGGTCAACTATATAAAATAAGGAAGTAAATCACCTAAGTAACTTAGGAAATAAATCTTCTTGATTTAATAAGTTAACTCACGTCAACAAAATAGAAAGTCCCACATAATAAATGGTCCACTGCTAATAAAACCGAGGTCTTTTGTATAAAACCCCACACTTGCTAAACAGGTGGTTAAGTTTGGGACAATATCGATGTTGCTAGTGGTGGACCAATGGTCCATCCCTCTGAAATCTTAACATGGTATCAGAGCGGGTTGATTGACTAGGCCTGAATTGGGCCTTTACCCTTACTCAATATGTGGTGTTCACATGTTGGGCTTGAATATTTACCTTACCTCTTATCCAATACGTGGTGTTCATGTATTTGGCTTAAATGATTGATTCCGATGTGGACTTGGCTCTACGTGTGGCCCACTATGTGGTGGTCCTGGGTGAGGGGGTGTCACATCCTAAATCGACTCTGCCATAGCACGATATTGTCTTCTTTGGGCCCCCCTACCCTTACGGTTTTGTTTCTAGAAACTCACAAGCAACTTCCCAGTGGGTCACCCATCCTGGGATTGCTCTATCCCAAACTTGCTTAACTTCGAAGTTCCCATGGAATTCGAAGTCAGTGAGTTCCCAAAAGGCCTCGTGCTAGATAGAGGTGGGCATGTATATATAAGGCACATCACCCCCTCTTCTTTGGTCGATGTGGGATGTTACAGGAGGCGTGTTGAAGAATATAAGTCTCATATCAGAAACTTGACTAAATAAAATACAATATATAATGAATGGTGTTTGTGCAAATAATCTCACGAGAGAATATTCGCTTCTAGATCCTTCAACCTTCGATCTTCCTTCTCTCTCTTCCTCGATTCTTGTAAAACAGATTGGAGTAAATAGACCACACCCTGGGGGTGTTGGCCAAAGGCCCTCCGATGCCTAAGTTAGTTCGAGTGTTTGTAGAAAAATAATAGCTAAGCAAAGGGTACGGAGTAGTGTTTATGTAGGGTGTGAACCGGGCGGCCGGAGCCGTGTGGAGAAAATATGGAGAGTGGAGAGGGAGAAAGAGCTTCGGGTATTTTTCTCAGGTATAAGGAATAGGTTTAGATGTACCTTGAATGATGAATGAAGTAGCCTATTTATAGGAGCCTCGGGGCTAGGGTTTCGTAGAGAATATGCTGAGTTTATTCCCTACCCAAATTCGTAGGGATCGAGTCGGACTTAGATAATATCTGATTTAATGATATTATCTTCTCTTTATTGAAGATAATATCTAAATTAAATGATATTATCTCTTTTTATGAAGATAATATCTGAATTAATGATATTATCTTTTCTTTATTAGGATAATATCTAAATTAATGGTATTATCTCATTAAATAAAGATAATATCCCACTAATTAATATATTTATCCCAATTAATTAATTGGCTAGATAAACTGGTTCAATTAATTAATTTAATAGATAATCTTCTTTTCCACGTGGCGTGCCCTGATTGGAGACCGAAATATTTTCTCCCACAAATGCCCCCTAGCTTCTACATGGCGCTTGTGTGGCATGTAGGAGATGAAATTATTTTTTCGGGCTCTACAACTGTGTCTGGGTTTTCTTCTGTGAGTTGGACTCCTTTTGCAGATCGGATTCTCAATTGGTGTAGGCTTCTGATTGTTGTTGGAGTTGGATCCCCAACAGGAATGAGCTTGTGATCCCTCCTTGACCCGGGTTGTCCAACTTGTATAAATACAGGGCTTCTCTTCGCTTTTTCTCACATCGCAAACTTAACTTCTCTACTTTCTGGCTTGAGAAAGATCTTGGAGAATTTGTACTACTTGTTGAAGAGATGAGTTGTCGTGCATCCAAAGTAAGTCGAGCTCGTATATTTTTTCTTCATCTTCTCTTTTTTGAGGCGAGGACCAGTTGGGTAGGACCAAGTTGGTTGACGTCATGACTGGTGGTTGAAGACGGATGGAGCTGCGATGGCTAAGAAGAGAAGAGTCATCTCCCCGGGCGAAGAGCTTTTCTGCAATGTCAGCGGCTGATCCCAATGTGGACAAGTTCAGTCCTGAAAAGGATGCAGGTGTGTTTAATCTGCTCAAGACGAACTTTCTGTCAAGTCCATCCACTTGTGCTCAGCTGGTTGACCAGATCCGTTAGGTTGGCGATCTTGGTACTTTCTCAAGTCTTTCCTTGGAAAAACAAAGGGAAGCAACATTTCATTTACCAAAAAATAGGTGGTGGAAGATGTCGCGGATCAGACAGGTGGAGCTGCTGAGAGCGTGGCTGATCAGGCGGATGCGGAAAAGACTGCGAATCAGGGATCTCCTGTTGGCGTCTCGGAGTAGATAAAGACTCCTTTATTTCTTTTCAGCTTTTGTAGTCTACTCTTTGTTTAGAATAATTGGTCTTGTTTGACCATCTTCTTTTTGTTCAATTCGCATAGTGTCTTGTGAATTGCTTGAGTGTTTCTAGGTTGATGAACGTTTAGCCTACGTCCGGAGACGTGTCGATGATAGTGGCCTGTTTAGCCTATGTTCGGAGACGTGTCGATGAAAGTGACCCATTTGGCCTACGTCCGGAGACGTGTTGATGATAGTGGCCCGTTTGGCCTACGTCTGGAGACGTGTCGATGATAGTGACCCGTTTGGCCTACGTCCGAAAACGTGTCGATGTGTGTGACCCGTTTGGCCTACGTCTGGAGACGTATCGATGATAATGGCCCTTTTGGCCTACGTCCGAGGACGTGTCGATGATAGTGGCATGTTTGGCCTACGTCCGGAGATGTGTCGATGTGTGACCCGTTTGGCCTACGTCCGGAGACGTGTCGATGATAGTGGCCCATTTAGCCTACGTCTGGGGACGTGTCGATGTATGACTCGTTTGGCCTACATTCGGGGACGTGTCGATGTGTGTGACCCATTTGGCCTACGTCCGGAGACGTGTCGATGTGTGTGACCTGTTTGGCCTACGTCTAGAGACGTGTCGATGATAATGGCCCGTTTGGCCTACGTCCAGGGACGTGTCAATGATAGTGGCCCGTTTGGCCTACATCCGGAGACGTGTCGATGTGTGACCCGTTTGGCCTACGTCCGGAGACGTGTCGATGATAGTGGCCCGTTTGGCCTACGTTCCGGGGACGTGTCGATGTGTGTGACCCGTTTGGCCTACATCCGGAGACGTGTCGATGATAATGGCCCGTTTGGCCTACGTCCGGGGACATGTCGATGTGTGTGACCTGTTTGGCCTACATCCGGGGACATGTCGATGTGTGTGACCCGTTTGGCCTACGTCCGGAGACATGTCGATGTGTGTGACCCGTTTGGCCTACGTCCGGAGACGTGTCGATGATAGTGGCTCGTTTGGCCTACGTCTGGAGACGTGTCGATGATAGTGGCCCATTTGGCCTACGTCCGGAGACGTGTCGATTGCTTTTGTGAACACTTCATTGGAAAGAAAAGCTTTGAACTTGTATTGATGTTTGTGTGACTACATTGCTGCTTAGAGCCTTCTAGGCAAGTGATATGCCCCCAGAATGGTTGCCACACTCACCATCGTGAATTTTACAGAGGACTTCAAGTGTTTGAGGGTACTTTATGCAGGTGAGATAAGGGCCGGAGTATGATCTACGGATGAGCTTGCTGCCGTGCATATAGTATCTCGCGGCCTTCTGCTGGACCTTCCTAGCTTCGGACTTATCCATTGGCAGGTTTCCATTCACTAAGTAGTCGATGATAGGGTCTTCCCAGCTGGAGTCCTCATCAATCTGCATTGAGTCGATTGGCTTTATGTCTTCGATGCTTGGCCGGTTAAGGTGTTCAACTGGGATGGAGCGTCTGAAATGGGTGTCCAGTGCTGATCCTAGGCTCGCCAACGCATCTGCATAAGTGTTCTCTGCCTGCAGAACTTGTTGGATGGTGAAAATAGGGAATTCTTTCAAAAATCCTTGGACTTTGTCGAGGTACTGGACCATTCTTAGATGTTTTGCCATGTACTCGCCTGAGGCTTGATTCATGATCAGCTGGGAGTCTAAGTAGATGGCCAATCTCTTGATCGATAGTTCTTTCGCTAGGCGTAGTCCTGCAAGCAATGCCTCATATTCTGCCTCGTTGTTTGAAACAGAAAAGCCTAGTGTGATATCTTGTTCCAACAAGGTTCTGTCTAGGGTGATTATGACGACTCCTGCTCCCGCTCCTTTGTGATTTGATGCTTCGTCTACATGCAACTGCCACATGTCGTTTAGGTAGGTTCGAATCGGTAGAGGAGGTGTCGTCTGCTTTTTCCTTGCTTTTCGTGACCATCTTCTCTTCTTCAGCTGTCGGAGTAAACTCTACAACAAAATCTGCTAAAGCTTCGGCTTTTATAGCAGCCTTTGGCCGATAGAGGAGGTCGTATTGACTGAGTTCGATAGCCCATTTCATGAGTCGCTGAGAAGCGTCAGGGCTGTGAAGGATTGATCTCAAAGGAAATTCTGTTATGACAATAATCCGGTGTGCTTGATAGTAGGGCCTTAGTTTTCTTGCAGAAACCACAAGTGAAAAAATAAGCTTCTCAATTTTCGGATAGCAAGTCTCTGCATCGATGAGAGCTTTTGAAGTGTAGAATACCATTTGTTGTGCCCCCAGCTCTTCTCGGATGAGAGCTGAGCTGACAGTTGAGTCGGACACCACCAGGTAGATGTACAAGTCTTCGCATGGTATCGGTTTTGAGAGTAATGGAGGTGAAATGAGGTAAGTTTTCAAGTTTTGAAAAGCTGCTTCACACTCGTCATCCCACTTGTCTTTGTGTCCTTTTTTCAAGGCTTTGAAAAATGGCCTGCACTTGTCGGTAGATCTTGAAAGGAATCGGTTGAGAGCTGCCGCCCTACCCGTTAGACTTTGTATCTCTTTGGTTGTGGTAGGTGACTTCATGTTGAGTATAGCCTTGATTTGATTTGGATGTGCCTCAATTTCTCTTTAGGTGACTAAGTATCCAAGGAATCGGCCGGACGAGACTCCAAATGTGCATTTGCTCGGGTTCAACTTCATGTTGTATTTTCGAAGTAGGCTGAACGCCTCGGCAAGATTCTTGATGTGGTCTGCTCGTTTGGGAGCTTTGACTAGCATGTCGTCTACGTAGACCTCTATAGTCTTGCCGATTTGCTCCTTGAAAATTTTGTTCACCAGTCTTTGGTAGGTTGCCCCGGCGTTCTTTAGCCCAAAAGGCATGAGTTTGTAGCAGTATGTACCTCTTTCGATGATGAATGAGGTTTTTGCCTTATCATCTTCATGCATCATGATTTGGTTGTAACCGGAGTAGACGTCCATGAAGCTTAGCAGTTGATTGCCGGAAGTTGAATCGACGAGCTGATCAATTCTTGGTAGTGGAAAGTTATCTTTAGGGCATGTCTTGTTGAGGTCGGTGTAATCGACGCATACTCTCCACAGGCCTTTATCTTTCTTTGCTACTACAACAACGTTCGCCAGCCATTCTGCGTAAGAGACCTCTTCAATAAAACCGGCAGCTAGAAGCTTGTTGATCTCGATTTCAATGATGGCAACCCGCTCAGGGGCGAAGTTGCGTCTCTTCTGCGCTATAGGCTTGATAGCTGGGTTGACGTGCAGGTGATGGCAGATGATCTGGGGATCGATGCCAAGCATGTCGGATGGTGACCATGCAAATACGTCTTTGTTGTTCTGGAGGAAGGCCACAAGCTCTGCCTTTTTCTCTTGGCTTAGGCGCGAGCCGATCTGCGATGTTCTCTCTGGCTTGTCAGGATCAAGGGGTACTAGCTCAACGTCCTCCTCGGGCTTCCATCGTTCTTCAGGATAAACCTCCGAACGGATTCCCTCGACTTGGTCCTAATTCTTTGATTGCTATTGGGGAGTAGCTATTCCCTTTCCTTTTTGGTCTGCTCGACCGTTAGAAACGGGATCTGCTTTCTCCTCTGCTTGTTCCACTCTCTTTAGATTTGCCTGATTCACAGGGAGGAATTATGTTTGCTTACCTTTCTTCAGCCCTTGAGATGAGCATTTCCTAGCTATTGCCTGATCGCTGTTGATTTGACCCATACCGCCCCCAGGGATTGGGTAGCGAATCTTCTGATGTGTGGCGGAGGTGATGGCGTTGATCTTGATGATCCATGGTATGCCCAGAATGCCATTGTAAGGTGAGGTTTCATCAATGACCATGAACGTTTGCGAGTTGACTACTGGTGGGGAGTAGACGTCAAGATCTATTGTGCCCACGGTAACCATTGTTGCGCCATTGAAGCCAGTCAGCGACTTGGCTGATTTATTGATCTTTGTCTCTAAGCTCATCTGTTGGATGACCGCCGATTGTATGATGTTGGCTGCACTACCCTCGTCTGCATGGATTCGGTAGACCATGGCCTGAGCAATTTGAATGCTGATGACAAGGGCATCGTTATGTGGCATGTCGAGGCTGATCAAATCTTTCTTTTGGAAGCCGATTACAGGATCGTCTTCTGCTAGTAGAAGATCAGCCAAGACTTGGGAGATCAAAGTGGCATGTCTGATCTTCCTCTTCTTTTCCTTGCTGGTCAGCCCAGTTTCCTCGGAGTCGGCTAGGATTGTGTTAATCCTTATGACCTTTTGGGGCGGCTCCTTGGCAGTGTCGCGATCTTCAATCCGCTGGATGGCCTGCTTTGCAATGAATTCCGTGCGGTGACCTTCTTTCACGAGTTCTTCAAGGTGTGCTTTCCAAGCGAAGCAGTTGTTCGTAGTGTGTCCATGCGTCCCATGGAAGGCACAATATTTGCTAGTATCCCTTTTGTCCGAATCTCCTTTCAAGGGTGGCGGTCTTCTTACCCAAGGTTTGTTTTTCACTTAGGCTAGGATTTGATGTATAGGTATGGTGAACTTGGTGTAGTTTTCTCCTACCTTAGCGTCCCCTTGTGGGCGTGACCTACGCTTGTCCTTATTCTTATTGCTAAATCCGTCGCTTTTTTGGCCTGCCCGTTTAGTCAATTGATCTTCATGCTTTGTAAACTTTTTTGCTGTGATTTGATCGTCATCCCATAGCGCGTAACGTTCCGCAATCGCGTAGACCTCTGCCAGAGTTTGGCTGGGAGTGATAGTCAGCTCGAGGTACAAGTCGTGTTCAGCTGGAAGACCTTTCTTGAAGGCAATGACGCGATCCGGTCATCACATTCTACAATGTTGGCCTTTTCTGCTTTGAATCTCTTGATGTAATCTCGAAGGGATTCATCGGACTTCTTACACAGGTTATACAGGTGGTCAGGGTTCTTCTTGATCATCCGAGAAGAGATGTACTCTTTGGTGAAGACGTAAGTCAACTCCTTAAAGCTGCTGATCGATCCGAATGGTAAGGTGTGGAATCAGTCTTGAGCTGCTCCTCGCAAAGTCATTGTAAACATTTTGCACATCAGTGCGTCGTCAGCCTTGTGGAGGATCATGACACTTTTGAAGTGTTTTAGGTGGCTCTCGGGATCGAAATCCCCTTTGAAATGTATAAACGAAGGTGTTGAGAATTGCTTCGGGGGAGCAACTTGCTCGATTTCAGGGGTGAAATGAGTATAGATCGCCTGGTCCATCTCCTTACGTAGTGCATCCTTGATGTCCCCACCAATCTTCAAGTCTCGAAGTCGGTCATTCACAAGCTTCTCAACGTCTTCCGCACACATTGCTGGTCGATCACGTTGGCGACCTTCACCATTCGAGTGACGCTAATTGACCTCTTCGTTGGTCTACGAGGGTCGACCCTCTCGTCTACGCTGCCTAGGAGGCATGTTGGTGGACTGCGCTTGCGAGGGATTTTCTGTAGCTTGGCGACGAGAATTGGTTCTCCGAGAGCGGGTAGTAGAGTGTCTCTCTTCACGATCCTCATTGCGGCGATTGTCAGTTTGACCTCTATGGGAACCTAGCCTTTCATGAACACTTCCTTGCAGGCCTAGGCGAGCGCGGACGTCAAGTCGTGGGTTGAGCCTTTCTCACACGTTGCTTTGTGTGTGGCTTGCTGGTGCTTGTGACATGCCGGCAAGCTGATCACGTTGTTGTCCATCTCCTTGTCTGCTTACACTTGCTCGACCTGCTTGGTACCCATCGAGCTGTCGATCGGCGCGTTCATCCATCCTTCTCTCTTCGCCCGACTGTCCAATGCCAAGGTTTTGAACCAAGTTTATTTGGTTGAGGAGCTGCCTCACCAGATTGGTTTAGTCGTCCATCCTCTAAGCTAGCTGGTCAACTCTCATATTAAGATATGCTTGACTTCGTGGATCGGGAAGAGAGAAGTGTGTGGAGCCCAATTGCACTCGGGCTAGGGTTTCATTGGAGGTGTATGCAGGAGCGTGCATCGAGTGGAGGCAATAGAGGGAATGCTTGAAGTTGCTCCAAGACCGGGCCTAAGTCAGTGGTGGTAACAAGCCCACCTTGATGGGAGGTTCCACCATGCTCAGTGGCGGTAACACAGAGGTTGCTAGATCCGGCTGCGGGTCTGGTAGGTGGCACGGTGGTGAGAGGTGGTGGTGCCACCATGTCGATCGCGGGATCGTGGGTGGAGTGGCTTTGGGCCGTCGCGGATTTAGCCATCACGGCGGTTTTGCTCCTCGTGCGCTTGCTTCCAACCATGGTTGTTTGGAAGGCTTCGGTTGATTGGAAAATAGGAGGAACGAATTCCCTGAGCAAACGTTGAGTATAACTCGTGCTCTCAATGAAAGCACCAAATGTTTGTGCAAATAATCTCACAGGAGAATATTCGCTTCTAGATCCTTCAACCTTCGATCTTCCTTCTCTCTCTTCCTCGATTCCTATAAAACAGATTGGAGTAAATAGACCACACCAGGGGGGTGTTGGCCAAAGGCCCTCTGATGCCTAAGTTAGTTTGAGTGTTTGTAGAAAAACAATAGCTAAGCAAAGGGTACGGAGTAGTGTTTATGTAGGGTGTGAACCGGGCGGCCGGAGCCGTGTGTGGTGGCCAGAGCCGTGTGGAGAAAATATGGAGAGTGGAGAGGGAGAAAGAGCTTCGGGTATTTTTCTCAGGTATAAGGAGTAGGTTTAGATGTACCTTGAATGATGAATGAAGTAGCCTATTTATAGGAGCCTCGGGGCTAGGGTTTCGTAGAGAATATGCTGAGTTTATTCCCTACCCAAATTCGTAGGAATCGAGTCGAACTTAGATAATATCTGATTTAATGATATTATCTTCTCTTTATTGAAGATAATATCTAAATTAAACGATATTATCTCTTTTTATGAAGATAATATTTGAATTAATGATATTATCTTCTCTTTATTATGATAATATCTAAATTAATGGTATTATCTCATTAAATAAAGATAATATCCCATTAATTAATATATTTATCCCAATTAATTAATTAATTGGCCAGATAAACTGGTTCAATTAATTAATTTAAAAGATAATCTTCTTTTCCACGTGGCGTGCCCTGATTGGAGACGGAAATATTTGCTCCCACAAATGGTTCCACTACTAATATCACCAAGGCCTTTTGTGATAAAATCTCATACTTACTGGGCTTTGTAAGTGGTTAAGTTGGAGATAATATCAATGTTGTTAATAGTGAACCGATGACCCGTCTCTCTGAATTTAACAAATATGACATGCCTATGTGGTAAAGATTCTTTAATCACGACATGATTGACAAGGAAGGGGTGCACTTAAATATTATCTTTTTTGGATTAACCCCATAGGACAACAAAAATGTATATGATTATATCTTATTAGAACACCAGATTGTCAAATTTGAATTTACTTTTCTAGTTTGTTGTACTTGTTTTGATATCCAATATTTGATTAACCCAATTGTCTTTTGATGTTAAGAAAAAAGCTTGTAATCACTTCCTATTTGTGAACATTTAGGTTTGGAATTTGGAGGGTGGTTGGACAACCCATTAATTCTCCTTATCAATGGGGGAAAGGAGAGCATTTTTCTATTTGAATGTGGATTATGGATGACCCAGGTTAATTCACCTAATTGCGAGAATCCACATTTCCTTTGGGAGAAGCCACCTAATTCTTCCATAAAGGTTTCTTTTTTTTATTCTTGACCAAAAAAAAAGTTGTTTTATTTTTGTTCCTCAAAATAAACAGAGCAGCCCAATTTTGTTTAAATATTTATATTTTTCTTCGACGACAATAAAAGATTGGTGATCTGGCTCCCTCCCTCCCTCCCATAAGAAACGCATCCCTCGTGAAATTCTTGAAATTTCTAAGCGCCAAATTGCTGGCGCCAAAAACTTCGCGCCACTTGCTCAATACCCGCCACACCACCTTCTTTATAACTCCCTTCTCAAAAATAAAATCCCATTTCCAAAATTTCATTGTTTCTTCTGCCGTCCATCTGTTTGGGTAAATTCCCAAAATATATTCCAAAGCTTTCTCATAGCATTTCAGCCCTATTTCCGCAGCCATGGTGCAAAAGCTCAAGCTTGCTAGCCCAGTCAAGTTCTACGGCAACAGCCTCCCCCGCCCCCGGATCTACACCGACGTCAAGTTCAACGACCACCGAGTCGATCCGCCTGTTGCCGTCCTTGACCCTCTGCTCTCGTGGGCCAACGAAGCTCACTGGTCCATGGGCGGCCTCAGTTTCAAGCGCCTAAGGCTCCAGGGCCGTATTGAAGGCAACGTCGGCAAGCTCCGCGTGCAGCGCGAGAAGACCGAGAGGAAGAGGCAAAAACTCGAGAAATCCGCAAATGGGTCGGCCTCAAATCAGTCCAATAGCAAGAGGGCTGCCTCTGATTCGCCTCCTCCGGCTCCGATTACGACGAAGCGCAGGAGATTCTTGGATCTGATCGATGAAGATGATGAAGATGGTAACGATGCGGTTGAGGTGGAGCATGAGGTTGAGGCTGTGAAGGGGAAGAGGCTCGTGAAGAATCTCTCCGATGCCTTTGATAAGGTGGCTATGGAGGGCGAGAGAGGCAACAGCCTGAGCCCATCGAAGGGTTTGGGTGGTGGATCTGAGGGAATTGCTACAAGAACTCGGAGTCGGAGATCGGATGAAGATGAGGCTGCAGAGACTGTATTGAAGGTGGCAGAGGAGGTAAATAAGTTGAGTTTCAAGGACAAAAAGTTGAAGGGCAAAAGCAAGGGAAAAGAGAACAAGCAGCAGACCGGGTCTAGCAATGTAAATGGGACTAGGACTTCGCCCAGATTGGCAAACCGTAGCTAAATGTTGATGTAGGCAGTCAGATCTGCAGTTTAATTTTTCTTCTTTTTTTTCTCTTTTGTTGTAGTTTCTTGCCTTTTGCAGAAGAAAAAAAAAGGCTCTATATACATATCTCTTGGTGTTGAATTGCAGAGCTGAATTTATGTTTAATTATATTGAATTGCAGACATTATATTAATTAATTTTGTACACTTGAATCGAACTTAAGGCTTCGGGTGCAGAGTTAATTCTCTTCATCACTCAAGAGTATTGTAGACTGCATTAATTCAAGTTCAGAATATGAAACCTCACCAGAGTCGAGGCAGTTTGTATAAATATCTATACACTAGTAGTTATCATTACAAAAGAGCTATTGCTATCTCCAAAAGAGCTATCAACCTTAAAACATTGTTTCAAGACTGCAACAAATACCATTGCATACAAGCAAAAGCAAAATATTCAATAATTTAAAAAGACCTTGTCTTGCTTGTTAATCTGTACTTTCATTATGAAAAGCTTGATAACATCACAATTTATAACAGCTTCTATAACTCATGAATCATTTAAAATGAAATTATATAATGCGTATTATGTGGAAAGAGTATGGTACACGACCGAGCCCTGCTTCTCTCCTTCAAGCACTGTTGAACCATAACAGAGATCGCATTTTAGCCTCCAAGAAAATGAAATTTTTATGCTGAACAAGAATAAGCATTTCACTGTCTTTGCGAGCACAAGTTTTTCAAATTTCGCTGTTGTTGAGTCGGTCCGTGGAGTCTAGCCAACCTGCATGATTGTTCTATTATCAGCTTATATGTAGATGGCCTTTCCCATGGAACAATCCCAAATTCATCATTATACTTGTCCATTCCTCCAACGAATAACTGCCAGACTAAAGAACCTGCACCAGACCCGTTTTTCTTTGCAGATTTGTAAATGGCGTCTAAAATAACTTTGTAAAATCTGTCACGCTGAGATGGTTCAAAGTCTTTGTTCTGGTTTGACAATCCATATTCGGTGAACATCACAGGTTTATTCAACTCTTTGTCCCCATCTTCTATGTGAGAATGCATCCACTTGGAGACAAATTTGAGGTTCTCGTGAAATTCTTTATCATGAAACCTACCCAAAAAGTAAGGATGAAGTGAAGCTATTTTGTCAGTTTGGATCACATATTCAAACAAGAATCCACCCGATCAATACTTTAAATTAAAAGTCTAGCAAATGAACATGAAACTATACATATAATTATTCTCTAATAAGGTGAGTAAAGTAGTTTATGCTTTTGAACCATTAGATCACAAATGAATCACTGAGATGTATGGAGATGTATCCCATCCACTGTACATCACAACTGTTCATATACGTATCTAAGGCCCTTATTAGATAATAACTCTCTATATAAGTACAAAAACAATGTCCATTTATTCAAAAAAGGTCCTTTATCAATAATTGGATTTTGATCCCTCAGTTGGCATGGATTTTTTGGGTCACCTGTGAGCAGGAGACACTCACACAGCCAATCTAATAAGGACTTCAGTTAGGGGTATGCATCTCAATTGATAAATCAGTTTGGATGACTGAGATTCATAGAAAGTAAGATGCATTTCAATATATTCAACGTCCATATCTGATAAGGCCTTAATAGAGTGGGTGTATATATATGCTTCTCGCCCTTTAAATTTCTGATAAGTTTGTAAGATTGGACTTCCCTCATATTGACTTGAGAAATTTCATGTAATGGAAACGCTTACCAGTGGTCCGGGTAAATATGAACAGAAGCAAAATCAATGTTTGGGATCTTGGAGTTGCGAATAAAATCTGATCCAAGTCTAGATGCCCACATTTCTGGATTCACAGTCAACCTTTTGGGGTTTTTAGGACCATAAAATCCTTCAAGGCCCACAGTCAGTAGATGTTTCTTGTCAATTGCTTTAACAAATGCTGACATTTCTTCTATCCAGTCCTGCAACAGTATGCCACACAATTAGTTCATGTTCTGAAAACAGAGAACAGAGGTTACAGAGCCAACCATCACCCTCTCCCTATCCATCTCCACACCTCCCAACTCACCCTACCCTCTGAAGAAAATAAAAGAATAAAACGCCCTTCACTGGTAAAGGAAATTATAAGAATTAAGAATCGTTGAATGTTAGAATAAGTAGCTCTTTGCCCAAAGTAAGAGGGAAAATATTACATAGTAGTAGTAGCTCTCTACTAATTTCTATTCTTTTCCTAATAGGGTGTATCACAAAGAAATCACAAACACGTTAAAGGAAGGTTCCATCAGAATTGCACTTTGTCTCAAACAAATAAGATATTTCTGACTGAATTTCAGTGAAAATATTTTGTAAAATCCAGGGAATCCATCAAGTAGAACTGCACAACTCCATAATTTTTAAGAATTGACTACATACCTGGAGAGTGTCGCCTGAAGCATCAGTAATGCAACGGGGTTCATTTATTAACTCCCATGCAAAAATGGTAGGATCATCTCTATATTCAATTCCATTGAGAGTATTCTTCCTCGTTAGGAGAGTCTGTAGAAAAAAGGAAATGAATTAAAATTGGTTTGAAATCACATATTATCGTAGCACCAAAATCGATGTAAAATATATTATCAGCAAGTCTGTTATTACAGGGAGAAGAATCAGTGGATGAAAGTAATGACCTGTTCAACATACCATACCAGTTAAGACCAAAATCATTTATCTCATAACATTCAAACTCATTAGCAATCCACAATACTTCTACATACACTCCAGAATGTTATTTTCAGAAATTGCTTCCAGAATTCAGAGATATCCCTTCTCATAAATCTTAAATGCCACTATCCTATTAACCAGAACTTGATGCTTTTAAATTATAATTTTCCCCTCTACAATGCTTTAAATCCATGCAGCCATCCGTAGAAGATATAGCACACAATTAGATCCTTTTGTATCTTAGCAAGAACTGGGGAAAGGGAAGTGATGCAGGACGCATAGGACCTAAATTTATTAGTTTCCTAATGTATTTGTTAGTTTCCTAGATTCTCTAGTTTTCCAAATTCTAGTAGGATTTTTACTTTTCCAGATTTCCAGATTTCTAGTTTTAAGTTTCCTATTTTATTTGGGTTATGATTTCTGTTTAAGCAAGGGATTTTTATCCTATTTTGTCTAGGTTTTAGTTTGCTATAAATACCCCCATGTAGTTCTTTAAAATTCAGATTTGAATGTTGAGTAAACCTTTTCCTAGAACTCTCTGATTTCGTCCCTTCGATCTATATTTCTTCTCCTTGATCTCCGATATTCTTCTTTCTTCTACTGTTTCTGTCCTTTATCTCGTCTTTTCGATCTCTATTTCTTCTCCGTGGTCTCTTATATTCTTCTCTATTCTATTGTTCGAGTGCTTAATCTAATACCTACGGGCTGTACTACATCAGGAAGGAAACAAGAAAAAGGCCAAACAAAGAAAGCTATTTCAAGATCTCCTTCTATCCACATCATTCTGTGTGAGATCCAAATGGAGATCGACCAGAACCTTTTTCTTGTTGATAATGACACTAAGTTTCGCATTCTTAGTCATTATACCTTTTGCCAGTGACCACTTTGCAACCAAAAAGCTTACCTGACATAATCTTTCACCAAATATTCAGTAAGTATAACCTAGTAGCAAGTCATCTTGCCAACAAAATTCTGTCCCCATACCCTGCCTTCATGTCAACATAAATATTGGAATGTAAGTAATACATGAGAAACTGAGACTAACAAAATTTAACCTTTTAATAAAATTTTGTTTTTTCTTTTCCAATATAAATAACCATATTAAACATACTAAATAGTTTTCCAGTCATTAACAAGAAAATCTAGGTTATGAAGTGTCAAAGAGGCATCAAAGAGTTGTGCAATATTTCTTTCCGGGGAAGAAAAGCAACAAAAAAAGTTACCTTCACGTAATTCTTGAAATAATTTCGAATGGAAGGATCGAAGAAAAAGGAATCATTGGAAGCACTCAAACCAACACCTTCGTCCCACGCCCACTTCACATACTGAGTCTTCCCACCATATGCTTGCAAGTTATTAACTAAGCTAAAAAGCAACCTGATACCCTGTTGTCTAGCTTCTACAATGACATGATCCAAAGCCTGTCACGAGATCACGATGTTGTAAGAAATAGTTAAAAAGGGCAAAACAAATACAAAAATAATGGCAAGATAACAAAAAGTATAGTAAACCATTTTATTGTAGTTATACCATTAGCTATATACCATGTAGCATGGAACCTTTGATTGTCTTCCCCTAAAAGTGCACTTTGAACAGCAAGAAAAACTTCAAGAAGTTACAGAGAATTCCCTTTATCTTAGCAAAAATATGGTTATCTAAAAAACTGTTCCTACTGGGCAATGGTCATGTGTGTGCTTTACTTTATATTAAACAACAACAAATCATTAATCTTAAAGAGGTTAAAGAATGTGGCAGAAGCATTGCAATACTGGGAAAACTTTTACTACATTATAGTCCAAAACATTTCGCATTAAGAAACACCCAAACATGACTGATCGTCTTTCAAAGGCGCTGGATTCTTAAACACATTTAGTCAATATGCAAATATACAAACTCTTTGTTTCAACCCTCGTTTTGTTTTGGGTTATTCCCACTTTCATAATGCAATATAATCTCTATCAACAAGGAACTGACCGGCATTTAGTTTGTACTAGACCTGCTGATTTACCTTCTCAGATGGAACCATAGTTTTATTACTTCAGTTGCAAACCTTCACTGATAAATTATGGCAAAACATGATCACCACTCAAGTAAACCCACAAACTGAAGCACCCATACAAGTACAAGGAGAAAGTTTCGAACTCAACGAAAAACAAAACACAGAGGTCAGAAACTTATGTTTACTATAAGACAGAAGGATGAAAATACATGAATTATTAATACCTTGAACACTTGCTCATTGAAGCGACCAGGAGAAATCTGGAGGGCATTGTAGTCTCCATCATTGAAGGCCCAAGTTCGGCACACGGTAAGACCCATTTTCGCACCAGCTTGCAGTATCTCCCGCACCCTGGGTTTGGTATACTCATCCACACTATGATCCATTAACCAGTAAGAATTCCACCCATTAATGTAAAATGCTTTGCCATCTAACATGAACTGAGTCCCATTCCTCTCCACAAAACCCAACTTAGTTTTTTCCTGTAAGTTTGTCCCCAAGCCACCGAAGGACATGTAGATGAAAGCCACACACGATGCAAATCCAACAATTGGGTAGAACAGGCCATTTCCTGCCACTACCATTTTCCTCCTATACGTTGGAGAGGACCTCAAGATCATAAAAGCCCCAAAATTGGCACAGATTTGAAATAATTGATTACCCAGATGAGATTCTGGTACCTTCGAACCCAGATGCAAACAGGAATGTTTGCAAAAACCCAATCTTGAATACACCCAGATCCTTCTCTAGCTGTAAAGGGTACCTCAAATCCTCAAAGAACTTCAATTCTCACACACATTAATACGGAGTGAGAAAGGAGAAGAAGCAATAAACAGAGAAAAATGCGTATTGCTGTCCTGAAGTCTTTGGGATTTTATAAGTCAAAATTAAGCAAGAGGAAACCTATGACACTATGCAAGAAATGTGGAAGGTTTCAGACCATGTGGGGAATATGGCAGAGAAATCACAGCTAACATGTACAACCTTGAAAACAATGGCCAAAAAAATTGTGAGAGAGAGAGAGAGAGAGTTTGAATTGAATGAATTTTCAGTGAAAGTGAGAGTGGTGGTGGGTGTGTGGGTGTAGTGTTGGTATCAAGCTTGCTGGTTGTTTAGATCTAAGCACCTGATTTCACTGTATTTCTTCATGTTTACTATTTGTACTGAGCAAGTCTGTCTGTGTTCAACACCCATGGGGCCATCCCTCAACGTGTAGAGAAAAGATATCCCCCAATGTTTAGAGAAAAGATAACCTCAATGGCTGAATCTCACCAACTGATAAAAATATGAAAAGAACACAAAATTATTAAAAAAAATAAAAAGCCAAAACAGAAAAATAGAAGAAACCCTCATATACTCATTGCCAAGATTGTGCCAATGATTTGATTTAAGCTCACAAAAGTGTACCATTTGATTGCCTGCGGACAAAAGTTTTTGGGATTGACAGATCTGAAAACTATGTCCATGTGAGAGAGGCATATACTTAATTTATACGGTGTTTTTCTTTCTATTTAAAACTATTTTTCGGTTTAATTTGTGAGTAATGAATTTATAGAATGTTTCTGTGCCACTGGAACGAAACATATACTAGAATCCAGTACACCAACCATTTCATAATTACAAACAAAGATTTTACTATATAATTCCACGTTATTGAAAGAGATTTTTACCTCTTAAATAAAAACGGGGATTTATTCTCTTTCTGTTTATTGTCCTCTTGTAATTTATTGAAAATCGAAACTGTCTATTTTCTAAGTGGCAATTTAAATTCTTTAAAAACTCAATTAAATCAAAATGATTCGTCTACACGTTGAATGACAATTAGATGTCACAATTTATAATTTAGTTAATTTTTATACAAACAAATGTTTAAGACGACTTAAAAATAGACGATTCCAATCATTAAGCAATATTACTGGATGAGAAGGAAATGAAAGGTTGATGAAGAAGGTTGAAAAGAGAATGCTTCTACATTTTTTTACTTTATTTTATTTTTTTAAAAAAAGCAAAATAAATAGAGAAAATAAATGGAAAATTACAATAATGAGATTATTTAAATCAGTATTAATCTAATGATAAAAAATAATAATAATAAACAAAACACTTGTAAAATGTAGGTCTCTAGAGGCAAGAGTCAATGAGTCATAAACTCATCTTTGGTTGACCCAAAAAAAAAAAAAAAAAAAAAAAAAAAAAAAAAAAATCTTTGGTGAGGCCACAATAGCACGTGCGGGGAGCTAAGTTTGGTTTGGACACACAATTCCTGCATTAAAAAAGCGCACGGAATTCCTGTATGTCAGCCCTGGTCTTGTCTGTAGGCTCCAATTTGTTTTGGTTTATTGATGTGGTTTGGGCATCGCCCTGGGGATTTTAACTGGTAGAGCAACTATAATGCTTGTTACTCACCAACTTTCAATTTAATGTCATTCAATTAGTTGATTAGCTTAAATTCCTTGATTCCTCAATTTAATGTCATTCAATAATCTCATACTTCCTAGTCAAATGATAGTATCAATTATTTGTATTTAAGTTTTCGCAAATTGATTCGCCCATTTTAGAAAAATCAGTGTTGTATGAGCAGTGGCGGAGCCACTTCTAAGCCTCCAACTTTATAATTATAGTTCTGTCCTGTGTATACGATTTATCGTCGGACCATTGACCAACATATAGCTTTTAACCAATTCATTACTTGCTGGTTTGCTAAGCTTCATACTAATTTTGTATTAACCGGAATGAGAGATGTTCCTATGCTGGTTTAAAAACAGATGAATATTTGAAGTATCATTTAAAACAAGTTTAGTGTTGTTGTTGTAGTGATTAAGACTTATATTTCTGTTATCACAGGTATATGGTTGGAGTCAGTTAGAAGGAGAAGGACAAATGGAGGGATGCTTTGTGTGTTTTTGTTTATTTTGGTTTTTTTTTTGGTGGTAGAACAAGTTGGGAGATGCCTTGTTACTCATTGGAGAAAAAGTGTCTGGTCTAACTTAAAAAAGAAAAAGAAGAAAAATATATATATATTGAAGTTCAAGGAAGAATAATTGGAGGGTCTTTTCCTTTACCAAAAGAAGAAAGAAAAGGAAAGAGAAGGAAGAACAATTCCTTTCTTCCTCCTAATTGTCATCTTCTATCATATCTTGTATTAAAAAAAAATTATTATTATTATATCTGTTTCCTCCTAATTGTCATCTTCTATCGTATCTTGTATTTTTTTTTAAATTATTATTATATCTGTTTCCTCCTAATAATATATTAATTTCCAATTAATTAGTGGGTGCAACTTTGTAGGGCTTTGATTGAAACTTTGGACCATCTTAGATTTTATATGATTATATTCCTCATCCCATTATTTTCCGTACAAAGTTTTGGTTATAATGATTAGCCCCCATAATTATCATCATCTTGCTGAGTCAAGACTCAAGTTAAACCCCAAAATATGCTCAGTAAAACCTCCATTTAAAAAATATATATATATATATATATAGTTTTTTAATCCAATTTTTACCCCTTGCCAAACAACTGAAAATAAAAAACAAAAAGTATAACAGGAAATGGCTCAGAGCCCAAATTGAATATTATTTAATTACATATAAATTGGACATGTGTCATTCTTTTGTTGGCCAAAATAAGGATATACGGAGGGCTTGCTTGCACTAGATCAAAACCACAAACTAATCCTCACTCCACCTCACTTTATCATTCACTCATCTCCACAAATCATCCCTCCCTAACCTAAATCCTAAATCCTGGAGAGAGTCGATCATCCCTAACCCCAAATCTGAGGCCAATCTCTCAGGCCACAGCTCTCCACCGCCATTTCACTCTCTTTTCCTCTCTAACTCTCTCAATCAAAGTGGAGAGAGTCGATCTCCTCTAGTTCATTCTGCAAGAAAAATGATAATGTGATTTCTAACACATGAAGTGGATAGGTATTTGTTGAATCCACTTGAAACAATTAATGTAAGTTTCATATACTAGGGTGGTGGAAAATAAATGGCTCAAATGTCCTGATTTGGCATTAATTGCAAAGTAGCTTTAGAATCATGTTTTAGCACATGTGGGAAAGTGATTGATCCTTTCGAAGCTCATTGTCTCCTTAGATAGTTGAAGCTTTGATTTGCTTTCAAATTGACGAAGGTCATAAGATATATCTTCATTACAATGAGTTAACATTGAGGAAACGAAGTTCTATGAATCAATTGAATGGGGTAATATTTTCATTTTTATGTCAACATTTGTTAATTATATTTGAATATGATTTCTCCTATTTGAATGTGTTTTAACTCAAATTATTTGATACATATTGAACAACTGATATTGGGCTCAAGCCCAAACCGATCAAACTTGCAAAATAGAATCGAAATCTATTTAGGTTGGCCCATTTCAGTTTTCAGCCCAATTTTTCCCCTAATGGAACCGAACCAAGAACTGCTGATAAGGATTAGATTTGTAGGATATTCAATGGATAATCACCATCATACCTCCCCTTTTGCTCCTTTCCAAAATTTTATTTTCAAACAAAATTTCACAAATAAAATAAAATAAAATAAAAAAATCAAATCGAAATAAGGAATAAAAATCAGAAAGTGAGTCAATCACCATCAAGGTTTTATAGAGGGTGTTCAAGAGGAGTTCTTTCTTGCCATTAGGATGCGATTAGATTTCACCTAGGCTCCAAATACTCTTAATTTGATAAACTCCATGTTCAATACAGAGGAGAAAAGGGAGAATATGACTAATGCAGATGAAAATACGATTTTTCCCATGAGAAAGAACAAGAAAATATTGTTTTGGCCCTAACTTCAACAGAAAATATAATGTTAGATCAATTGCGGAAGTGGAGTTAAGATGACTAAAACAACTATTTTTTGAATTTAAGGACTAAAATGCAAATCAGGCATTAGTTTAGGGACTAGTACTCCTAAAAAAGCTTGTAAAAAAAGGAGTATACTCGGTTTGTGTCATTTTTAACAAAACTTAACAAATCAAAACATTGTCCGAATTGGTTGAAAAAGTTACTTACTTATACTAAATTGAACCAAACCAGCCCAAATCGACTCATTTGGCCCAATTTAGTCAGCTCGTTTGGTCCAATCTTTATCGGCATTAGAGCACTTCCACCAGTTAGCCCCTTGCCATGGCAAGGGGAGCCCTAGGGCAGTTACTATTCACGTGAATAGTGGCTGCCCTAGCTCCCCCCAGCAAATGTGTGTTTCCAGCAGTTAGCCCCTTGCCATGGCAAATACTATTCATTTTTTTGTTTTTTTCACAACTTTGTTTATTTAAACAATTAATTTGGATAATATTTTCGGATAAGATTTTTGGGTTCCTACTTGTCGATACTATTCAAATTTGATAAGATTTTCGGTTTCAAATTTCAGATAAATTTCAAATTTAAGATACATTTCAAAATTCAAATTTGAGATAAATTCAAAATTTGAATTTCAGATACATTTCGAAATTCAAATTCCAGATAAATTACCAATTCCAAATTTCATTTGAATTTCAAATTTTAGATAAGATTTTTATCCTCTAAAATTGCGCCACGTGTCATCTCTATCTGTCTAAATTTTTCTATAAAACCATAGGCTCAGCTCATACCTCCCACACCATATCTTCTCTGCATCTTCATTTCTCAGATTTTAGATTTCATTCTCCATTCTCAATGTCAGACATGGAAGATGTTTTGGATACGCAAGAGCGAGAAAGGCGAGCAAGAATGCGCAGAAGAGCTGCAAGCAAAAGGGCGCAGAGAGAACTAGATGAGCAACTTGGTGTGGCCGTTGCTTTGATGGAGGAAGAAAACCAGAGCCGTCGTGGTTCACGAGAAGGCAGGGCATCAAATGTGGACAGACATAGACATTCTCGGGGTAAGAATCTTCTGGAAGATTATTTTATCCCACAATCTCTGTACTCTGATGTTCATTTTCGAGCAAGATATATAATGCAACCCCATTTGTTCAATAAAGTCATGCATGATATTTGCAATTATGATGACTACTTTGTTCAAAAGAAAAATTGTGCTGGAGATTTGGGGCTGCTTCCCGAGCAAAAGTTCATAACTGTGATACGAATGTTGGCGTATGGGTCATCTGCTGATCAGGTGGATAAGATTGCCCGGATGGGAAAGTCCACTATTTTGGAGAGCTTGGTGCGATTTTGTGATGCAGTGGAAAATCTGTACACCATGGACTACCTGCGCAGACCTACACCCAGGGACCTGCAACGGCTTCTACAAAAAGCTGAGTCTCGTGGATTTCCTGGAATGATTGGTAGCATTGACTGCATGCACTGGCAATGGAAAAATTGTCCATCTGCTTGGCAAGGGGATTATGGTAATCGGAAAGGGCAGAAAAGCATCATCCTCGAAGCAGTTGCTGGTTTTAATACCTGGGTTTGGCACGCCTTCTTTGGAGTTGCCGGCTCTCAAAATGATTTGAACGTCCTGGGTCAATCCCCGGTGTTCAATGATATTTTGAGAGGTGAATGCCCAAATATCACATATCAAGTCAATAATACCGTGTATCAGAACGGGTATTATCTAGCTGATGGTATCTACCCGAGATGGACAACATTTGTGAAATCAATTCCACATCCCCGATCCGGGAAGGAAATTTTTTTTGCTGCCTATCAAGAGGGGTACATAAAAGATGTGGAGAGGTGCTTTGGTATCCTTCAAGCTCGGTGGGCTATTATCAGGGGCGCGGCGCGTCTATTTGACGAGGAGGTGCTCAGAAGTATAATGATGACTTGTATCATCCTCCACAACATGATTGTGGAAGATGAGTATGATTATGATGTTGATGAAGTGTATGAACCAGATCCCATGAACACGACCTTAACACGAATTTATGAAAAACCTATGGGGCCAAATGGAGAACCAGTGCAGCATGATCCGTTAGTTAGAGACGGTACTTTCATGCATCGTATGATTGAGCGCTACACGGAGATGCAATCGTCGTATATTCATGAACACCGTCAAGTTGATTTGATGGAGCATTTGTGGGCGGTGAAAGGCAATGAAGGTCAATGAAGTCAAGTGAAGATGTTATTTTAGTGCATTATGTTTATGTTGTATTTTTAGTTATGCTTTGTTGTTTTTTTTATGCTTTTGTTTTGGTTTGTTTATTTTTTATGCTTTGGTTGTGGTTTGCTTTTTATGTATGGAATGTTTTGAATAAAAAGGAATTTTGTTGAATATTTTCTTCATTCACTACAAGAAAATCAATACAACTCATAAAATAAAATACATAAATTACCACTAATTTTTAAATTAAAAAAAAATTACAATGAAATGAAAGGCAAGCAAACTAATTTAATGGTACAATGAAATGAAAGGCAAGCAAACTAACTTAATTGTTTTGATCATTTAACCAATCCGTGTTGCTAGGTCCATCGTCACGAAAAAGTCTTCGTTTCATAACATCCCTTCGTTCTAGCTTCCAATATTGTTTTGTTTCAGGGGACATATGGGTTGTATCCATGGCCATTGTTTCCCGATCCTTATTTTCAATCTTTTCTTGCCGTGCATACTCCCTTTCTTGGCGTGCATACTCCCTTTGTTGGCGTACATACTCCCTTTCTTTTGCATTTTCTACATCAATTGCCCTATCGTGCTCTTGTTGTTTAATGTCCATTTCAATTCTCATGGCTTGCATCCTTGAAAGTTCCTCCAAAAATTTAGATGATGACTTGGTAGAATTACTCCCTCTCTTCGCCTTCGCCGCCTTCCTCCCAATAGGCCTCGGCTCCTTTTCGATAGGTGAGTCTTGACTCATCGGGGAATCCATAGGTGAATCCGATGCCGGTGTCTCATGGAGTGGCGTCTCGTTCAAGACTACCGTCGGACCCGTTGGAATAATTTGGAATTTCTTACAATTCTTCACCACCTCCCAACAATGGGTATGGTTGAAGCTTTTTTTTCCTTGCCCAGTAGCACCAAAAAACATTTGTGCTTGTATAGTCTATAAAAAAAAATGAGAATGCAAGAAACTTTAAAAATTATTGGCAATTCAACAAGTATAAAAAAATAATAATGGAAATACAAGAAACCTTAACAATTTATTAGAAATGAAAAACAAAATTTAAATATTGCAACAAACATTCATATTAATATTGGAAATACAAGAAATATTAACAAAATATATAAATTGCAAGAAATATTTAAATTAACTTTAATATGACATAGAAATTAATAAAACAAAAATTACAAATAATTTACCTCACTGGTAAGGTTTTCCCCGCTTCTATGGTTGTCCATCGCCTTTGCCAAGGCATCCCTCCATTTCGCCAACTCTTTGTTAAGAATTTTCCACCTACTAGATAGTGCCTGATCTGTACGGGTCGAACCAATTACCCTTTCACAAAAATCCTGATGAATTTTTTTCCACATATGACAGAATTTCATCTCATTGCCCGTTACGGGACAATGACTAATGTGGAGCCAAGACTCACACAAGCTAACATCTTCCATGACACTCCATGCCCCTCCGGTTTCACTAGAAGAACCCATAAATTTTTCTAGAAAAATTCAACTTCAAAGTGAAAAAAATTTAGACTACAAAGTGAATAATGGTAGAATGAGAAGAAAATGTATGAAGAGATGGTGTTAAAAGTGAAGAGTATTTGTTGGTATTTATAGGAAAAAACATCAGTATTTTTTCAAAATTTTTCCGATTTTTTTTTCATTTTTTTTCATTATTTTTGGCCAGATTGAACAGCTGCCGTTGGATTGCTGGAAGAACTTCATCGGAGCGCCCAGAGCAGCGCCACGTGGAAGAGAGCCGTTGGGTGCGACTTCCGATTTTTTTTTCATTTTTTTATTCGCGAAAAATGAGAAGCTTTGGATTTGGAGTAAAGTTGATCGGACAGCTTCAGTGCGCGCCACGTGGAATAGACCCGTTGGCGGGTCACTGTAGCGGGTGCGTCAATTTTTTTTTAAGGTTGGCTGCGCTGACGTCGTCGTGACGTCAGCGGGCTGGACCTCCCTAAGGGCTAGCCCAGGCAAATTTTTTTTGCTGGGGCCCACGCCTTGCCCTGGCAGCTTTGTGTTGCTGGAAACAACATTTTCCCCCAGCCCCCCCCAAGCCCTCCCCCCAGCCTGCTTGCTGGAAATGCTCTTAATCAAAGAAGAAAGTTAAAAGGAAATCTGAAATCACCTTGGGTGTGAGTGTTTTAGGACTGCTATTTGGTTATAAAACACAGTTTTTCTCGAACCAAATGATTCCTGACCAAAACCTTTTCTTTCTTTTTTTTTAAAATAAAGTTTTATTTTAATCGATATTGAAAAATACACACGTGATTTAAGGAGAAAAAAAAAGTAATTTGGCTTGGTGAGCTTCAAGAGCAAGACCGATTTGAACCAAAAAGCAGGCCTAGCGTGTGCACAGATGTTGATAACAGAAAGATTCCTATGTAGACTTGTACTGAACTCCACCTCCTGCTTTATACCATTTTTAAATGTTGGGCAGATTAGTTTGGTTTGGAGAAGGATTTCAGTTTAAAGAGAAAGAAGACAGAAGAAACCAACATATTATTTTAGTGCTCTACATCAAAATATTCTCATCTTTAATAAAAGAAAAAAGGTCTTCAACTAGCCATTGCCACTCATAGAAGCTAAAACCTGCAATTTGGCATTAGAAAATTGGTAATGCTAGCAGCCAAGGACAATTCAGTAAGAAACACTTGTGTGGAACGGGAATAACACTGTTTTGCTATCCCGATCAATTATGATATGTCAAGTGAAAAAGTTATCACGCGTGGCAACCGTGATTGGCCGGAGACAGAAAAACAGTGCCATCCCCGTTTCCACAAGTTTTTCTGCTAATTCATAAGCTAGTGTTGCATAATGAATAGAAGGGCATGGGCAATGCGTGCTAGCTTATCCTAAACCTAAAACCTGGAGACTTAAACCAAATGCATCATTACATGTCTCTGTTTCCGTATATTAGGGCCCTGATAGATTTTCTCCTTTGCGCAGTCAAATTCCAGCATATAGCTACTATTGCAATTGCTCAAAACACATACCAGAAATCAATTGGTCCTTGTTTATCACAAAATAAAAAACACCCATGATTTCAAACATGTATAGTCTACAAAATTGCGAAATTGTGGAAGGATAAAGATAACACAAGAAATAAGAGTCAGATCCCACAATAAAATCAAAAGAAGTAATGTTACAGAGCCTTACAACAACAGTGGGGGTTCAGAGCTTTACCCTTTCTATTCTTGAGTAGAAAAACAGAAATATCAAACAATGTCTTAGGGAAGAGAGGGGAAAACTTTACCAAATCCAAAACCCCATCCTTCCAATCTACACACCCATTTCAACCCCCTTAGAACTAGCAAAAATCCCAGCAACCAAATCATTCGATCACCTCGGAACTCCTCCTAAAAAGCGCAAAATACCCCAAAACAGCACAAGCAGCAGCCACCAAATTGCCTTCCTTCAACAAAATCCTGATCACAATCCCGAAAATCTCTCTTGTAATCTTCCTCCCCTCCACAACCAAAGTACTCCTAGGCTTCCCAAAGAAGGCCAGCATGACCACAATAGTGATCCATGTGACCAAAGTGGCAGGCACCACGACTGCAAGAGCTGCAAACATGGAAAGCAGCCCAAAAACTGCCCCAAGAAGCACCGAGGCATAAAGGGCAGGCCACCCATATGATGAGGCAGAAGGTTGGGCTTGCAATTCATACCAAGACAGTATGGATTTGAGGAAATTCCATAAAGAAGTTAAAAGGATAGCATAAACTAACACAAATAGACATACCCATGTTCTCCTTTTGCTCATAGTTGTTAAAAACATCATGTAATATGATCGCGGCGGCAGCGGTGTTTCTTGCTCATCTTCTGTTGTATCTGCCATTGAAACAGCTTGCTTTTCTCTTTCTCTATATGCCTTAGCTCTGGGTTTCTTGCTCTGGACTTATTTTTCTCAAAGAAAATCTCCACAAGATTTTAAAAAAATTAAAGCTATCTGAGCTTTGGGTTGGTTTTGGTGATCTTGTTGTACATCTATGTCTGAGTGAATTCTGAGATTGATTATGATAAAGATGGGGTAAGGAAGTTGAAACCACATGCACTTGAAGCGCGTGGAGTAAATTCCTTAATGAGGGTGACAAAAGTTGATGCCACGTGATAAGAGCGTGGTACACGCGCTTCTCATGGTGTGTAAATGTTAATGTGCTTGGATTTACATGCCCAAAGCAAGAGCACCTTCAATGTACACACTAATAATAATGAGCTTTCTCTTTTTTTCCTTCTTTTATTTTATTTTAGGGGGAAATTACAAAATCATACCCAATCTTTAAAGTCCCATTTGACTGGTACCCTAACTTAATGACACCTTTCAAAAGACACCCTCCGTTAATAAGACTGTTAAAAATTCTGTTAATTGCTCATGTGGCAAAAGTGAATCCCATTTTTTAGGTTGGCGTAAGTTAACATCCAAGTAGTCTAAAAATTAATTAAAAAATTCTTTATTTATTTAAATTAATTAAAAAGTTTAAAATCGAACCCCTCATTCCCAGCCTTGCCCGCAACCCACCTTCCTTACTCCCTTCACTATTACCCAAACCCAGCAACCCCCCATCTCATCTCCACCGTCACCCAAACTCAGCCACCCCCACCACTCTCCTTCACTTACACCACCATCACCTCCTTCCTTTCTTCAGCTCTGTCTCTGTCTCCATTTCTCTCAGTCTCTCTCCCTCCCCCACACCAAACCTTATCAAGACACCCAAAGATTCCATGGCTTCCATTGTGTCTTCCAAGTCTCTTGTCCTAGTTGAACTCAGCCATGAGCCTGAAACTCAACCGAAGAATGAAAAAGAGAACTTTGTTGTTGCTGCTTTAGCAGCGTTGGAGGATGAAGAGACATTTCAGAAGACTTGGAATCTCACAGCAAACTTGTGAATTCCCAATTTGGATTTGATTCTAAACCCAGATCCAAAATCCCCAAATTTGGGTCTGAGATTGAGATTGAGATTGAGATATGGTCATTTTGAGCTTCGACCAACAACCCACATCCCTTGCAACCAACAACCCCCAAGCTCGACAAAAACTACCTTTCCCTTTTGCTATCTCCCAGTCCCCATCTCCCTGTAAACCTGACACCTATAACCACCCCAACCATAGATGCAACCTAACCTCTTCGACCCGATCTTTAGCTGGTAATGGTTGGGTTTCAGCCGCAACGACTACAACAAAGAACCTAGAGATGAAACACAACTCATATATGAAATGCAACCCATCTAAATAGGGCCCAGTGGTGTAATTCGGGCCCAACTCAACTTCCTATCCCTTTTGTCCTTTACTGTTTCATTCGGGCCTCTGTTCACTTTCGGGCCCGAACTCTAATTCTTCTGGACTTTTTAAAGGGGAGAAGGCTGGAATCCAATTTTATGTACTAAAATAGTCCGTGATTCATTTTTAGATAATTAAGTGAACTATATTTATGAAGATTTTTATGCAACTTATACTTAATTTGAGCGTAAACTAAATAATAGAAACTTCTTCAATTAATCCATCAATTATCTTTGAATCCAAATTACAAAGCAAAGAAAGAGAGACAAGAGATTTCTCAATCCAGCCAAATGATTACATGAATTGAAACAAATTATTTCTTAAAAGAAAATCATACCATGGATATGGCAGAGCTACGAGAGATAAGCGCATGAGTTGTCAACTGGTTATCTAGAGAGAGAGTAGGTAGATTGTTATCTTGAGAGTTTTCAAGTGATTTTTAAGACGTTGCGTTTGATTTTGGAGAGAGTCCTCTTCTTCTGAAGTAGACCTTCTCTATTTATAGAGGTGGGGGAAGCCTGTAATGATGGAAATTGGAACAAGACGTTTGGCTTGTGGTTCAAGGTCAACTGCTGGTTTGTTAATCTTAACTAATTTATAGAGGAAACGATGGAAGGCTTCTGGTAATAACCGTCATTTTTCCTTATGAAGCTCTTTTGATTTGACTCCTTCGTACTTGAAGACCTGGCTGACAATTTGATTATTCTCTGGTTTTGGAGGCTTCAGTACGGCTTGTTTTCTTGCTGGGAGAGAAGGAGGTCAAGTCGTCATTAAATGTGATAATCCCTTTCAGCCTCCCACGTGGGCTTAGAGAACACATTTACTGATTTTTTAATCTGTAGTTCAAAGTAAGGGTCTGATTTTTACAATTTGGGCATTCTTTTCAGATTTATTCAAAAAAGCTCGTTAGGAAAAGGATGATCTTTTAAGAAAAGACGAATGTTAATGGCCTGGCCTTATCTTTAAAAAATTCCTTTAACCCTTTAGACCATTTTTGGTCCATTTACCAAAATTGGATACAAACAATGTCCAACTTGGGATATCTGTGGAAATTTTCAGGTCGACGGGCCGAGGGCCCACTCCAACAACACCAATACTGTCCCCACTTAACACCGTCGTCATCATCATCCTACAGCTACAAATTAGTGCCGTGGTTGAGCTGGGACGAGTGGCTCTTCGTTGACGAATCTCTCTTTTCGAATTCACCTAATTCTGTGGCCTCCGCTTTAAGAAGAGTAAGAAATTCACAACTTTAGCACTATATCAGAAATTTCATGTTGTTGAACTCTTTCTTGAAAGAAAAAGAAAAGTCTTTCGGCGTGCTCACTATGAAATTTTAGCATGTTGTTGAATATGATTGAATCTTATTTATTTGTTCCTATAATTTGTAAACGGTGGAGGAAGTTATTTTTTTGAAGTGGGTTCTGCTTTAAATTGAATTTTCTGGTGGTTTCTGGAAATGGTATATATGTATTTCATCTCTGACTACTTGTTTAAAGATATCAGCATGGAGAAGCAGAGGATGTCTTCCTGTTGTAGTTGAAGTCACGTAATCGATTATTGAAATTCAGCAAAAAGATCCTCACTTTAGGTACCTTTTACTGCCAAATTCTCTGAGCATGTTTGGATCAACTTCTTATGTCTTTTTTTTTCCCCTCCCCAGTGAGGGGCAGGGGCAGGGGCTAATGCCAAATGTTCTTTGCTTTGCAGTTCTGTTCGTATTTTTATGTCATTTATCGCTTTAAATTCCAACCGAAGATAATGTAGTTGTCCTACTTTGGTAACAACTTCATGTATGTGTTTTGTGAATTATAGAAAGGACCAGTCAAATGATGCTTTGGATAATTGCAGAGGGGTTCAATCAAGTGATGCTTCACTTTCAGACGAAATGCTGGCCATGTTATATTGTATGGCAATAATGAGGTGTGGCTCCTTTCTCGTTTTGGTTCTTTAATCTCTCTGTTCTTTTATCTACTCCCTTATCATATTGTGTTGTATGGATGTATATGCTTAGTAGTACTACCATTGTAACCACAGTGCAATAATTTGTAGAAAAGGGTCCTTGATCAACTATAATGCTCAGTCAAAACACAAACACACACACAGCTGTTTGTGTCTGTCTCTGTTTCTCTCTCTCTCTCTCTCTCTCTCTCCTCTCTCTCTCCTCTCTCTCTCTCTCTCTCTCTCTGTGTGGTAGTTTGGAGTTGGTTTGAATGGCTGATCAAGAGGTAGACTACTTGTAAGATGCGTAGGGTAGTTGCATGATGTGCCGTATTTTGTGATGGTTACCTGTTCACCAATGTCAAAATTTTGTTTTGATTGACTAAAATTTTTTAGGCCTTAGAAAGAGCTCCAGCAAGATATTAGGGATGCGTGATAGATGTATATGTTCTTAGTACTGGTAATTTGGAAGAAAATCCTTAAGTATCCAAAATTCTTGTCAGGAATTTTTCTTGATATGTGCATTCAGTGCTTAATATCTTCTAGCCAACAGAGAAATTAAGTGTTTGTGATTCATTGGTCATATGAAAATTGTACTTCATATATAAATGTATATATTTCTCTCAAAATTTTAGGGGAATGCTTAAGCTCATATATATATATATATATTTTTGCGTCCTGTTTATATGCGTCACATGTACTGCTACATATTCACAATCATTGTCTTTTATTTATTTATTAAGGCTTGTGAATGGTGTTGTTGAGAAGACACGGAAGAAAACAGAGGTTTCCCTTGCTGGGGCTGCTGATGCAATTGTCATTCCACGCACACTGATTGATATTCGTCATGTGAGCAACTCGGACTTTTAATTTGTATATTTATTGTTTGTTCATTGGTTCAGTGGTTAAGCTTTTGGGCTTTCCCCTAGTCTAGACTACCAGCCATGCTGCCATGCCCATTCGGCTGAAGAATACTCTCTGCTGGGCTTTGGGTATTCAAGTAATCTTTGGAACGCTTAGAGGGATCTCACCGTGAACTTCCCGCACTTGAGGTTGTACGTAGTGCTTCAGTTAAGGTCTGCATAATGCTTGGTAATTCAAAATTTGTTCCATCAGATTCTTCTAATGCTTACTCTTTATGACTAGATTTTATGTCTAACACATCTAGTTTATTCGATGATGAATAATTATAATAGGCTTCCTACTAAGACTTCGTTTGTGTTTGGGTTAACTGACTGTGGTGCTGCACAGAATAGTTGTTTTTTTGAAAAGATTTCTGAGTTCTATTAAAAGTTGTTACAACTGGCTTTGGTTTTCCATTTGACTGCAAGAGACAATTTACGGAAGATATAACGTATTCATTTATTTAACTTGTGGAAAATTCTAAACTTTATAAGTCCCTAGTTTTATAAATGTAATATAATAATAGAGTTTATTATTATCAACAATTTATTTGCAACATCATATAAAGATATTATGCAAGAAACCTATATTTTCTGATAGGACGGATTCTTGTTTCCTGTTTTCCCAATCAGATCCATGAACACTTTTGTAAGTACACCAATACCTTTTATGACTGGCAGGCTCATAATGTGCTTTTCACTTCTAAAAAAATGATATTGTTAACTTGAAGTGTTTCTTCTAGTTATCAAGTTTGTGGGGTAGAACTTTCAGATCACGGATACAGAAGATTAAACTAGTTTACGAGAACAAACTATTAAAGCTAGTCGCTTATGGTTCTGACTTCATGAATATCAGCAAATATTACCAAGTTATTTTTTAGAATAAAAGTGGCCCTCCGCATTTATCTTAATCCTTTATGGTTTGGAACATGGGATAACTACTATGAAACTTGTCACTGTATGGAATAATTAGATTGAACATGGCTCAACTGCAAGTTCATGTTGACTCATCTCTCCAGCTTCAACTGGCTTCTTATGTATATTTTGTTTTGCTTTAATTTAAGGCAAATTTTTTTTTCTTCTCTTTTTCTTTATTTTTTGCTATACTTCAATGAATTATTTATTTCTCTCTATTGTTGTTCTGCACAAACATGCATTTACCAATTATATTTGCAAGCAATGACTCAATTTAAATTTGGGAAGTTAAACTATATCCATGGTTGGTGTTTTTAGGCCCTTGACTGGTTGAAGTACTATTACTGGGAGCCCCAGAAGAAAGCAATTCCATTTCATGGCAATGAAACTGCTGGCATCAAAACTGAAATAAGGTCGAAATTCCATGAATTGGCCTTCTGCTTAAGATTTAAGAACACTCCTCACTTGTGTTCTTCAAAAATCAAAGAAAAACGTGGTATGAAAATATTATTTCTTCACATTATGTTGATTATAGTGCCTAAAATCTTGTGATCTATAAGATATAATACTTTCCAATGATTTTACATGTAGTGCAATATACTGTTGCATCTATGACATATAGAACTTTCATGTGAATTGCAGCCACATTTTGTAGGGTTTGCACTGGGTCATAATCGAACAATGAAATATATGCTTGTTGGAAATTTCTGAAAATTTGATGTCTAGGAGATATTTCTTTTGTATCTGGCATGAGAACTTTGACACCCTTTCTTTTGTCAAGGAATAATCTAGGACCGTATATTCGGAGTTATTTTCTGCAGATGGAAAATCACTGCATATGAATGAATTAGGAAGCTATAATTTTCTATATGCTTAAATTCATGTTTAGAGTTTGTCCTTTTAGCTACCTTTTGAAGAACATTCTATTTTTATTTTAATGGAATGGAAATAGAAATTATCATGGTATGTATTTCGGTCAGCAAACTATCTCGCAAACACATGGGAGAGTCAGAATTATGTTGTGTTCTAAGAAAAAGGCATTTACACAGCTAAGGTGCTGTTAAGACCTAATTGTCTACATATATCATGCATACAATGTATACTCTCTATTCAGACATGTACATATATTTCATATGTCAAGTTTTAGATTTGATTTAACATATTTTCTTTGAAGTAATGCTGCACCTACATATTTCTTTTTTAGTTTTTATATTTGAAAGTGTTTTACTCCTTGATATGTGAAACCACGTGTCTTGCTACTGGATTAGCATTTACTGGGCACTTGCTCCAGTAGGCATAAGTGATAGGGAATTGGATAGGTACTAGTCATAGAACAGAGTACATATCAAGAATCTCTTATAGTTTGAAAAAATAGAATTGCGTATCTGAACCTATTCCCCTCTTTCTTTTTAAGTTGTGGATGATGTAATGCCCCTATTTAAAACTTTGTTTGATGTTCCCTCTTGGCTACCTTTTAGTAATTAGTCATTGCAAGCATTGTGAAGGATATACTTAATATATCACATTAATGAGCTAAGAATTGGGCTCCTTTACTTTGCCTTCTGAATTTAGAGGACCTGGTATTTCACTGTTACTGCCAATCATAATTAGAATGTTTGTAAGCATGTATTAAATAAAGTCACTTATCTTTAAAGAATAGCTGTCAACATTTGAAAGACAAATGGGGAGGAGCCCAAGCTGTGATCTAAAGTTTGAAGGATATGCTATTGAATGTCTTATTATTGATTAAAATTTTCAAAAACTGTTTCAGAGAAAGTCGCTTATTCTTATAGTATGCTCACATTCATCTTAAGCATGACTAGATGTCCATTTGAAGGGCAAATAGAGAGGATCTCAAGGTGTCAGCTAACTTTTGAATGATGTCCTTAACTACTTGGATGTTTTATATGTTGATTGAGGTACTTTCTTTTCAGGTTCTAAGAAAGACCTTACCAAGATATTGAAAAGCCTTGTGGGGTTGTATTCTGCCTTCTCCTCGGAAGTTGTTTCTGTACTGTTGGAGTTCTTGTTGAAGGCTATAAATTCCTCAGATTCCTCAGAGCTTCCAGTAAACACCCAAAATAGCCCAAGCCTACAAATTTCATTGAATGAGTGGAAGCTTGTGATAGCAAAATTTTCAAATAAGGAACCAGAGTTACTTCTGGCTCTTCTGAATGCAGTTCTTGATATGATTGAGAATCAGGAAGCAGTGATATATGAGACGGGTAATCACATGACCTGATTTTTCTTTGTATTAGTTGCTCGGTATTCAGATATATACTGGTAGAACTTATGGTGAGTCTGTGCATGAAATCTAATCATATTTACTTGGTTTCAATTGGACTGCTTTTATAAATGGACACGGATAAGTGGTCTAGTCTGCAATAACAACCAGACAGTCTGATTTCTGAGTTCAGAGAGTTTTGGGATTTGCATGAAATAGTTTGAGTGCTGTGATATATTTCTTGTGCCTATCCATATTGCATATTTCAATTCCTATATTTTATTTGGTCGCAACTGAAGTATGTTAGGTGGGAAAAGTATTTGTTACGAAGCTCTAAAGTAAAAGATGCTGAATTAGTCCAAATGAAAATCAATATTGAGTCCTCCCTCCTGCTTTTGTGGATTTGTTTAGGTTGGGTTCGCACATCATCAGACCGTAGGGCAGAAACACTCCAAGTTGAACACCTCTCTTCTCTGTTTAAGTGGCTGGTCAAAATTTTTGAAGGATTAAAGCCTCATGTTGAAAAAGATTCTGTAGCTGAGATCAAAGTTTCTTCAGGAGAAAAAACAATATTGAAAGCGATTCTGATGGAACTCCTACGTAAATGTCTTGTTCTATCAGCCTCTGCTAATAACCAGTTCATGGATTCTGCTGTCCATCTTGCTCAACTGACGGGACAACTACCTATTGGGAAAACTGAACAAACTGTCTTCATTAGTTTCATCAAATTCGGATGTTACTGAAGAAGATGATTCTCTTAGACATTCAAATAATGTATTTAAGAAGAAAGACGAATCTATGAGTGAAGCAGCAAAGAAGCAAGAGATGATTAAACGTCACAAAATAAAGAAAAAAGTAGTGAAGAGAATAGATGCTGATGCCAGAAATACTAACAGATAAGTTCTGGCAAAATCATGGAACCTGTGTCCAATTGGAATGTTGCCTCGAGCTGTTGGGTTTTCTGGTTGCCTTCCTGTTCTGGACTTTAATATTGTCCCAGAAAAGGTTTCTCAATTAATAGGAAGAAAAGAGAACTGGGAATTGAACCAGTGTAGTGGCAAGAGAGAAGCTAGTTCTGATTTGCACCTACTAGACAACCAATGTATTAAGAAGTTGAGGGAAACAGAGGATGGCTGTGTATCAGACAGTGAGCATGTTTCATCCATAGAAGATGTCAGTGGCCATCTCATGATAGACAGGGTCTGGAAGAGAGTTGGGGAAGAAGAACTACTTGCCATCAAGTCTGCTTTAAGGATATTAATTTAGTCACTGATTTATTCAAAGCTAGGGTAGATGTGATTTTGGAAGCTTTTGTGACCATCTATGCTGGCTTGCAGTATGAGCTTCAAATCTGAGTTACAGTGATAAATTAGCCACTGAAGCAATTTTGGTTTATATTTTTTCGTAGTGCACATTGTGACTATCTGGGTTATAAAAGTTGTAACCAGAGTAACATTAGTGTTGTAGGGTGAGAGGTAGATCAATGCAGGAAAGCTGGTGGATTTTACTATTTTCCAAAAGTTAATCCTCTTTTTGAAAATACCCTCTTGTATTGATTGAAAGAACTCAACTTATGTGATGTATTGTGTTTTATACAATGAGATGTTTATTGGAATTTATATCCTGGTTTCATGAAATAAATTGTAGTTGAAGATGACCTTTTAGTGTATGGCAGGCTGCTAGATATCAGGACATGGATGACATTGTAAGCTTAGCATCTGCTGGTGTTTTGCTCGATTCTAAGGATTCTCATACCCAAACAGGTTATAATTTTCGTTGTTTATATGGATTCATCCCTGTTTTACAGTTCGAGCTTTTTTTTTTTTCTTTTGTTGATGATCAAATAATGATCAAATCTCTGTTTTTTTTCTTTGGTTGATTCCCTCTCCTCTCATTTATCATACCTTTTCAATATTAATTCTTTAACACATTTGACATGTGCTGAAAGTGGTAGATATTTTTCTTCTGGCTTATGGTTTTCTCCTCTCTTATTAAAATGTGAATTTTTTTAGTACTGGTTAAGGAATTCATTTGGACTATTAAAGCAATTATAGATTACGCATGAGATGACACTTTGTTGTACCAAATTGTTCTCTCAACATGCATAGGTTTTATTTGTTTGCTGCTTTCTTGTGCATAATCACTTGTGAATTTGTTGGAACTTGGACTGCATCTCCTCAACCTCTTATAGTAGTTGGTCTCAATAAGGTAGATACCAGGACAACCAGATAATAATTTGCCATGAATATTGCTTATTGAAAATCTCAAAGATATTTATCTGGTTGTCAAATTTGAAATTCAGTAGGTAAGGTCACTTTTATGTGGTCTTAGAGGTTAATGATATTGATATTGATATTTGATCCGTGAAGCTTGTGAACGGAAGTAGATAGGTGTGGAGATGCAGGGTGATTTTGGAAGGATAGAGATCTGTGATAAAACAGTCCACACCTGTAGCAAGTAGTATAGACTTGCAGTTCTATTTCCACATAACTGCTGCAGTTCCAAATTTCAAAAGCAGAATCAAAACTTCTTAATTGAGGTGAGCGGTTGCGGTTCAGTTTGTATGAAATAACTATGTTAAACTCTTAATTGTATTGTACTGATTGGGTTCCCACCTTTATTCCATTGTAAAGTTGCACTGGAGTTTCGTCAACAAAAATTTGTGGAGTTATAGAGAAATTTTTGTACCAAAAAAGAACTATTTCACTTCACCTTTATTCCTGGCTTTCAGGTTGGTTTTAGGATGTTTTCATCCTCTCCTTTGTATACTCTTATGGTGTTTTAATAAAGCATCTTTCCCAAAAAAAAAAAGAAAGCCAAAACACAACCATGATTAGCACAAAAGCTGCTTCTGACGCCACAATATATATATATATATATATATATATATATATATGCACAGATGCCTTAGGCAGATTTTTAACCCAAAAAAAACCTTTATATATTAAATAAAAGAAATATAATTGCAAGATAAAAAGGAAAAAAAAAAAAAAAAAAAAAAAAAAAAAAAACAAACGAACCAGCCAAGCATCAACAAAATTATAATATAAAAAATTGTGCGACGGTAAAAAAAATCAGAGCCCCTCAGACAGAAAAAAAAAAGAAGAAGAAGAAAACAGACTCGTCCTTTCCGTCTTTGTAATTTTTTGGTTTTTTGCCTTGTTCTAGTTCAATTATTTAGTAACTGGAGTTGGGTATGCCAATCCCAACCTTGGAGGTAGACGACGACCCCATTCATCAAACTTATATTCTCTTTGCAGACTCTTTGGGGCATTTCAGCGAATACTTAGTAGGCACTTTGGGGTTGCCCATCAACCTTCCAAGGGTCAAGGTCGAAGCTTTCAATGCAGAATTTTGCTGATGAAAGAGTTTCAACAGGTGGCTATTGTATATATCTCGCTCCCAATCTCATTGCTTGGAGCTCTAAGAAGCAAAGTGGGGGTTCCCGTTCAAGTACTGAAGCTGAGTACCATCAACTTGTTTATACCGCCGCAGCCATTTATTGGATACGCTCTTTGTCTCAAGCCCTGCGTCTTCATCTCTCGTGTCCTAAAATCTGGTGCGATAACATTGGTGACACAATAACTATCACATTACAAATTTAAGATAGTGCACCTCGGATGAAACACGAAGCACTAAATAAAAGCAAGCACATATCAAGAAACTTTGTAAACAAGGAAAATAAAAACACTAGCTTATGGCCATCCATGATATCATATGAAATTTAACAATCTTACTCAACTAATGATTCTTTTTGCTTTCGGGTTTTATTGGCGTGAGAGCATTTGACCACAAAACACGCACCCCTCAATGGCTCTCGGATATGTTCCGCATTTCAACAGGCATGGAGGGAGGAAAGAAAAAGGAAAAAACGAGGAAGAGTAATGATTAGGAGGAGATGATGCTGCAGACAAGTTGCAATACCATGCTCAAGGCCCACAAGGGTCGCTTCACCCTTCTCAGCATTTTGAAACCCTTATATTTATGTATGTTATCCAAGTTGTTTTATAGCTATACTTATTGTTCACATTTATTCAAGTTGTTTTATAGCTAGGCCCAAGATTGAAGGTATTTCACATTAGCCATCCATGAGATATGTTAGTTGATTACCTGTTTTTCATTCATGCGATCCAATAGATGATATTAGAAATTCTCGACTAATCCTCAATATAAAATCTTTAATGGAGTGTTTTCGTAAATAATACCATGCCATTTGATAAGAGAAAAAAATTAAAACAATTGTTCGTAAATGTAGGTTAGGCCAATTGGCTAAGACAATGTGCCCATCTTGCATTTGAGTTTGAACCTCCCTCTATATTAAAATAATTTAGAACATCATCCTTATTGAAAAGAAAAAGATAGAAAAATTATCCGATAATTAATAATTATCTCTATCAAATATATATATATATATATATATATATATATAGAGAGAGAGAGAGCTTCCATTGAGGGTTCCCACAAATAAGCTTATTTGAGGGACACCTCTTGTAGAGCCCACTCCGGATTGTATTTTACTAATCCAAACTGTCTATTTTGTAGATACTCATTCAAAGATCATCTCTACAAAAAATCATTTGAATCCGATATCATTTGACCATTCAATTGAGTTATTGAAATTTTAGTATTTTCTTGAAGCACCGTGTTCATTGATTTTGTAGGACACAATTGGATGTCGAAATGGTTTCCGATTTGTCTAATTTTTGTAAGGATGATCTATGAATGAAGACCTAAAAAATAGATGGTTTGGATCATTAGAAAAAAAATTGTAGGATACTCTAAAAGGCATCCCTCAAATAAAATTATTTGAGGGATCCCTCAATAGAAGGGGACTGATATATATATATATATATATATATATATATTAGCTTTGGCACAACCCCACTTGCAAGTTGTACTATTCGCCTTCTTAGAACAATGCTAGAAATATCAAATTTGTGCACCACATTTGAGCCCTAATTGATTTGACAAATGACACATCATCAATTAATTGCCAACATGTTTTAATTACAGAAATTAATTTCTTAAAAAAAAAAATTTAGAGCATAAATATTAACTGAAATCCCAAAACTAGTCGCCGCCATCTCCCCAGTTACAATTTTTTATATATATGTTCTTAGTACATCACGTAGAACCTACATTGCCCTATCATCCCAAACAATTTAAGAGGATGGATTGTGTATGACCGATTGCTGGGCTATCAATTCTAATGGAATATACCTTACAAGAAACACATAAAAGCTTTGAGATCTGACAAGTTTGAAAAAATTCGTGATTTTGTGGTGAATCAGAATTGTTCATTTTTTTATTTATTTAAAACTATACATACTGCACTAGGAATATGTTTCTATTGATCAAAACTTTATATAAAGAAAATATTTAGAAGATTTTATCGTTTACCAAAATTTTGTTTACAACACTTTTGCTGCTTGAACGAATCTATGAAGTTTGACTTGGGGCAGGCTGAGTTGATGGTAAAGGTGCAGCGGCGGTAGGACTGGTTGTGGTGGAACATGGTGGTAATTAAGTTTGAGACTTTTGGATTAATAAACTTACATGGTTTTTAATTTTTCTTTTTAGAATAATACACGTTGGCAATTTTATTAAGTAAAAGTGATGATATGGCGTGAGTCACATCATTTGGGACTCAAATTTGGTGCACAAATATGATGTCCCTAACATTACGATAAGAAAAGTGACTACGTTTATTTATTTTTATTTTTTAAAAGGGTTTATTAAGAAATAAAAAAGAAAAATGAGTACACATGAGGATTCTTGATTTTCCATTGGATTTTCCATAGCCTTCACACACAACTCTCAGAGTATCTGCAATAGTTAAGATCAATACAATTTTAGTTCGTTGCAATACATGAAATTGCAATATAAGGTATTAAGTGACGAACCCTCTATTGAATTGCAATAGCCTAACTATGGGACCCACTTGCCAATAAAAAATAGAAAAAAGACAACAATTAATACATTATACCGTTAATACAACAATTAATATATGTGTAGAGTGAATACTTGAACTTTTCCTTGCCTATATTTTTGAAAAAGAAAAAAAATCCAAATATAAAAGTTTGGCATGAAATTATTATTATTATTTTTCAAATAAATGCAAAATTAGTCTCTTTTTAAAGATCTCTTTAAGAATGTTTCAATGGTACAATTTTTAGTATTATTAAATTGATCCATTTTATATTATTTGAGTATGTAAAAAATATGTAAGAAGATATAACTATTTATCTATTTTGAAAATAAGCGATAGTATATTATTGATGAATAAAAAAAGTACAAAGCAACTATGTGCCGAATATGTGTAAATCTTATCCAGTGACCAAACACAACAACATGTTGAATTGATCTGAAAAGAATCACGCACAACCCAAACAATGACTAAATCCCCGATCCAGCAACCAGAAGCACATGCATACAATACAAATCCGACGCACAACGACAAAAACGGAAAATCCGTATTGAAAGCTAAAAGCTAAAAAGAAATAAAAATCCTAAACAAAAAACAAATAAAAGCTTTTTGAAAATTATTTGTCTAAATAAAGCTAAGAAACATGGCCACTACTCCCACATCCTCAAAAAAAAAAAAAAAAAAAAAAAAAAAAAAAAAAAAAAAAAAAAAAAAAAAAAAAAAAAAAAAAAAAAAAAAAAAAAAAAAAAAAAAAAAAAAAAAAAAAAAAAAAAAAAAAAAAAAAAAAAAAAAAAAAAAAAAAAAAAAAAAAAAAAAAAAAAAAAAAAAAAAAAAAAAAAAAAAAAAAAAAAAAAAAAAAAAAAAAAAAAAAAAAAAAAAAAAAAAAAAAAAAAAAAAAAAAAAAAAAAAAAAAAAAAAAAAAAAAAAAAAAAAAAAAAAAAAAAAAAAAAAAAAAAAAAAAAAAAAAAAAAAAAAAAAAAAAAAAAAAAAAAAAAAAAAAAAAAAAAAAAAAAAAAAAAAAAAAAAAAAAAAAAAAAAAAAAAAAAAAAAAAAAAAGCGCAAGTGATGCAGCCTAAAGCCACTAGACTGGTAGTGACTGAAGGACGGCATGGAAGGACCAATAATGGTGGTAAGGGTCAAGAAAGGAATTCTAAATGCGTGGGAGGTAGGATCACAAAACCTGAAGGTTTGGGTAGAAAGAGGGAACCTAAGGCAGTGGTGTTTGGAGATGTGTTACCAACTTAAAAGAAGAAGATGTTGTTCAAATCTTTCATCGAGCTCTGTGGGATCGGTGGTGGCTGGCTCATTTCAGCCCTGCCGGAAGCCATGAATCTATTAAGTTGGAACTATCACGGGCTTGGGAACCCCTCGGCAGTTAATGGGTTGAAAAGTATAATCCACGAAGAAGGTCCAAAGATTGTTTTTCTATGCAAAACTCCTTGTAATAGTGCTCACATGAAGAAATTGTCAAAGCAACTTGGTTTTAGGGGATTGACAAGTGTCAGTAGTACAGGTTATTCTGGAGGTTTGGCATTGTTCTGGAAGGAAGAGGTGGATGTTCATGCTAGTGCTTTTTCTGATCACTTTATAGATGTACATTGGTTATAATGGAGGTGGAGATCGATGGTGTTTGACTTTTTTATGGCTTTCCAACTGTTCAAGATAGGGAGAAGTCATGGACATTATTAGATCAATTGGGGCACCATAATCAATTGCCCTAGTTGTGTGTAGGAGATTTTAATGAGATTCTTAGCACGAATGAAAAGAAGGTGGTCCTCTAAGAAATGACAAATAGATGCAGGGGTTTAGATACATTGTGGATAATTTAGGTTTTCGAGATTTGGGCTTCAATAGGTATAAGTTTACTTGGAAGCGCCACTTCGGGGCTGGATCGAGCTTTGGCTACAACATCTTGGCAAAATCTCTTTCCGGGTTTTTCTGTTCAGCATTTGGACCCAAGCCGATCAGACCATCTTCCCATTCTTGTGAGAATACGGCATGCAACGTGCCAAGAAGATAAAGCAGATGACTTGGGTGCTCCAAAGATGGAGTAAAAGTACTTTTGGACATATCAAGGAGGAAACTCAGGTGCTGCGTGCAAAATTGGCTAGTTTATTCCCACCCCTTATTCTGAAAAGGTAGAAGAGGATCGAAGGGCTGTGAAAAAAGACCTTGATGAGCTGTTGGTAAAAAATGAATTATACTGGTGTCAACGATCTAGAGAAAATTGGTTAAAGGCTGGGGACAAAAATACTAGCTATTTTCACCAAAAGGCAACTAATAGAAAGAGGAGAAATACTATCAAGGGGTTAGAGGATAGCAGCGGTTACTGGCATACGTCTCGACATGGAATAACATCCACGGTAATGGATTATTTTGGAGATTTGTTCCGCTCCAGTGGGTCAAGTATGATGGAGGAAATTTTTTCTGGTTTGGAGCCTAAAGTGACGGAAGATATGCAACAAGTACTAATGGCAGATTTCTCGTATGAGGAGATCAAAGATGCAGTTTTTCAAATGCAACCTTCAAAGGCACCTGGTCCAGATGGCCTCCTTCCTTTGTTTTTTCAGAAATATTGGTGAATTGTAGGAGATGATGTAGTGGCTACTACTAGAGCTTTTTTGCAGTCAGAACATACGTTACGGCAACTAAATCATACTTTCGTAACTTTGATACCAAAAGTTAAAGAGCCACGAACCATGGCTCTGTTGCTCCCAATAAGCCTGTGTAATGTATAGTGTAATTTCAGAAAGTCAAAGTGTCTTTGTCCCGGGACGGTTGATTACAGACAATTCTATAATGGCTTTTGAGATTGCTCATTTTTTTAAAAACAAAGGAGAAGAGGACGGAAGGGGAGTTTGGCCTTGAAATTGGACATGAGTAAAGCTTACGATCGTGTGGAGTGGGAGTTATTGGATAAAATGATGTTGGCGATGGGTTTTCCTATTTTGTGGGTGAAGATGGTTATGGATTGTGTGAAAACTGTATCCTACTCGTTCTTGGTGAATGGTGAACCAACTCGGATTTTATACCCAAAACGAGGATTAAGGCAAGGTGATCCTTCATCGCCTTACTTATTTCTTCTTTGTGCGGAAGGATTTACCACGTTACTATCAAAGGAAGAATGCCAAGGGCAGCTGCATGGGATCGCTATTTGTATGGGAGCTCCTACAGTCAACCACTTATTTTTTGCGGATGATAGTTTTGTGTTTGCAAAGGCAACTGATAATAATTGTGGGGTGTTAAAGCACATTTTTGAAGTCTATGAACATGCTTCAGGTCAACAGATAAATTGCCAAAAAGTTGTGTGGGTTTCAGTACAAATATTCCTATAGACACCCAAAGTCGCTTGGCTAGTGTATTGGGGGTTTCTCGGGTTGACTGTCATGCAACGTACCTTGGCCTCCCAATGTTGTTAGGCAGAAATAGAACAATTTTTTTTCGATATTTAAAGGAAATGATATGGAAAAACTCCAAGGGTGGCGTGAACAGACTTTGAGCATTGTAGGAAAAGAGATATTGTTTAAGGTAGTTGCCCAATCTATTCCATTATATGTTATAAGATGTTTCCTTTTGCCTCAAGGTTTATGTCATGAAATTGAACAAATGATGGCCCGTTTTTGGTGGGGTCAACAAGGGGAGAATAGGAAAATTCACTGGATGCGCTGGGAGAGACTATGTACATCAAAGAATGAAGGTGGTATGGGCTTTCGATGTTTGCAAGCTTTTAATATGGTGATGCTAGCCAAGCAAGGGTAGTCAAACAAAGTAGGGAAAATATTCAATTATGCTCATATTTGCTCATCTTATTATTCTTCTCCAATATGGAGGTATTTATACAAGTACAAAGATGTGTTAACCCTAAATAAAATAGGAAATATATCTAAATTACAATAGGAAGTAAATCTCTATTGCAATAGGACTAAATAATAATTGGTAAGTAACCAAAATTCTAATGAAATAAGGAACCAAAATCCTAAGTAAGGACTCACCAACACTCCCTCTCAAGTTGGGCAAAGATATTTCGCACGCCCAACTTGACAAGCGAGTCACAGAACACCATACTTGAGAAGCACCAATTGTAGAGAAGGTTTTTTCGTCAACCACGAGTGAAACAAGTGACAAACTAAGGCAAAGTTCGCAATGGAAAAACAAGAACAAACTCTAAAAAATAGGGCACATAGCAGCACATATAAACCCTATGAGCATGGCAGTAGATAAGGCAGAACACAGAAACCCTGTGAGCACGGCAGTAGGTAAGGCAGAACATAGACACCCTGTGAGCATGGCAGTAGGTAAGGCAGAACACAGAAACCCTGTGAGCACGATAGTAGATAAAGCAAAACACAGAAACCTTGCAAGCACAGCAATAGGTAAGGTAGAACATATAAAGTAAGTGAAGAAATAAAGGCATCAACATTGGGCATGGTGATGAATGGCAGGGTAGGCGGCAACGGCAGCAATAGCAAGGTAAGCGGCAAAGATGGTAGCAAGGTAAACAGCGGATGTAGGCTAGGAATATAGGCTAGGTGTATAGTGCATCGGAAATAGGTAGTGTTTAGGGTTAGGATTTTTTTATGTTGTAGAGATGGATCAAAACACAACAACATGGCATCAACAATGACCACAACAACGAAAAGCGAAGCAAACAAAGGCAACGTCAACGACAACAATATCGGTAAAGGTAACATCAACGGCAGTAATAGAGGCAATGGCAACAACAACAGAAAATGGGCAAAGCAAGGTAAGGCAAGGCCAGGCAAAAGTAACATCAATGACCATAGCAATGGAAAATGAAGCAAGCAAAGACAACAAGTCGTCGGAGTCAAGAAATAGGCTATATCTTCAACGGTATACATCAAGATAATAGGGATACGTCAATAAACATATCATTTTCACTGCCCCCTCCCCCCTTGAATATGAGGGGAGGAGAGCACTTAAATTTCAAGAAGAACGCAAGCACAGGTCACAAGAGAACCTGGCTTTGATACCAAGTCAAACAAAGTAAGGCAAATATTCAATTATGCTCATATTTGCTCATATATGGAGGTATTTATACAAGTACAAAGATGTATTAACCATGTGGCGGTATTTACTCCAAGTCATCTTATTTGCTCAATTATGCTCATATTTGCTCCAAGTCGTCTTATTATTTGTTGAAATATAAGTGTTTTAGCTGATATTGTTTTGTATTTAGTTTAAATTTACATATTTAAATGTGAGCCCTTGAATTACAGTCCAAGTGGACAGCTAAGATGTAATCTTAGAATAGAAGAATGAATGGCTAGATTTGAATGATGTCATTTTGGGAATTTCTTGTTCCAGCTGTTATTAGTGCACAGTGTGTGCGTGAGAGAATAACAGATTCATCTTTTTTGCTCCTTCCTCAAGCTCTCTCTCACTCTGAAAATCTCTCTAAAATCCTTACTCATTCAGTAGCATTTGTACAATGCAAGTTATAATTCAAATCATAGTCTGAATTCTAACATGGCCTCAGACCCTAGTTCAATTGTTTAGCTGGGCGATTGAATTTGTGAAGAAAGCTGCGATTTGAAGAGCTTGTTTTCTTGAAGATCTGTGTCTAACATGGCAGGGTCTAGAGGTCTTAAGCACCGATCTTTGGAGGTGATAACTATGAGTTCTGGAGCATAAGAATGAAAACCATTTTCAAATCTCATAGGCTTTGGGAATTGGTTGAGAAGGGAATAGAGTGCTCAGATTCAAAGGGAGCTGGCGAATCTGATGCAAAGAAGAAAGAAAAGGAAGAATCGAGTGGTGCTGGGAAGATGACTGTCACTGAGCTACTCATGAAGGACGCTAAAGCTCTGGGTCTAATTCAAGGAGCAGTGTTTGATGAGATCTTCCCCCGAATCTCTCATGAAGAAACCTCTAAGGGAGCTTGGGATATCTTGATGAAGGAATTCCACGGTGATAAACAGGTTAGAAGTATTAAATTGCAAGGTCTACATAGAGAATTTGAATATACAAGAATGAGAAATGATGAGTCTCTTTCTGCTTATCTTACCAAACTATTTGATCTGATAAACCAAATGAGGAGTTATGGAGAGGATTTAGCTAGAGTAAGGATTGTTCAAAAATTACTAATAAGTTTGCCATCAGCTTAAGATTCAATCAGTTCTGTTATTGAGCATTTTAAGGATTTGGATGAAATTGAGGTACAAGAAGTGGTAGCTTCTTTGAAGAGTTTTGAATTAAGGCTAGATAGGCACTCTAGAGATAAGACTGAGAAAAATACAATGGAAGTCAAAGTGGTTCTAAGGATCAAAAGAATTGGAAGACAAAAGGCAAAAAATGGGATAATAAACCATCTGATGGAGCTAGAAACCCTTGCAAACATTGTGACAAACTACACTTTGGTGAGTGTCAGTTTAAGGGAAAACCAAAATGTTACAACTGTGATAAATTTGGGCATATTGCAAAAGATTGCTACAGCAAGAAACTAGCACAACAGCTCAACTATGCTACTCAAACCGAATCCACACCAACCATGTTTTATGCTAGTAATAAAGGCTCTGCTAGTATAAAAGGATGTGATGATGTATGGTATTTGGATAGCGGATGCAGCAACCATATGACTGGCAGAGAAGATGTATTAGTTGATGTTGATAAGAATATAACTGCAAAACTTGCAATGGGGACAGGACAATTGGTTGATGTTGTTGGAAAAGGAAATCTTGTTGTTGACACTAAGATGGGAATAAGGTATGTCAAAGAGGTCCTGCTAGTTGTTGGTCTCAAGGAGAATTTGCTCAGTGTAGGGCAAATGATGGAGCATGGATATGTTCTGATTTTTGGTGCCAATAAGGCTGAAATTTATGATGATAGTTCTCTATCAAATCTGGTTACTAAGGTGCAAATGAAAGGCAACAGAAGCTTTCCTTTGAAGTTTCACACAACTTTACAGGTTGCATTAAGAGCAAATGTAGAGTCATTCTTAATTTGGCATAGAAGAATGGGGCACTTAAACTTCACCAGTTTAAAGGTGCTGCAAGATCAGGGAATGGTACTTGGATTACCATAAATTAAGTCTGTCAATGAAGTGTGTGAGGGCTATACTTTTGGAAAACATTGAAGAGATTCTTTTCCAAAAGAAACAACAAGCAGAGCCACAATCCCACTCGAGTTGGTACACACAAATGTCTATGGACCAATGCAGGCGGTTACTAAAGCTGGAAATAGGTATTTTCTTACCTTCATAGATGATTGTACTTGTATGTGTTGGATCTATTTCTTGAGATACAAATCAGAAGTTCTTAATGGCTTTAAGAAATTTAAAGCCACTGTTGAGTTGCAAAGTGGATATAAATTGAAGAAAATAAGAAGTGATGGGGGAGGAGAATATACTTTCAATGAATTCAATAAGTTTTGTGAAGACATGGGAATGGAAAGGCAGCTAACTGTGTCATATTCACCACAGCAAAACGGAGAGTAGCAGAAAGAAAGAGCAGAACAATTATGGAGATGGCTAAATGCATGATGATTAAGAAGAAGATGCCTCTAGAATTTTGGGCCGAGGTAGTAAACACTGCTGTGTATGTTCAGAACAGATGTCCAACTAAGGCCTTAGACAAGAAAACTCCATTTGAAGCTTATAGTGGTAGAAATCCAGGAGTTAAGCACTTAAGAGTGTTTGGTTCTTTGTGCTATGCACATGTTCCAAATCAACAAAGGCAGAAGCTCGACTTAGCTAGTACAAGATGTATATTTCTGGGGTATGGCAGCTGTGAAAAAGGCTACATATTATATAATATTGCATTTGGAAAAATGATTATTTCCAGGGATGTGATATTCAATGAGGCAACTGGTTGGGATTGGAATGCACGAAAGGAATGTGATATCTCAATACCTCTTAATGAGACACTCATTGAGAGAGAAGAGGAACCTAGTGATTCTAGCCTAAGTCAAGAAGAGATTTCAGAAGAGGGGCATGTTGATCCTGACTCAGGATCACAGGATGTTGATCACACACCTCTGAAATACAAGAGTATTGCAGAAGTGTATGCGAGATGTAACTTGTGTATTATTAAGCCTGAGACTTTTGAAGAGGCTATTAAGGATGAGGCATGGCAAAAAGCAATGGAGAATGAGATAGAAATGATAAAGAAGAACAAGACTTGGGAGTTGGTTGATAGACCAACTGATAAACCAGTAATTGGTGTCAAATGGGTTTATAAAACCAAGCTGAATTTGGATGGTACAATTCAGAAAAACAAGGCTCGACTAGTGGCAAAGGGCTATTCTCAAAAGCCAATGATAGACTTTAATGAAAGCACCTGTTGCTAGGTTGGATACCATTAGAACATTGGTGGCATTGGCTGCAAAAAAGGGGTGGAAACTGTTTCAGTTAGATGTGAAGTCTGCATTTTTGAATGGAGTGTTGCATGAAGAGGTGTATGTGGATCAACCTCCTAGTTTTATAATTAAGAACAAAGAGGACAAAGTGTATAGACTCAAGAAGGCATTATATGGACTTAAACAAGCTCCAAGAGCTTGGTATGAAGAAATCAATTCCTACTTCACTAAGGCAGGTTTCTAGAGAAGTCCTATTGAGGCAACACTATATGTAAAAGCTGTAGAAAGTGGTATTATTATCGTTTCTTTATATGTAGATGATATTATCTACACTAGAAGCTCAAAAGCCTTGATGATGGAGTTCAAAACTGAAATGATGAGGCAATATGAAATGACTGATCTTGGTTTGCTTCACCATTTCTTGGGGTTAGGAGTGATACAAACTGAGTATTACATTTTCTTGCACCAGAAGAAATATGCTAAGACATTGCTAGACAAATTTGGCTTCAAGGACTGTAAAGCAGTGGCTACTCCTTTTGCAATGAATGGAAAGCTATCCACAGAAGATGGAAGTGAACAAGCTGATGAAGGGGTTTATAGGCAGATAGTTGGAAGCTTGTTGTACTTGACTGCAACAAGGCCAGACATCATGTTTGCAACAAGTCTTTTGGCTAGATTTATGCATGGACCTACTAGAAAACATATGGGAACTGCCAAAAAGGTACTGAGGTACATTCAAGGCACATTTGACTATGGCATAACATATGAGAAAGGAAAAGAAGCAAGGCTCATTGGCTATTGTGACAGTGATTGGTCAGGGAGCGAGGATGACATGAGAAGCACCTCTGGATATGCATTAAATCTTGGATTAGGTGTGTTTTCCTGGGCTTCAGTCATGCAAAGTAGTGTAGCTCTGTCTATTGTAGAGGCAGATTACGTTAGTGCAGCAGAAGCTACTGTGCAAGCAATCTGGTTGAGCTTTGTTCTCTCAGGTTTTGGTGAAGAACAGGTGGGTGCTACTACAATTCTATGTGATAATACCTCTGCTATTGCCATAACCAAGAATCTGGTGCATCATCATAAGACAAGGCATATAAACAAAAGGTTTCACTTCATCCGAGATGCTTGGCAAAATGGAGAGATTGATTTACTGTATTGCAAAACTGAAGAGCAGATTGCAGACATCTTTACTAAGGCTCTAGCAAGAGATCGGTTTGAATACCTGAGAAGAAAGCTTGGACTAATCTCAGCTAAACACTTAGAAGGGAGTGTTGAAATATAAGTGTTTTAGCTAATATTGTTTTGTATTTAGTTTAAATTTACATATTTAAATGTGAGCCCTTGAATTACAGTCCAAGTGGACAGCTAAGATGTAATCTTAGAATAGAAGAATGAATGGCTAGATTTGGATGATGTCATTTTGAGAATTTCTTGTTCTAGCTGTTATTAGTCCACAGTGTGTGCGTAAGAGAATAACATATTCATCTTTTTTGCTCCTTCCTCAAGCTCTCTCTCACTCTGAAAATCTCTCTGAAATCCTTACTCATTCCGTAGCATTTGTAGAATGCAAGTTATAATTCAGATCATAGTTTGAATTCTAACATTATTCTTCTCCAATATGGAGATATTTATACAAGTACAAAGATGTGTTAACCCTAAATAAAATAGGAAATATATCTAAATTACAATAAGAAGTAAATCTCTATTACAATAGGACTAAATAATAATTGGTAAGTAACTAAAATTCTAATGAAATAAGGAACTAGAACCCTAACTAAGTAAGGACTCGCCAATAGGCGTCTGGTTCAAAATCCTCAGTCATTGGCGAGCAGAATTCTAAGAGCCAAATATTTTACACAAACCAGCTTATGGGAAGCTACGCTGGGATTAGGCCATCTTTTGTTTGGAAGAGCATCTAGACGGCTCGAAAGGTGTTGGAGATGGGATCAAGATTTCAAATTGGTGATGGAAAATCAGCACGAATTTGGGGGGATAGATGGGCGCCAAGGCTAACCACTTTTGCTGTGATCACCCATTTTTACATGGTATGAAGGATACTAGGGTGAGTGAGTTGATATGTAATGAGAGCTCTCCACAGTGGGATCTCCAGAAACTCAATAATCTCATTTTACCTATGGATGTGGCTAACATTGCACGAATCCCATTAGGTATTCGGGCGCTGCCAGACCAGATTGTATGGCATTATGATAACCATGGTGTGTTCACGGTAAAGAGTGCTTATAAAGTGGCCTTGTGACTTACTTCTGGTGATAAGGATGGGTCTTTCTCATCCAGTGTAGATAATAGTATACTATGGAGACTTATTTGGAAAGCCACTATACCTACAAAGCTTAAAATTTTTGCATGGTGTGTAGCCCATGATATCCTTCCTACTAAGTCAAACTTAATTAAAAAGGGTGTAGATATACAGGAGCTATGCTTGTTTTGTGGCGACACCATTGAAAGTGCTCTACATGTCCTTGTTTTATGTCCGTTTGCGGTGGCTACTTGGGATATTTCTATGTTGACAAGGCATGCCCATCAGGTATGTTGTAATACAATGAAAGATTGGCTGAGAGAGATGCTGGAGAATACGGATAAAGTGCAAAGGGATCATATTATCACTTTGCTATGGGCTATTTGGGGAAACCGAAATACACTGTTGTGGAAGGGAGTACAATGATCTCCACATGATGTTGTGGTCTTCGCTCAACAATTAGTGCATGAATTTATTACGGTAAATGGTACTCTACCCAAAGTAACTAATTGGGTGTAGGATGCCCTCAAATGGGCAGCACCACCATCATGCCACCTCAAACTCAACTTTGATGGAGCATTTGATCCTACTTCAGGTAGAGGGGCTGTTGGGGTTGTTTCCAAAGACAGGGATGGAGGTTTTGTGGCTGCAATGGCAAAATTAGTTGGGGAAGTGTAATTGGTTGAACATGCAGAAATTCTTGTGGTTCGTGAAGGGTTGGCCCTTGCTCTCTCACTCGGGATTGCGTCTCCCATCTTCGAAGGAGACTCTGCTGTGGTGGTTGCAGCCGTAAAGTGAGCAGGGCATGATTATTCCAACCTTGGTACTATTGTCAAAGAAGTAAAGGATCTTCAGAAACAATTTCCTGGCTCTGTTTTTCAATTTACCCATAGGGAAGCAAATGGTGTTGTACACGGACTTGCTCGATTTGGTTTGCTTACTGTGGACAACTTTACTTGGTTTGAGGTGCCCCCTGGTCTTATTCAGGACGCCCTATTTTGTGATGTGTTGAGTTGGGGTCAGGCGTAATGTCCCCCCCATTGTAACTTTTCATTTTATCAATAAAGTTTGCCTCGTTCCTTCGAGGTTCTCTAAAAAAAATAAAGAAATAAAGGAAGGTACACTATGAATGTGGCGGAGACATCAATTAGGACTTCCCTTTATTAATTATATATTGTATTTATCTTGATTCTGATACTACAAGGGCAGATTTGCTCAAATATAAGAATCACAAACTTGTAGACATGCTTGAGAACAGAACACAGAACATTATGTAACTCAAGTTTGCTTTCAATATGAAAGCAAATAATAGAGATTATAATGCGTAAAAGACCAGTTAAACCTACATTATTGGAAACAAACTTCTTAGATATACGGAGTTCTTTATTCCAGGGATTTCAGAACTGTAATTTCTCTAGCCTTGAACCCTTATCATGCCTGCATCTTCCTAAATAGCACACACATCAAACACCAAAGGGTTATAAGCCATAATGCTAAATTAATTAATTAATAAAAAAAAAAAAAACATTGAAACCCATCAAATACATGTATAAACTATCTATCAACTATTTTTATATCAACATAAAAATCATAACAATACAAAAGATCTATAAAAAAAAAAAAAAAAAAAAAAAAAAAAAAAAAAAAAAAAAAAAAAAAAATCCTAAGATCTAATTAACTCAAATCACTGCCGCGTGGGTTCTCATTTGTGGTCTCGTTGAGTTGAGAGTACCATGAGACCAGGTTTGATCAAGTTGGAAGACCCAGGTTCGATGGGTTGAACAAGCTGAGTTCAAGCCTTGACAACGACGACCCTGACCCACTCACTTCTATAGTGAGTGGAAAGTTATAAGGGGATTTCTGAGGGGTATGTAAGAGCCGTTGGATTTCCTCCAACGGTGATTTTTAAAAGAGGGTGCATGTAGAACCGAGTTGAAATCTGACCCATTTGGAAACCCAACTTCAGCTGAAGATTTTTCCCTCTCTGTGAAAAACTCAAGAACACAATCCTCTCTTTTTTAATGTAATGCAAATCCACAATCAGAAAGATCCAAAGCTCCCAAACTCTATAATCGCTCCATTCAACTCCTTGGGAGGCCTGCGATCTATGGTATCCTCGGTATGACGATTAATGGCTTTTACCTAGCTATTGCCCTGTTTTGATTCTATGATTGAAGTGAAAAACCCTTCTCTTTTTCCTTCAGCAGAAGAGATTCCAGATGAAAGCAAAGTAGCATATCTCTTTTTCGTGCTGCTGCAGTTGTTCCTGGATTTTGGTAGAGATGGAGTCTCCATTACGAAAGAATCCTCTCTAATGTCCACCACATTCTTTGAAGCTGACTGACTTCGGAGCTCCCGATTGACTTTGAGAGGTAAGTTCACTCTTGCTGGATTGATTTTGTTGGGTTTGATTTGTTTTTTGTGAGGGTGAGAAATTTGTCATTTGTGGCATCAATAATGCGTAATTTCCTCTGCTATCAATAATGCGTCATTTGACTTTGAGAGGTAAGTTCACTCTTGCTGGATTGATTTTGCTGGGTTTGATTTGTTTTTTGTGAGGGTGAGAAATTTGTCATTTGTGGCATCAATAATGCGTCATTTGCTCTGCTATCAATAATGCGTCATTTGCTCCGCTATCAATAATGCATCATTTGCTCTGCTATCAATAATGCGTCATTTGCTCTGCTATCAATAATGCGTCATTTCCTTATGAATATTCAATATACTTAGTTGATTATTTTTGTTTGGAGGGGGGTTGGAAAATTATGAAATGTAGGTAAAAGATCCTACACTTAGGCTTAATGGCATTAGAAGTAAGCATTTGGAGAGGATATTGGGTGAAGTTCTGTAATTGCTGGTTTGAATTACATTTGAGTTCTTAGTTGAACATGTTGGTTCTAATGTTATTTTTTCCAGATTATTTCACAAGAGATGACGTAACTATTATTAAATTTTGCTTGTGTTTTGTGTAATCAGAATCCAACAAGCTAGGCGGCTATGCGTGTATTGTGTCAATTTGGGCAATGTTTTGTGTAAGTGGAATGCATTGATAAGTTGTGATGCAGTAATGATTGATTAATGAATTAACATTTGCTATGCAGTAATATAGAAGTAGATCAATAATATACGTGGATAAAATGTCTGGGGGCTCAGAGAGTGATGACTCTGTAACAGCTAATGGGAGGGTTTACATTCCTGAAGTAAGAAATGAGGAAACACCAGCAGTTGGGATGAAGTTCGACTCGCTTGACCTCGTTTATAATTTCTATAATAGATATGCATTCTTGGCTGGCTTTGGTATTCGACTTCATTCCAGCTTTTGGGGGAAAAATAAGAAAGAGATTCTAAGAAAAGAATTTGTATGTTGCAAACAAGGTGCATACCGGAATGATGAAACTCGGGAGAGAAAAAGACAGCGGGGAATAAGTAGATGCAATTGCAAAGCTAAGATTGTGGTTGTGAAGACACATGGGAGCAAGAAGTATACCATCTCTCTTTTTGCAGAGGGACACAATCATAAGATGACACCCTCAGGAAGAATGCATTTACTGAGATCACACCGTCGTATTTCAGATTCTACAAAAGTACTTACAAAACAGTTGGGTTCGGTTAATATTCCCATTAATCAGAAGGTAAGTATTTTCGCGGTGCAATCCGGAGGAATGGATAAAATCGGTTTTATCAAAAAGGATATGTACAATCTTGAATGTAGTGTGAATGGGAAGCTAAGGAACCACGATGTTGAACTAGTGACCGAGTATTTTATGGCTGAACAGAAAAAAAATGAGGCTTTTTATTTCAAGATTGAGGGAGATGGCGATAACAGGTTTAGTCGATGTTTTTGGGCAGATGCAACTCCTAGACGGGCGTACGGGTTTTATGAAGATGTTGTTGTATTCGATACCACATTCAACACGAATAGATACGACTTGACATTTGCACCAATGTTGGGAGTTAATAACCATGGTCAAACAATTGTCCTAGCATGCGCATTTTTGAGCAAGGAAACGACTGAGTCGTTTATTTGGATGTTTGAGGAGTTTAAGAAAGCCATGCCAGGTGGCGAACCTAAAACGATCATCACATATCAAGATGCGGCAATGAGCAGAGCGATTTCAATAGCCTTCCCGACTACATTTCATCGACTTTGCATATGGCACATCACATCAAAGTTCTCTGTTAAGTTACCACATTCTGCTTATAAGGAGTATTGGGGTGAATTGCAGAAAGCCATATGGGATACTGACAATAAGGATGAGTTTGATGCAAAATGGAATATTGTGGTTACAAAGGCTGGTTTGACTGACCATCCATGGCTAAGTTCAATGTTTGATTTAAGGGAATCTTGGGTTCCAGCCTACGCACGACACTTTTTTGCTGCTGGAATGTCAACCAGCCAAAGAGCAGAATGTTCTCATGGTTTCTTCAAGCAATACATATCAAGGAGAAATTCGTTGATGGATTTCATAATAAGATTTGAAAGGGCACTTTCTCATCAACGTCAAAAAGAGTTAGTTGCTGATCACGTAGATGCATTTGAAATGGCTCAATGTATTCTACCGATGCCAATGAACAAACAAATGGCTACCTTGTACACAAGGACAATGTTTCAAAAGTTTGAGCAAGAACTAATACAAAGTACAGCATGTTTCCTAGAGCTGAAAACAGAGGATGCTTCTAAAGTTGTCTTTAATGTGAGCGAAAGGAAAATTGGGAAACAAGAGTGGCAGAAGTCGTATATGTCAAAGATTCTGACCACGCATCGTGTAGCTGCAAAAGATTTGAATTTGTTGGAATTATTTGCAAGCACATCCTAGCATTGTTCAGAAGGGACCAGATTGAATATATGCCCGATAAATAATACATTTTGAAGAGGTGGAAGAAAACTGCGAAATTTGGATTGGTGTCAGATGCAAATGGCAACGAAATTAAAGACTCTGCAGATCCTGGTCTTTTAATAAAGCGGAGTACAATGTCCCGACTTGCTTCAGATGTGGTTGAGGATGCATTAATGTGTGAAGAAGGATGTGAGCTACTGTCAGAGACTCTAAAAAGTTTGCAGGTGAAGTTGAAGTTGTTGAAGGATGGACCAAGTAATAACGAAGTTGGAGGGTCCAGCTCTCAAACACAATATATGAAAGACCCTAAGAGAGTAAGGTGCAATGGAGGGTCGAAACGAGTAACGGGAGCAAAGGAAAAGGCAATGAAGCGAGGGATTAAACACTGTCGGGAGTGTGGACACATTGGTCATGATAGAAGACAATGCCCAAGAAATTTGAACACACCGTAAGATGTTAACACTATTTATAATAAGACCTAAAATTTGAATAGGTAAAGTTCTTATGTGCTTTTGTTTGATGTTTATGCAGGACATCACCGTCGAACAATGACGAATCAACTCCAATAGATCTTAGTGACCCATTATTCGACGAATTTTACAGGATGCACGGACCAACTCAATGATTTAGGTTTCTATTATACGAAGCCCGGTTATTATGAAGACTAATGATCAGGTGAAGTTTTCTAGATGCAGTTTTATTATTATTATTTTTTTGTTCATGTCCACCGATGAGCTCTTACTATGTCCATTGATAATTAAAATGAAAATTTGCTTGGTTTCATTCTTGCATGAAATTTGGACACATGTTAATTTTACGTCTTCTCCCAATTTAGAAATTTTCATAGACATTAGATAAAGCATCAAATTTTGATTTATGTGAAGAAGCAATGACTTTTACCTTGTAAAATGGGTAGTTTATGGTGAATTATGTTTTAACAGAGATTCATTGATTATATGACAGGCTAATGCAGTATTTCCAGCAGCCAGCTGTTGTTTCCATTACCAGTAATGATTTCCAGCAGCACGCATCATTTGTAGCAGCACCCACTTTTTGCGAATGTTATGTTCTAGTGTTTTACTGGTGATTAAGATCTGAGCTCGACTGGTTATTAGGTGCACGATTTTGCAAACATTCGTAACTGAAGGATACTTGAAGCACTTTGTTGGAACAGAAAGATTAGAAAGCAACGTGTAAAAAAGTACATTGCAGCTAATCACATTTTGAATGGTTGGGTAATATTAAAGGGTACACTAACATTTGAACTACTCATAATTCCACACACAAAGAAAATTTGATTGCAAAGCATTTTATGTGCTCCCTCTTAGCAATACCACGATCTCCCCAATCAACTGAACAACGGTAGCCACAATCACTAGGTCGTATTGGTCAGCTTCTTCTTAGCAGGTCTCACGTGCTTATGGTCACTCATGTCCCCAGTGATATAGACAAAATAAATATTCAGCAATATTTGGAATTTTATTATATATACATAAACCATAAACCATTCACTACACAATGTATAGCACATGGTATTTTACTTATGACTCACGTGTCATGATAATGGGGCTTTACTGATTCCCAACGTGCTGTGATATTGACTGCTTATTGAATAATATTTCCATATTTGCAAAATATAATGTTAGACAGAAGGAACACATGATGACTTGCAAGACATAGTCCCAATAATTATATATGAAGCAAATGAAACTGATATTTGTATTATTTTATATTAGATAATGACATTAAGGGAATATAGTTCTAATTTGTGCAATACCACGATCACCCCCAACCAACAGAACAGCTGTAGCCGCAATCACTTAGTCGTATCGGTCGGCTTCTTCCGAGCAGCTTTGACGTGCTTATGCTCATTCATGTCACCACCATCGTCTAGTATCTCTCTCACAGCATCAAGGGACACATAGTCCCAATTATAACTTGTATGAGTAGTTGCCGCGAATGCTCGGAATTTTTCGAATCCTTCGTTGAATGCCAACTCCAGTTCACTGTGGTGCTCTTCGCATCGCATATGGTTCATCAAACAACCTTTAATTTAATCATTCATTACTGCATTCAACTCCTCAGCTTTCAGCTTCCTTTTATGACTCAACTTCAAGTACTTGTTCTTTTGGGAGAACGCTTTGTTCACTCTAACGTTAAGATCAGCCAAAATGGCCTCGTCTTCAACACATTTCTCGTGCCACGAATTGATCAGTCTGGAATTATAATCCAGCTTGGTACTGACTGCATCTATTGCCTCTAATGGATCATCGGAGTCCCCCTCACTCCCAAATGATGTTGAAAATGGAAGGGGTCGGCGAGTACAACGTGGAAACGGAACCTGCGACTCTAATTTTTCATCTTCAATTGTGTTGTTGGCGCCTGAAGAGGTTGACATGCTTGAATAATCCTATTTGTTTTAGAGGATGAGGATTGCAGATGCAATTTCGTTTGAGAAATGGAACATAGCTTTATAGACCAACATACCAAAGCTTGCGTGTAGTCAACATATCTACTTTATTTCAGGTTTTGTTTTTCAAGCATGTCAACCCTCACACTCTCCTTACACCATTGTTAGTGGTTGAAAGAAACTCAATGGAAGTGACATCTAGTTAGTGAACCCAACCAAACTAAACAAACTAGTTAGGATTAAACTTTGATTGTATGAGACCTTTTTTCATTTATACATTGTCAACCAAATGTTTTCTTTGGCGGGAACCCTTTTTTATTGGTATTACAATCACCCCCTTCATAAAAATTCTCCCTCCACAAAAAACTCACTCCTCCACCGAATCTGTCTCCATCTACTGAAACTCTCTCCCCCCATTGAATGGATTTACTAACCAAGTTTGATGTGAGCATAATAAACACCCCTCCAAACAAAGACCGCCTTCGAAACGCAAGTGAGTCACCAGACAAGCAATGTCACTTTCCTAGACAGAATGACCATTTTGTTGGCAGTTTTGAGTCTGAAAGAGTTCTTGCTTTCTGGAAGAAGAGGCATCTTCACCTTGGTGATGAAATCCAAAGGGCAAGGGCACGTTTGGAATTTGTTGAAGGCCAAATTGAAGATGACAAAAGGCAGGCCAATCTGGATAGGGCGAAGTTGCAGCGCATGAAGCGTAGACACAAACGACTTCGGAGTGTAGCTATTCAAAAATACAAGAACTCATCTAATGCAATGGAGTCAAAGAAGCGTGTGATGCAAGCTGGATTCGACTACTTCCGGTCCTATGCAAAACTCGTCGTACCCGGGTTTGATTGGTCATCTATTACCGTTTCCGACGTTAACAAATATACTCAGCAAGGGAAGTAACCATTTTGGTTATCGTGTTTGAGTAGAGGCAAATCAGAGGAACTGGAATTTTTGTTAAACTCTGCTTCAAACCTATTTTGATGCTTACTACTATAGAAGATTTCAACCTTAATATTTTGATGTCTTTAATTACGATAACACGATGCAAAGTGCCCATCTACTTTAGTCATATGTTGCTGCCATGTCCATTTTTTGTGATCACGTATCAGATTTGGACATGGTTGCATCATATGCAATGTTGCCTTTATGTATTATGTTAGGGTAAGGTTTATGGAAAAGCATGTGTGAGTGGTTTTGTGACAAGGTTATGGCATTATTTTGTTATATATTGTTTTTTGTACTGGTTCATCTCCTACTATTGCTTTATTTCTTTATATTATATGTTTATGCGATTGGACATGATAGAAAATATATTACTGATTCCCAATGCGGCGTCATAAGGACAACTTATTGAATACCGCCGACGTGTTGAAAACTTTAGGTGCAGGTGCATATGGACAACTTATTGACTATCTCTGACGTCTTCAAAGCTCTAGGCGCATGCGCAGTTCCAATGATGGCTTCGAAGTAGTGGTGCATTTATTATATATGTACATTATTATAACCAAAACAGATAATTTTACATCCTTATATATGAAAGGAAAACTAATTCTTGTATTAGTACAAATTATATAACGAATATTAAGGAAATATACTTGTTAAAGTGACAAACATATATACTTAGGGTTAAGAGGAAAGTGAGTTATGTAAATCATTTTTGAATTTTTAATTGCGAAATGGATGATTATGGGTTCCATAGTTTTATAACGTCATAAGGAGGCCGGAGTATTTGTCGGGGCATTTTTAGGATTTTTCTACTATTTATTGCATTTTTTCAAAGATTTTTGCACTAAAAAAGCCAAAATAATTGCCAAATGGACACATGGCGCGATCTCAGCCCCTCACCTTTCACCCCTTGACAAGTGTGCGTCAGTCAACATGGCCACATCCTTACCTTTTACCCTAAAATTATTATTTATGACTTTTCTTAGAAAATTCATAACTAAATACACAAAAATCAGAAAAATGATCCGAAAATTGCTACGAACTCATTAAGACTCCATCTCCCTTGCTGAATTCCCCGATTAGTGGTTACGCATTTTAAAAAACAATTCCGAACATTAACGGGAGATGCTTGTTGAAGTAGGTTATTGAAGTTAAAGTTAACAACATATATACTTAGGGTTAAGAGGAAAGTGAGTTATGTAAATCATTTTGAATTTTTAATACGAAATGGATGATTTATGGGTTCCCCTTGTTTTATAACGTCACAAGGAGGCCGGAGTATTTTCGGGGCATTTTTAGGATTTTTCTACTATTTATTGCATTTTTTCAAAGATTTTTGCACTAAAAAAGCCAAAATAATTGCCAACTAGACACATGGCGCGATCTCAGCCCCTCACCTTTCACCCCTTGACAAGTGTGCGTCAGTCAACATGGCCAACATCCTTACCTTTTACCCTAAATTATTATTTTATGACTTTTTCTTAGAAAATTCATAACTAAATACACAAAAATCAGAAAATGATCCGAAAATTGCTACGAACTCATTGAGACTCCATCTCCCTTGCTGAATTCCCCGATTAGTGGTTACGCATTTTAAAAAACAATTCCGAACATTAACGGGAGATGCTTGTTGAAGTAGGTTATTGAAGTTAAAGTTAACAAACATATATACTTAGGGTTAAGAGGAAAGTGAGTTATGTAAATCATTTTTGAATTTTTAATTGCAAAATGGATGATTATGGGTTCCCCTTGTTTTATAACGTCACACGGAGGCCGGAGTATTTTTCGGGGCATTTTTAGGATTTTTCTACTATTTATTGCATTTTTTCAAAGATTTTTGCACTAAAAAAGCCAAAATAATTGCCAACTGGACACCTGGCGCGATCTCAGCCCCTCACCTTTCACCCCTTGACAAGTGTGCGTCAGTCAACATGGCCACATCCTTACCTTTTACCCTAAATTATTATTTTATGACTTTTTCTTAGAAAATTCATAACTAAATACACAAAAATCACAATAATGTTCCGAAAATTGCTACGAGCTCATTGAGACTTCATCTTCCTCCTGAATTCCCTGTTTCATGGTTACGCTACATTAGTATTTTATTATTATTTATCCAAAATTATTTTATTATTATTGTTATATTACTTGTTAGCTTGTACATTTGTTAATTATATTTACTCAAATTTTAATTTTATTTTATTTTCCGTGTGAATAGACCATTTCTGGTGCTAATCAGTTTCTCTCTTCTTCAATTTGTTAATGTTTTTTCTTTTTTAGGTTTAAGGGATGTTTTCAAACATAAAATGGAAATATACAAGCCATCCATTCTACAACATCAGGAAATAATTATTCAAAGTCTTTCACTGTTCAAGTTTTGCTTAAGAAACGTGTAACCCAATCATTTGGGATATGCTAAGTGGGAAAATGTCATTCCCAAGAACCGGTGAAAAGACACATACTCACTTCATGCATGCGTTTTCGTTTACCAAATATTAAGATTGCAGTTGTGCAAAATATCTGTGTCAGTAAAATGTCATTCGTAGCCGTCAATTATGTCAGTAATAATTCCACTATATAACAAATATTATACATTTATATATAAAACGGTTAGGACAGCACAAACACCAGACAAAATAGATTAAAACATGAAATAGAAAACAACATTTGTAGAACATAGACACGCATAAAAACCGTAGAAACATACTCCAACTAATTATAAGGGTATGGATTCCCTGGCACAACATAGACACGCATCACCTTGAACCAAAAAACACTCTCACGGTGCCATTTGCATCGATTGCAACAAGTCCAGAAGGCAGGATTGATCTTTTCTTCACTAGGCCAGCCTGGAATAACAAAACACCAGTCGTTGTTGTTACAAGCGCTGCACTGATTGAACTTAATCTTCCCATAGTGAAACATATCTACGATATGTCTTCCAACAGAGAAAATTCCGCTTAATCGTCGTCTCAAAGCATCCCTGGTTCCTTTCATATCAATGTTGTTACGTTGATTCAAAGAACACAAGAATTCTAATGCATCCTCTTTTGACTGACCAATTCCGGACATGCCAAGTAGTCCAACTAGATATGACGCTTCCATATGGCCTGCCGTGGCTGCAACGCGCATCCCAGACAATGCTTCCACATTACCCTGCCTGAAAAACACGTCGAACGCTTCTCTAAATATCGCCTCAGGGTTCTCGCAAGCCCTGCATTGTTCCACGAAATGCCGGACCTGCGTTGAGGCATAGTACCAGTTAGGATGGTCTTGGTACTTTTCCATTGAAATTGTGTTCCACACTTGTGGAGTGTTTGCCAACGTATTGAACAATGGGCACACAGATGCCATACGAAAGAGATCTTCCGATGATTGGGTTGCCACGTATAACATCACTTTAAACCAAGCTAATTCCGGGATGAAGGCTTGAGGCACATCCAGATGGAGATGCTTCCTTCTCTTTCCTCCGACTGTAGTGTAATGTTTCGAATTCATTGAAATATTTTTGGAATGGAACGATTTGAGGACTGCAAGAGGGGAGAAATGAGAATATACGGGGTTTTGGGTTTGTTTTAGCCTCTGTTTGCACTGTTTTGAAAAGGTGTTTCCTTGGGGTTTTTCCAAGTTGACCCTTTTTAAAGAAACTGAACTCAACACCCAAAACATAAGACAGGCGAAGGGAAAACGTCATCAAAATGCAAAGGGAGTCAGACCGTCCAAAAGTCAATTAATAACCTATTTCCATAGCCATTGTTAGGCTTTTCCCGCCATTAAATTCATTGATACAAATGTGATGGATTACTGACTAGTGACAGAAGGTCCCATCAGATACTTTTTCATTTTCCCACACCACACTACCCCTAGTAAATGACGGATTCTTATCCAACTAGTTGCCTTAATGAAATATAAAGAAAATAATATATTTAAAGCAGTGTCCCCTCAATTGTAAGATTAATTTGGTAGTGAAATAGTATATCGCTTTTCGGAGTAAAATGTGTCACAATTCTGACGGTACAGGTGTCCAGATCGTGACCAACCCACCCACACACAGAAAAGAAGGATATAATTCGATTTGGGCAGAGATGAGAGAGAGCTGAGTGAGAAGTTTAGGGTTATGACTTATGAGTGAAGGGGTATAACTGAGAAGGTATGAGTCCGAAGAGGTTTTAGTGAGAAGATCTGAGTGAGAAGAGGTACAAGTGATAAGATTCAACATGTCTTCGTCTTCATCTCCCGCTCAAACAAAGAGGTGTCAGTATTGTGGAGCTGCAATGGCGCTTCGGGTTTCAAAATCAGATAAAAATCGAGGGAAGCCATTTTGGAAGTGTCTAACCTCCTATGTAAGTTCTCATTTCCAGAATATGTATGTGGGTGAAAAAAAATCCTAGGTCTAACTCTGACAGAATTATTTTGCATATATGATGCCTGCAATTAGGGAGCCACCAGTTGCAATGGATTCGAATGGGTTGATGTAACCTCCGCTGAAGCAGATCAGCAAGCTGACACGTATGATGCTACAGTGCTTAATATGCTGAAGTCCATTAAGGACTTGGTATTAGTTTTATTAGTTGTATCAATTGTCATATTATTTGTTCTTTTAATGACCAATTAAGTGCACGGTTTCAAGGATTGTAAAAGTTCTCCCCAAAAACACATGTTGCACGCACCACCAATGACTTTTCAAACCCAATTTGTAATTTTTGTTATTCAAATAGGTGGATTGGCATTGAGTTTAAATTATTGTTTGAAACAAAAGCATTTATTTGTCAGAAACCCAGTAAAAACTTTCCTAGACTTACTTTACAAAAATAAAGTCATACGAAGACGATAAAATGACAATACAGGGCCAATACGATGCAATAATAAGACAATACCTTTTTTTTGAAGATTGCATAATTATTCAGTGTATATAGATTGTTTATTGATTGTTTACTGCATGTAAATCGCATGATATTGACTGTTTATTGAAGGTTTATTAACTGCATGTATTTCGCATGTTATTACTCCGATATTGAGTGTTTATTGAAGGTTTATTGATTGTTTACATGTTTCGTGAAGGTTTCATGATTGTTAACTGCATGTATTTCGCATGTTATTGAACCGATATTGAAGGTTTATTGAAAGTTGATTGAGTGTTTACTGCATGTATATCGCATGTTATTGCTCCAATATTGCATGTTTATTGGGGGCAAAAGTAGGACTCAAGTTAGATTTAAGGGGGGAAACGGTCCTTATTCTTTGTTTTAGTAGGGGGAAAAAAAAAAAAAAAAAAAAAAAAAAAAAAAAAAAAAAAAAAAAAAAAAAAAAAAAAAAAAAAAAAAAAAAAAAAAAAAAAAAAAAAAAAAAAAAAAAAAAAAAAAAAAAAAAAAAAAAAAAAAAAAAAAAAAAAAAAAAAAAAAAAAAAAAAAAAAAAAAAAAAAAAAAAAAAAAAAAAAAAAAAAAAAAAAAAAAAAAAAAAAAAAAAAAAAAAAAAAAAAAAAAAAAAAAAAAAAAAAAAAAAAAAAAAAAAAAAAAAAAAAAAAAAAAAAAAAAAAAAAAAAAAAAAAAAAAAAAAAAAAAAAAAAAAAAAAAAAAAAAAAAAAAAAAAAAAAAAAAAAAAAAAAAAAAAAAAAAAAAAAAAAAAAAAAAAAAAAAAAAAAAAAGGGTTTATGCTTGTTATTTATTAGGATGTAAAACCATAAACAATTTTATAAAATTAAATTTTACACATATATAATTTATGGTTTTAAAGTTTAGGGTATTACTTTTAACGACGGTGATTGAGTCGTGGAATATTGAGTTTACGTCGTATGGTGAAAAATCCGACGTGGTTTCTTTTTTAAACGACGTTTTGTTTACCTGTTAGTCGTTTATTATTGTTTACAACGTCGTTAGTTACTTAACCCCCGCCGTGGTTTTTCATAGTTTTAACGCCTTTTTTGATTTTGCGTGGTACATAGTTTTACCACGACGTCCTTAATGTAATAAGCGTCATCTTTAATGTTCAATTTTAACGACGCTTGTATTTTCGGTCGATGTTTTAAAAAGCGCGCTTTCTTAAAATATTCGCGGGACCTAAAATTTTCAGATTTGGCTCTTATTTTTATACTTCTAACCCTGAACCCTAAAATTTTCTGATTTCGCGCAACATAACATTTCGCTCTCTCACTTCATCTCTAATTCAAAGTTGGGCCAGGCTGTGTCAAATCCAATTTGGTCATAATCTGTGAGCTCTGCCAACCTGTAAGTACAAACCCTCTCTTCCCCTTGTAAATTCATTGAATGATATATTACGTTGTTTTGTTAAAGGGTTTTAGGTATATGTTTTGCGATCTGTTAATAATGTTGTTGGAGGTATGGGTTCATGGATTTTCTGTTTAATGTTTTCTTGATCACTCTCTGTTATGTTGAATATGGAATGGATTTCATTTTGTCGGATCTTTTAATCACTCTCTGTTATGTTGAATTGGGAATGGATTTATTGTTTTCATGCTTAGTATATGTTGGTTTCATGTATATGTTGGTTTCTTGCTTGGTTTCATGTCTATGTTGTGTTCTTAATAGGGTTTTGGGATCTTGAAAATAAACTGGATATCGACGCGTTTTCAGGCATACGACGACGGTTTTTACTTTAAACCGTCGTTTTTATTACTTATACACGACGGTGTTATTTAACTACCGTCGTGGTTACAATTAGACGACGTAAAATCCGTCGTCTATATATGTCAAATACGTCTGTTTTTGTTTAAAAACCGTCGTCTCTGTTGTATATTACTTGCTATTAGACTTTATGTAATCTGCTATAGTGATGGTCATTGCTTGTCTTTTCACTTTATTATATATAATAGGGTATAGTGTCGGAGATGGATAAGTCATGGATGCACTCGGATAGAAGATCGAAGGCATATGAGTTAGGGGTGGAAGCATTTTTGAACTTTTCTGTAGAAAATCTTCTAACTACCACACATATCCGTTGTCCATGTGTTAAATGTGTTAATTTGAAATTGTTTGGGGTTGGAATTATAAGGGATCACTTATACTTTAATGGAGTTGACCAAAGCTATAAGAATTGGACATTTCACGGAGAACCTTGGGAAGCAGCTACTAATGCTAGTAGAAATGTTGAAGAAGATGATGACCATAGTAGGTACAGTTTTGTGTCTGAAGAAATAGAGATGGATGATAATGATTTTGGTGATTTTGGATCTGATCCTTATGAGTTTGCCAATGTGATTGGGGATGGAGATCAACCATTGTACCCTGGTTGTAGAAAGTACACGAAGTTATCGGCATTAGTGAAGTTGTATAATTTGAAGGCAAAATATGGGATGAGTGATGTCTGTTTTACAGAATTATTGATACTTCAAGGCGATTTGCTTCCAGACGGAAATACAATACCGGCCTCTATGTATGAGGCAAAAAAGACTTTGTGTGCATTGGGGCTGAGTTATGAGAAAATGCACGCATGCCCCAATGATTGCATCTTGTATAGGAAGGAGTATGAGGATTTAACTCATTGTCCTAATTGTGGTATCTCAAGGTGGAAGGAAGGCAAAGATTCAATCTTGAAAGAGGGTGTGCCAGCGAAGGTGGTGTGGTATTTTCCTCCAATTCCAAGGTTTAAAAGGATGTTTCGATCACATGAGACCGCTAAGAGTTTGACTTGGCATGCTGCTAGAAAATCAATTGACGGTTATATGTCTCATCCAGCGGATTCCCCGTCTTGGAAACTTCTTGATGATAAATGGCCCGAGTTTGGTAATGAGCCGAGAAACTTGAGATTGGCTCTTTCATCTGATGGATTCAATCCCCACAGTTCTCTAAGTAGCAGATATAGTTGCTGGCCAGTTATCTTAGTTACATATAATCTCCCTCCATGGCTGTGCATGAAACGAAAGTTCATGATGTTGACCTTATTGATTTCCGGTCCTAAACAGCCCGGAAATGATATAGACGTCTACTTGGAGCCTTTGATTGATGATTTAAAATCTTTGTGGGATGGGATTGGAGGAGTGTATGATGCACATAATGGAGAATACTTTACACTCAGAGCTGCATTAATGTGGACAATTAATGATTTCCCCGCCTATGGAAACTTATCTGGTTGTGTTGTTAAAGGATATAAAGCTTGTCCAATATGCGGCGATGATACACCTAGTCACAGGTTGAAAAATGGCCACAAAATTTGTTACATTGGGCATAGAAAATGGTTACCGATCAATCATCCATATAGGAGGCAACGTGCAGCTTTTAATGGGAAACCTGAATATGGCACGCCTCCTGAGCCATTAACCGGAGAAGAAGTGCTGCATATGGTTGAAGATGGTGACAGAGTTTGTTGGAAGAAGAAATCAATATTCTTTGATCTCGAGTATTGGAAATACCTTCCTGTGAGGCATGTCCTAGATGTTATGCACATTGAGAAGAACGTTTGCGATAGTATCATTGGTACATTGCTGGAGATCCCTGGAAAAAATAAAGATGGGATTGCTGCTCGATTAGATTTATTGAACATGGGGGTCAAAACTGATTTGCAACCCGAGTATGGAGAAAGACGTACTCGTTTGCCTCCCGGGCCTTGGAATTTGTCAAGAGCAGAGAAGAGAGAGGTTTGCAATTCTTTCTATGGTATGAAGGTCCCTGAAGGTTATTCTTCAAATATAAAAAATCTTGTATCTTTACAAGATTCAAGACTTCTTGGCCTTAAATCACATGATTGTCATACCTTAATGCAACAATTGCTCCCTGTGGCAATTCGTTCTGTTTTGGAGAAGCCTGCAAGGTATGCAATAACTCGTTTGTGCTTCTTCTTCAATGCTATATGTGTGATGTTTCCAAGCTAGATAAGTTGGAAGAAGATGTAGTAGTTACTTTGTGTTTGCTGAGAAGTACTTTCCCCCTTCATTCTTTGATATCATGGTTCATCTAGTAGTACATCTTGTCAGAGAAGTTCGTCTGTGTGGGCCAGTATATTTTAGATGGATGTATCCGTTTGAAAGATATATGAAAGTGCTAAAGGGGTATGTTCAGAATCGTACTCGTCCCGAAGGTTGCATTGCTGAGCGGTATATAGCTGAAGAAGCTGTAGAGTTTTGTACCGAGCATTTATCTGATGTTAGTACAGTTGGAGTGCCTTCAAGCCAAAAGATGGGAGTTTCAAAGCCATTATCAGGTTGCACAGTGAGCGTAGTTGATCGGGACCTGTTGAACCAAGCACATCTATATGTCTTGGAGAATACGGAGGAAGTCCTACCTTATATCGAGTACGTATGAGTTTTATTCTTTAAGTTTCCATTTTAAATTATTTCTTATGTTTATCTTATATGTTTGGGATCGTAATACTTGAATTTTGTGTGTCATGTAGGCAACATATGATCCACATCCAGACCGCTTATCCAAAATTTAGAAAGAGAACAAAGTGGCTGCAGGATAAGCACAATAGCACTTTCATTCAATGGCTACGCTTCAAGGTATATGTTATTGAATAACATATTGGACTTTTAATTTTCTTCTTCCTGTGTTAGATTGAATTAAGTTATGATTAATTTGCAGGTTCAAAGTGAACTTAATGAGGAAGACAATCATGGCGTATCAGAAAATTTAAGGTGGCTAGCAGCTGGTCCAAACATGGCAGTGCCATTATATAGGAGCTATCTCATTAAAGGTATTAAATTCAACATCAAGGCACAAGATGATGTGCGGACAACTCAAAATAGTGGAGTTTATTTACTTGCACATACTATGCAAGTTGCTAGTGCCAAGGATAAAAACCCAATTCTCTCAAATATGGGTTTCTATGGTGTCATTCAAGAAATTTGGGACCTTGACTACCAAAAGTTTACAATCCCAGTCTTTAGGTGTGATTGGATTGATAATACTTCTGGTCTTGTAGTGGACGAACTTGGATTTACCCTTGTAGATTTGAGTAAAATTGGACATAGGAATGACCAATTTGTTTTGGCTTCTCAAGTCAAACAAGTATTTTTTGTTGACGACCCGATGCATCGTGGTTGGTCGGTAGTGTTATCAATGCCTAATAGAGAATATAATGATGTTATTGGTGATGATGTCTTAGGTGATGTGAGAATTGAGTGTGAGCCATTTACTAGGGGGATGCCAAATGTTGACACATTTGATGAAGTGGTGGTTGAGTTAGGGAGTCAAAATATTCGAGATGGGTGTGAAGATATATGGGTTGAATGATGCTTTATGTAATTGGCAGTGTATGACATTAATTTTGTAATATATTGTAATGTGATTTCTTCACTTTCATTATACAGGTTTTGGCCACAAAACAATCAGTACAAAAATTACTGGTTCCAGACAACAAAACACGACGGTTTTGATAAAAATGTGAAAAACAAACGTCTGTTCTAATAAATAACGACGTTTTGGAGCATTCAACGACCGCAATATATTTACCGACGTCTTAAAGCAAAGTAACAATGAAGAACCACGACGCTATTGTGAAACAGTTATCCAGGATAACACGTCGGACAAGCATAAAGAACCGCCATGTAATACAAAATAACACGACTCCAATCCCATAACACCGACGTCTAAAAGACGAGAACTTTAACCTGAACGTTACAAAAGACGACGTCGTCATGAATTTACCACGTCGCATGTTCTTTCATAAACGAAGTGGAAAAGGATGAATTCACGACGGTATTTGAAGTCCATTAAATTTGTCGACGTTAAGATTTATGAACTAGACGACGTTAATTTTTTTAATGAAGACGTATAAATTATTAAACACGACGGTCTTTTTCATGGTACCGACGTTGTATATAGACGACAACGTCGTCCTTATAAATTACTGTGTCGTAATTAATGACCCCATCATTTTTTCCACGTCGTTTATTTTCAAAATATGACGTATAAATTCTGTAATACGGCTCTCATTTATTTGGAACCGACGTTGTTTATTCATTTCAACGTCGTCTAAGTAAATACATACGTCGTAATTAATGAACCTGACATCTATTTCCACGTCATAATTCGTAGAAAAATCGAAGTGGAAAATATATTTTACGACGGTATTTGAAGTCCATTAAACTTGTCGACGATAAGATACATGAATTAGACGACGTCAATTTTTTAAATGAAGACGTATAAATTGTTAAAGACGACAGACATTTTAATGTTGACGACGTTGTATATAGACTAAAACGTCGTCATTATAAATTACTGTGTCGTAATTAATGACACCATCTTTTTTCACGTCGTTTATTTTCAAAATATGACGTATAAATTCTGTAATACGGCTCTCATTTATTTGGAACCGACGTTATTTATCAAATTCAACGTCGTCTCTGTAAATATATGGGTCGTAAGTAATGACCCTGACATCTCTTTCCACGTCATAATTCATAGAAAAATCGAAGTGGAAAATTTATTTTACGACGGTTGTGTGAAATGTTGTGACGTAGTAGGTGTCAATAACGTCGTCTATTATGATTGTAAAGACGTCGTATTTATATTTGTCATCTGTTTCCTTTTTAACGACGTTGTTTTTGTTGGAGTTGGTCGTCTATTCTCATCCTCGACTGTTTTTTTATGTCTTTTGCAGCACAAAGACGTCGGTTTTTATTTTTTGATGACGTTTTTTATTTTAACAACGACGGTTATTCACCGTCGTGGTTTGGTTATGGAAAAGATGTCGGTGGATTCCACGACCATTTGAAAACAGAATACACGACGGTGAATTCCCGTCGTGGTTTTCCTTTTTTGTAGTAGTGCAAGTTGCCTTTCTACATATCTCCTTGGTAATAGGGTATAGTGTCCGGGGATTAGCGCCATCAGTCTTCTTGACAGCGTCTACTACTTCGTTGGAATCCAACTCAATGATAAAGCGATCAAAATTCCTTGCTTTAGCAACGTAGCCATAAGAGTAGCCTCACTATCTACTTCCGATGGAGAAGAACGAAGGGTGAACCTAGATTCACCCCCAATTAAGTAGCCAGCATCGTCTTTAATTATACAACCTAGACTCCCAGTTATAGAATTCGGGTTGCAGGCCCCATCAACATTCATCTTGATAAAGTTTGGAGGAGGAGATGACCAACTCACAACCTGATCAAATAATCTACGCTCCAGATGCACAGCCACCCTCAGAACTCACACCAAGTTCTCCAAGGAAGTGGCAACATTTAATTATTATGTCCCGTTGGATTAGGAGAACGACTATAGAAGTAGGCTCTACACCTTTCTTTCCCACATCCAAACACAATTCACTGAGGACACAATAAAAGCATCTGCTCCACTGACTCCTCATGCTGATGGCAGAGAAAAAACAAATGATCACGAGCCAACTTTCTCTTAAATAAGTTTAGGCAAGTAGGAAGAGAACTAGATGAAACTCTCCATAGGAAATTCCTCACCTTCGGTGGCACCCTAATTTTCCAAATAAGATTCCATATCTTGCAGTCAGTTTGATGTGATGAAGGATTCGGGATCCTCACCTGATCACACTTACTAGCCATAGCCCAGTGATAACCTGTTTTAACAGTGAAAACACCTCCGTTATCATGGGGCTAGATCCGACGGTCTTCCTCATCAATGTTACAAAGGGGAATAGATTGGATTACGGCCAGATTTTCCATAGTAAGTTCAAAATGGACTCAAGGGTCCATGCTTCTCTGTCATGGTCAATTAAAGAATGTACAAAAGTCGGGATACGACCAAAAGTCACCTGGCAGGGCACTCGTCTGGGGCATCTTGAGCTGGGTAACCAGTTGTCACCCCAAATTTTTATGTTACTGCCATTTCCAACTTGCCATCTAGCACCATCACCCAATAACTTCCGACCCTCCAGCAAACTAGCCCAGGCCCAAGAGAGACGCGTGTCTCTTCTTGCTCACAATAGGTCACCATTAGGGAAGTGCCTAGCTTTTAACATCCCAACCCAGAATGCATCCAGATTGATCAAGATTCTCTAACACTGCTTAGCAAGCAGAGAGAGATTGAAGGTTTCAAGATCACGAAAACCCATCCCTCCCCTTCTCCTTGGGTCTGCAAAGGAGCTCCCAGTTTTTTCAATACATTTTGCGACTCTCACCCCACCAAAAGCAGTGAAGATCACGTTAATTGTCTTGCACAAAGATGAAGGAAATCGAAAATAATAAATAGGTTAAATAGGGGCCGCCAGAGCTACAGATTTAAATAAAAACTTTTCTACCCGCCATCAGTGCTAGATTTCCATGCTAGATTTTTTATTTTTTTTTTTTTTTTTTTTTTTTTTTTTTTTTTTTTTTTTATATTGAAGGAAGGCCAAAATACACCCCCGGATTAGGAGAGAGAGGAACATGCAAGATTGTTGTAATTTCTTCTTTGACTGCCTTAGGGGTGTTAGGGCCAATAAACAAGGTGCATTTCTCATGGTTAATTTATGCTCTGACCGGAAGCATAACAATAATCATCTAGGATATTCTTCAATAGTTGACAGTTATGGCCATTAGCTTTCAAAAAGAAGAGTGAGGCATCCGGAAAAAATATATGTGAAATAGTTGGGCCTCCTCTACTAATACTTAGACCCTGCAAAAGCCTTTTGTTAATGGCACAAGAGATATTCTTGGATAAAATCTCACTCACCGAAATGAAAAGGTATGGGGAAAGGGGATCCCCTTGGCCAAACCACGTTGAGGGCAGAAAGTGTTAGCGAGATCCTAGCTTATTAGGATATTTATTTCCCAGTTTATTATGATTATATTTCTTTCTTTTTTGTACAGATATTGTGTAATTAGGTTTTTATCTTGTTTCCTAGTTTGACCCTACTAGGGTTACATCCTTGTACTATAATATCTTCTTTTAGAGCATTTCCAGCAAGGGGCCCAAGGGGAGGGCTAGGGGGGCAAACCCAAAATGTTGTTTCCAGCAACAAAATTCTGCCAGGGCAAGGAGTGGGGCCTAGCGAACTGGGTTGGCCCGAGCTCCAGCCCTCGTTTTGGCTGACGTCAGCGCTGGAGTTTAAATTTTTTTAACATTGGCACGTGCAAAGCTCAAGTGGCAAAGCTCAATATTGTGCGTGTACTATTGTCCCTGGCTGCTAACCGTGACTAGCCCTTATTACAATTCGATGTCAAAAACGCATTTCTACATGGTGACCTCAAGGAGGAAATTTACATGGATCTCCCTCCTGGTATTCCTGTAACCTCTAAGAAGGGTGTTGTGTGTAAGTTGCTGAAGTCTTTATATGGATTGAAGTAGTCTCCAAGAGCGTGGTTTGGGAGATTTGCAGCATCTATGAAGAAATTTGGGTATGTGCAAAGTAACTCAGACCATACTTTGTTTCTAAAGCGTCATAAAGGTAAATTGACAGCTTTAATTATTTATGTTGATGATATGATTGTGACTGGAGATGATCAAGCATAAATGCAAAATCTTCAGAAGTATCTGGCTTCCGAGTTTGAGATAAAGTCATTGGGTGATTTGAAATATTTTCTTGGGATTGAAGTTGCCAGATCTAAACATGGTATATTTCTATCGCAAAGAAAATATATTTTGGATTTACTTGCAGAGACTGGAATGTTAGATTGTAAACCAATTGATACCCCTAGTGAACATAATCATAAGTTGGGGTTGTATCCTGATTAAGTCCCTACAGATAAAGAGCGTTATCAACGACTTGTGGGGAAATTGATTGATTTATCTCATACACGTCCTGATATTGCATATGCAGTGAGTGTAATGAGTCAGTTTATGCATTCTTCTAGTGAAGATCATATGGGTGCTGTGATGCGCATCTTGAGGTATTTGAAGTAACTCCTGGAAAGGAATGTTTTGCAAGTATGGTCATATAGATGTGGAAGGGTATACGGATGCTAATTGGGCTGGTTCAGTCACTGATAAACGTTCTACGTTTGGGTATTTCACATTTGTTGGTGGTAATCTTGTTACTTGGAGGAGTAAAAAACAAAAAGTAGTGTCTAGGTCTAGGGCCGAGGCTGAGTACTGTGGAATGGCTCAAGTTGTGTGCGAGTTACTACGGTTGAGAAGATTGTTGAGAGATCTTGGGTTTGGACCCCAGAAACCTATGGATTTGTATTGCGATAATAAAGCTGCAATTGCAATTGCGCATAACCCTGTGCAACATGATCGTACAAAGCACATGGAGGTTGATCGACATTTTGTTAAAGAGAAATTAGATGCTGAAATTATTTCTTTTCCGTTTATATCATCCGAGTATCAACTAGCAGATGTTCTTACGAAAGTTGTGTCTACTACGGTCTTTCTCAACTCGCTTGACAAGTTGGGCATGCGTGACATCTTTGCTCCAACTTAAAGGGGAGTGTTAGCGAGATCTTAGCTTAATTAGGATATTTATTTCCCAGTTTATTAGGATTATATTTCTTTCTTTTTGTACAAATTTATCTTGTTTCCTAGTTTGACCCTACTAGGGTTACATCCTTGTAATATGAATACTTTCTTTTAGAGAATGAAATACAACCTGAAAAATATTCTACCCATATTATTTGACTGAAAGTAGCACCAGGTTTTCCATTGATAATCGAGAAAGAGACAGTTCTAACACAGCATATCACAAACTCGACCCAAGAGTGAGAAAAACTCAAGCGCAGCATCGATTCCTCCAAAAATCCCATTACACACGATCAAAAGCCTTGTTCATATCAAGTTTCAAGGCTAAGAAGCCAGCTTTCCTTTCTTGTGTTTGAGGTAGTGAAAGGCTTCGTGCGCCACAAGGATATTATCCTGGATTTGGCGGCTAGGCACAAAGGCATTTTGATGGTGGGAGATGATGCAAGGGAGGATTTTCTTGAGCCTGTTCGCCAAAACCTTCACAAGTATTTTATATGAATTGTTGCACAAACTAATAGGAAGAAATTCGGTGGCCGATTCCAGGCTCGAAACTTTTGGGATAAGGTGAGTCTGATTAATTTTTCGAAGATCCCCACCCCAATTAGTTCTAGACTGAGCAGTATTACATAAGATCTCATTAACTTGCTCCGAGTATTTATGGTAGAAGAGTCCAAGGAAGCCGTCTGGACCAGGTGCCATTAAAGATACAAGATTGAAAGCAGCAACTCTCACTTCCTTCTCAGTAACAGGACAACATAATTTGGTTCATCTCATCAGTGACCATTCTCTCAACACAATCGAAAATTGGTCCCCAATTTCTTGGACCAGACGTAGTAAACAAGTTCTTATAAAAATCACCAAAAACTTTTCTGACATCCTTATCCTGTTTACACCACGCACACCACGCATCATCACCCCCTTAATACGGAGGATACGATTCTTCCTTCTTATGATGGTCATGAACAAGTGAAAAAAACTTTGAATTTGAGTAACCATACTTCAGCCACTTTACACAAGATCTTTTGTGCCAATACTACTCTTGCCCGCTACCTTCTCCCCAAGCATGGGACACCACATTGAGCGTCCTCAGCCCAAAAGGACTCAAATATGAAAACACGCTTACGCTTTTGACCACAAGGCATGGAACCAATGAGAATAGAGCAATGATCCGATCCTACTCTAGCACAGTGACTGACCATTGAATTCGGATAAACCTCTTGGCACTTCACATTCATTACCGCTCTATCAAGCCTCTCATGAATCTCCACAGCCCCACCATTAACACAAATCCAAGTGAACTTTTGGCCCTGGGAAAAAAATAAAGTGAACTTTTGGCGAGAGAAACCAGTGTCAACATTGGCGGACCCAAGAATTTTTTAGCGGAGGTGCAATTTTGAAATGTTAAAAACTATTTGTGGATTGAACATCTAAGACTTTTTACCTATATTGACCTTAGTTCCCTTCATGCATTCATATCATACATGAAAAATTGTTCTGTGTAAAAATATTGACTAAGTATGAAAAATGATTTTTCGGAATAATCATTTTCTCAAGATAATTTTTGGCGGCTTTTATTCCTTACACATCAAATCAGAAAACTTGATTTTATGGGATTTTATTATGAAGTATATATTGATTTAATGAGCTATCATTTTTAGCCTAAATCGTATTTTGCACTAAAACCGATTTTTCAAATTTTGATTTGGGGGAATTTGATTTTCTAGTATTTTTCTTTGAATCCAAATGGGGGGTACTTCCTTATTTACATTGTAAACTTAAGTAAATGGAATAATATAAAAATAAATAAAAGTAACCAGACTATCAAGCACCAACAATAGTTTTTCTGGAGAGGGGAGGTGCAGCTGCACCTTTTTGCTCCTTAACAGGTCCGCCAGTGTGTCAACTAGACTATCATTCTCTACAAAGTCTTTAAGGTATCGAACTCTACTGTTACACCATCGAGCACCCTCCCCCCAACTTTTCATGATGCCAAACAAGCTCATTGAAATCCCCTAGGCAAATCAAAGGATCCAAGATATAAGAGCCCATATTCATAACACTCGTTCAGAAAGCAAGCTTGTCTTCATAATGGGGGTCCGTCATAAAAGAAAGAAATTCTAGAGGTAGAGACCTTATCATTGTCGACTACTACAATATCAATTAAATTACTAGAGACATCCAACGCTTGGACAATCCTAGAACAACTGCCTTGTCTTCATAATGGGGTCCGTCATAAAAGAAAGAAATTCTAGAGGTAGAGACCTTATCATTGTCGACTACTACAATATCAATTAAATTACTAGAGACATCCAACGCTTGGACAATCCTAGAACAACTGCCGTCCATGTGCCAGTTGCCATGTATGCCCTATTCATAGTGCAATTGCATTCATAATGGTCTAAGCACGTTCCAAATTGATATTAAGGCATAAATTGTCATCTCACCGTGTCAGATAAAATACATAACATTTAAACCATGTATTCAAATTCCTTCTAGCATATTCCAATTATTCAAACTTACAATACTTCACAATGAGTGAACCACAATTTTTTTTAGTTCCAATCCGTAAGATTTTGATCGTACCTCCATTCAAGATTTTGATCAACACTAGCTCACCGTCATGGGATCAGTTAGGTTCTTTGACTTAATGATTATCGACTTTGCCGGTTTGATTCTCGTGGATTCAACAGTGAAGAGTTCACAAATACCGTAAGCAATAGATTGCTGAGAGGGATGATGATGAAGCATCCAAAGTGGAATCAAGCAAAGAGGAAGAAAGGAATTCTCTTGTATCATGACTTGTGTCACGGGATGAGCGAGCGGCGCGGCGCGGCGGAAGCGAAACACAAATTTCGCCACTCAAAGCACACCCGTGCGGCCTAGGATCCCATCGAATCCCAGTCAGCCTTCTCCCACTTCATGATATTCATGACTCTCACAACTCCGCGAGAGGTTCCCCTTCAAGTGTCGTCTTCCCCTAGACAACGAGTCACACTACCATGTGACAATACAATCACTCCGCATCCGGCAACGAACCCTCGACGCCCATACATCAAGCGTTGCATAAGACACGTCAACTGCATCGACCACGTCGCATGCTTAACTCCTGGCTCGCTCATGTCCAAGTCAAGACATAGCGATCCAACACACCATCGGTTTACCCACACTTCTGTCGGTCATTCCTTTAGCGTCCACGATAGCCCACATCCTCAAGCTATACACGCAAGCTATCATACTTGCATGTCGCCCAAGCCTTGGCGACATATGTCTTCCGAATGTCCCACATAACCATCTATGCATTGCATGGGGTCGCAACCCATGCGTAATGGCATCCGAATATCTTCCTTCCATCTTGGACAAGGCCGAACCCAAGCCAAGTCCATCAAGTATTGTCAAATGCCTCGCTAGCCGATGGCATAGCGAATGCCATACGTTGACCTCACTCTTTACAACGATGCGCAATACGAACGGCCCCGCGTGTTCGTATTGTCCTCGGGAATTCCTTTCCCTCGGAGACACATATTATCCTTCAACAATCTTATGCCCGCCCTTACGACTACCTCCAATGTCATAAGGATGCTAGCTTAGTGCCACAAGGGTGTAAGCACCAGGGGTGGTGGAGAGCATGACACCATGTCACCCCCTATATAGCATTTTATGTATTTAGCCTTCTGCTAGGAGGGAACATCACCTATGCACGAAGAGTCATAATTGGGCATAACTCCCTCATACGAACTCCGAATGGCGAACCGTCAGTTGCGTTTCCTAAGTCTCGACATCACGAACATTTCGGTATTCTTGGTTCCCCCAGGTTCCTCCCGTAACCTTCGAAAATACCCAAAATACCCCTCACAAGTACAACCCGGCCAACACCAACCATTCTAGCTCTTAAGCTCTCGCCCTTCCACGCTTAGACTACCTCTTAAGCGCATAGATGTCCCAACGGAGTCACCGTAGGTCTATGTGCGACCCGTGACATTCTCCCTCACTGATAATGTCAACGTCCTCGTCGACGTGCCCCACTGCACTGTCGACTTTGGAATCACGATAGCACTCGCTTATGTGCGATCCGTGACACTTGGCATCCCTTGTGTCTAGTGAGTTGATATTTATTTTATTTTATTTTATTTTATTTGTTTTCATACAAGTGATATTCTATTTTAATTGAATATAAACTATGGATAGGGGGATTCAAAGTCGGATGTAGACTTGGCTAAGTCCATGTTTGCGTGAGTGAGTTGAGTGTTTTTTTGTTATACAAGGTAATATTAACGAAATATCGAGGATAAAATCTTTCTTTAGAGCACCTCTAGCGCAGAAAAACCCAGCTCGGGGAAGGCATGGGACCCACTAGCCCGAACAAGCCCATAGGCAAAAATGGACTAGGTTGTTGCTCGAAGGCTGCTGACATCAGCAGCTGATTTTTCAAATTTTTTTTACTCTTGGTGACGTCAGCGCTAACCCACCAGCCCACATAGCCCAATGGCTACAAGCCACGTGGCTTCTCTTGGAGCCTCCGATCAAAAAATCTTACCCAATCCAACCGCTGTCCAATTTTTGGCTAAAGAAAATTGAAAAAAATATTTTTTAAAAATTCAAAAATTTCAGAAATTTTTTTTTTATAAATACCTACAAATATTTTTCACTTTCCACACCAAATTTTCTACTACAAAATTTCATTTGCGCAAAAAACAAATAGCCTCTTCCATCGAAGCTGGAGGGTTATTTGGATCAAGACGAGGTGTCGAAGAGGTCAAAATCAATGGCAAAAAAAAAAAAAAAAAAAAAAAAAAAAAAAATTGTCATTTTATTCAATTTAATGTCATATATATATATATATATTTCTTGCATTTCCAATTTCATTTTTTTAATAGATTATTCAAGGCAAAACAAAAAAGAGGAAACCCATTACACATGGCTCCTCAAGTGAACAATGCCCACAGTCGATTCCAGTGGTGCGTTCCATGTCGGGAATGATGGCACTATTACATCATCCGAAGGAAAATACTTCCCCACGTAGTGATCCGGTGGAACCGCCTCCGCCAATGATTGAGTCATCCTTGTAATCGAATCTCGATTGTGTCGGACTATGAGGACCGGGAGTATTTCAATTGTATGATAAGTGAGATGTGAATTTTATAATAAATATGGATGCATGGCAACCGAAAATCTTATCCGAAAATTTAATTTGAAAATTTTATCTAAAATGTTATCTGAATTTTTAGGTGAGAATTTTATAAAAAATATTGACACGTGGCAACAGAAAATTTTATCTGAAAAGCTTATCAAAATTAATGGTTTAAATATAAAAAATAGAAAATAAATTAAAGTGAATAGTGTTTGCCCTTGCCTTTGCCCTTTGGGGTGGAACCAAAAAATGCAAGGTTGAATAGTGACAAACCTTGCCTTGCATTTGCCTTGCCCTCGTCCTTTGGGGCGGAGGTGCTCTTAGGGAGGGGGATATTTTGGAACACTTCGTGTTATTATCGTTCAATTATTAATAATATCGTGAAAATTTTCAGCGCCGATAATATCCTTCAATATATCATAAGCAATATTGGTCAATAATATCGTGAATAATATCAATAATAAAAGAAAAAAAAAAAAAAAAAAGAAAAAAAGAAAAAAGAAAAAAAAAAAGGCTTAAGGCAAAGCTCAGAGAAAGAGAAATGGAGAAGACTAGAGGATTTCTGAGTTTTGATTTCAATCAACTAACTTTTACAAAGCATAGCCCACTCTTATGTAATTAAACAAATCACAGAGGGGCTTAACTGACTAACCACACAGCTTAGCTTTCTAACTAATACACGTGCTAGGTACTAGACTTGTAACAAACTTACTGACTTGCTAATCATAGTTAACATACTAACCATAGTTAACATTTTCCCTACTTAGGTAACTCTGTTAACCTAAGATGAGCACAATGCTGTGAGAAGATAGGACCATGTAGACCCTTTGTAAAAACATCATCGAGTTGTTCATTTGTTGAAACATATTGAACCAGCAAATCCTTCTTCTACACTCGCTCCCTTACAAAATGGAAATCAATGTCCAAGTGTTTAATTTGGGAATGATATACTGGATTTGAGCTAAGAGCCAACGCAGACAGATTATCACAATATTCAACTGGAGGATCTAGCAGATACAGCTTCAAATCTTTTGAAACCTGTCAAATCCAAGCCAAATCAGTAGTAGTATTGGCTAGAGCACTGTACTCTGCCTCTATAGAACTTCTTGAAACAAAGCCTTGTTTCTTTGATTGCCAAGATATAGGATTGCTGCCCAAAAATATCACAAAACCTGTTGTAGACCTGTGAGTGTTGATGTCTCCTGCCCAGTCAGCATCACTATATGCAGAGAGATTCATATCACCAACTATAAAACTCAGGCCATACTCTAGAGTATCTTGCACATATCTGAAAATCCTTTTCACCAAATGCCAATGAAGATCAGTAGGTTGATTCATGTATTGGCACACTGAGTTGACAAAATAAGCAAGGTTTGGTCTTGTAAAAGTCAAATATTGGAGCCTCTACAATGCTCCTAAACAATGAATCCCTGCCACTTTCATCCTTCCTCAACACACCTTATCCACCACAATAGTAATGTAAAGAATCTGAGACCCAATCTTCAAATAATTTTGCTCCATACGCCTTATCCAAAACCCTCGTTATTTTAGACCGTAGTTATAATGTAGAAGATGATTTCGGGCCAGTACTTTTTATTTGTTTATTGTTTTCAAACGGCAAAAGGCTTCCAACATTTGCCACGCTGAGTGGCCCAATCGACGTGTAACGAGCACAGCTGCTTGAGCTTTTTGTTTTGGGGGTGTCAGAAGCTTCTTGAGCTTGTTCAAGTAACTATTTATACTACTTCACCATTCCCCTTCTGTCCTTGAGTCCCAAAAGCAACCCACAAGCTCATCAGTCCAGTCGATAATGGCGGACCGGTTCTTCCCAAATATAATGCCAGATTTCGTAGCCGAAACTCCAACATCACCAACCCAAGAAGCAGAACCCGAAATTGGGTCTAGCTCACTCATGAAACTCCTCTCCATGCCTTACCCATCTCTCTCCGAGCGCTTCAAGCGCACAGCTTTGGACCTCAAAGAAACCATACTCACAGAGACATGGGGAGCCACTGGTCAACGCGTCCATGACTTCACTCTCTACTCTGGGGCTCTGGGCACTGCCCTTTTGCTCTTCAAATCTTACCAAGTCACCAGCAACACGAATGATCTGAGTCTTTGTTCTCAGATTATCAAGGCCTGTGACTCTGCTTCTCTTGGTTCAAGGGATGTGACATTCATATGTGGCAGAGCTGGTATTTGTGCTCTTGGGGCTGTTGCAGCAAAGCACCTCGGTGACTCTGCTTCTCTTGATTATTATTTAGCCCAGTTTAGGGAGATTAAGCTGTCAAGAAATCTCCCTGATGAATTGTTGTATGGGAAAGTTGGGTTTTTTGTGGGCTTGCTTGTTTTTGAACAAACATCTTGGTGAGGGTACAATTTCTTCAGCATACATGGTAAGGCTGGTTTCTAATTGATTGTATTAATTTGGGTTTTCATTTTTAAGGGGTGGTTAGATTTTCATCCTTGGAAAAATATTATTTTGGATAACATAGATTGAATTTTGATTTTAGTCCTTTTGATTAGGTTAATGTTTCGCATGTACTTTGGTTTGTATAATGTAGAGAGCAGTTGTGGATGAAATTATCAAGAACGGCCGAGCATTGGGCAAGAGAGGAAGATGCCCCTTGATGTTTGAATGGTATGGGGAGAAGTATTGGGGAGCTGCACATGGATTGGCAGGGATTATGGATGTTTTGATGGACATGGAATTGAAGCCAGATGAGTTGAAGATGTCAAGGGTACTCTCAAATACATGATCGATAATCGCTTTCCTAGTGGTAACTACCCTGCTAGTGAAGAAGATAAAAACAGAGATGTTCTTGTTCACTGGTGTCATGGAGCTCCTGGAATTGCCCTCACTCTTGCAAAAGCTGCAAAGGTATTATTTTGATGTTTACAGTTTCACTAGACACCGATTTTATTTGTCTGAAGAAAGCCGTTGATATTTTTGGACAGATGAGTGCAAAGTTCAACATTCATTGACTAATTACAATTTACAACACATCAATAGTTTAATGCATTTGACTTGAAAATAAATTATGTGCTTTTTCTGTTCAAACGATTACGAGATTCTCGAGTAATACTGGTTCTTCAGTAGACTCCAGTACAGTGTTGGACTCATTGGCTTGTAATATTTAGGCAAATTCATTTACTAGCCATTTATCGAACATAATTAAGGAATTCTACAATCTTGAACACAATTCATTACTTACTGAACTACAACGGAAGTTATTTCCCACTGATAGTTATGTCTCCTCAAGATGTCATACGGAAGTGGTTTTAATTATCTAATTCTTTATATTATTCACTGTTAACTTGCATTTTCTTCCTTTATGAGTTTATCTACTGATAAAGATATGGTAAACCCCAGGTTTTTGGAGATAAAGAATTTATGGAAGCAGCCGTTGATGCAGCAGAGATGGTGTGGAAACGTGGACTTCTAAAGCGAGTTGGCATTTGCCATGGCATTAGTGGGAATGCATATGTGTTCCTTTCGCTCTACCAACTGACAGGAAATCTAGGGTTCTTATACAGAGCCAAAGCTTTTGCGTGCTTTCTAGTTGATAGAGCTAACAAGCTTATATCGGAGGGAGAGCTCCATAGAGGTGATAGCCCTTACTCCTTGTTTGAAGGGGTGGGCGGTATGGCTTATCTTCTTTTGGACATGATTGAACCTTCTCAGGCAAAGTTTCCTGCTTACGAACAGTAAACTGTGTTTGTAAGAGCGAAGGGGATGCCTCCTTGTGTAAAATTACCGTCACTCGTTGTAATTTATACTGAGTATATATGACAACTTTTCTGACCAGGTACCAGAAAATATACATCTCAATTTAGTTAAAACTGCAGTAATCTCTCTATTATCTGAATTTAAGTTTCACCAGTAGCAGCTAAAACTTTGTTTTGGAGAATATTTAATCTGCTGAAACTTCTCCTTGATCGGTTGGGGGCTGTTTTAGTAACTTTCCCCCAATGCAAATGAAGCCATGCATTATTATGCACCCTTCTCTTGTTCTTTATTCTTTAAGTTTCGTGTTTTGAATGGCCTTTTCTGCTGCCTAATTTTTAATATGATAACCTATGGGTTATGCATCCTAGAGAAACCAAATGCCAGATACAGGAAATCAAAGTCCTCTATTACTTATATTGCAACCAAGTTGAAGGTCTCAGAATTCTAACCACCTTGTACTCAAGATGCATTTATTTTGAACCCATGTATATTTTCATGTAATGTGCATGCATTGGAACAGATCAGTTACATTCTTTTCTTTTTACTTTTTAGGCACACGATTTCATGTTCTGGTGTAAACCAATGTATGTACATGCATCCATACTATTTAATTGTCTTGTATTGTGAAGAAGAAAGGACCATGAATCTCATACCATATCTATTGGAGTCACCTTTTCCCCTCCAAACATTTACAGTCTGTTAGGCCAAGTAGATAAGAAAATTCGAAACATATGAAAAAAAATTTGCTCTTGGGACCTCCAGGATCATGCAAAGTCACAATGCTTTTGGCTCTTGTGGAAAAACCTGTCAGCAATAAAGGTTAGTAGCTTGTGGGTGGTGCAATATTGTTCACAAGTATATGATGTGCATAGATATTCCTATCGTGAAATCCTTTTTTCGTTGTTTATTTTAACTTCAAATTTGCAATTGTACATAGTGGATTAGAGTAAGTACTGCAGGAAATAGATAAGATGTACAGTCCTTGGAGCCTTTTAATAATGACCTTTAGTCGCTATAATGCGTCATGTGGGTTGCTTTGTAGTTGCAGTCTAGTATGGCATAACGGGGAAATAAGTCACTACTTCCACAGATGAATTTTCTACCTTAGTGTTAGGCAAAGAGTACATTTTAATTTTCCTCTTTGATCTTATTTTGCCACCAAGGGACTAATAGATCATTCGATTCACACCGGGCACTGTGTTTGTCAAGGAAAGCTTCTGGTCTGGAAATGTGTTCCAGCATGAAATGTGTTTTTTTCTGGAATGGAAGTAGTATCCAGATTGGACACAAACTTCATTGATTCATTCTTTTTGTAGTAATCCTCTGGGTATTTTATAGCATGATGGAGTGGAAGTCAATCAATCAAACAAAAGTACGTAGTAGGATGGACTGTGAACTAAATGTATGAACCAGGATTGTGTCAGACGCATGCTAAATTTTCTCTTTCGGCAAGGACATACTGCCGATTTTAAATGTGTTGCACTGGTAAGTCAGCTCATTATTTTGCTCTATTTTTGGATGCGAGCAATTAAAGTTTTTCTTAGTTTTACTTTTGCACTCATATAGGTTGTTGGCTACTTGTACATTGTTGTCACACGTGATTTAAAATGAACTGATTATAAGCAGGGTATCAGAAAACAAAAATATAGGTAGAGAATCCTTATTTGGACATCATATGTCCACCATAAGCAGTTGAATAGTGGACATTGAAGGTCATAAATACATTTCCAGATTGAGAAGCCAACACAATAGGGGCACAAATTTCTTTATTCCCCAATATGTAATGTAAGGCCCAGCCTTTTTAGCGTATGCCATATACAGTATATTATTTCCTCTCCTATATTATATTGTCCTTAGCCACACTGAGAGTATTTATGTTAGATACCATGTTTGTCAAGGAAACTGAGAATTAGCTGATTGACTTGATCTGGCAATTGCTCGTGCACAAAGTGGTTTCCTTCAGCGATGAATGTAATGTCCAAATCGGGCACAAAATGCTTCATTGCTGTTCCATTCCGTATGTAGTCCTCCATCCCCGGAAATTTTAAGTAGTCCTTCTCACCCATGATAAGCAGTGTCGGAGATGAGATTTTTGGATCAGTTGAACCGTAATCCAGTGCTGAAGTTCTGCATCAATGGAAGGGAACTGTCATTAAATTACATTTTGGGAGATGTTTTATGTTAAATGGTATTTGGTTATATGGTTTTTTCAATGTTGCAAGGAGAATAAGAATAATATGGCAGACTAGGACACTATGAATAATATGGTTTTTTCACAATCTTACCTAAGCAACCACTCTATATTTCCTTGTGCTGTATTTATTTATTTTATTTTTGGGAACCAGGACAGGCAAGTCGGAGCTGTTGGAAAATATAAGTCATGTCCTGGAAGAACAGAATGCAAAAGTTATCTTTCTTGTTACCTACCTGTATGGAACTTGCACTGGAAAATGGAATCCAGATTTCTCATATAAAGATGAGTAGACTGCAAGATCTTCCTCAGAGAACCATGGTGGTAGAGGAGTTGCAGGGTCAAACAAGTCCATGATTTCTTGATCAGCAGCAGCTACTGGGACCTCACTTCTGGAGAAGAGAATGTAGATGTTCCTTATCACAGTATTAACATCAAAGCGACCAAAATTTGCTTCTGCTCTCCCTGGTTCCTGGAATTAGGTAAGAATAACAGTATCATTGATAGAGTTAAACCTTGTGATGATTGGAACAGGTCCAATGAAAAATTTTGTTGACAAAATGAAGTTCTTAATAAAATGAATATACCTGCCACCGTGTTATGTAGAAGCCATTGGGGAATAGATGATTTTGGACACCAGAGAGACCTGGTTGAATGAAAGGAATACCTAGTGTTATGATGCCCGATACCCGCTCTGGGTGGAGAGCAGGTACTAGGTATGCAGGCAGAGCTCCAAAATCCTTCCCAACAAGAAAGGTCTGGTTTCTGTATTAAAAAATTATATCTGTTTAGTCTATAAGCATAAAACGAAGTTCAAAGATTATATATATACAGACAAATGTATCTCTAATACTTCTCATGTCTGGATGTATTGGTGGTCTTAAGCTTAGGACCCCTCGTCCATGTATCAACCGGGTCAGTATAGTGGAATTTTGTCTCCTAGGTTGATTGGAAACCCCAATTTTGGTGTTCTTTTTGTAATTTTTCTTCCAATGGCAGAGTTAATTGTTTTAACGTGTAGAATCATTTTCTGTAACAATGTTTAGGGTTTAGCTCTCCGCCCAAAACTTTGAGAGCTAAACATAAAGCGCCAACTGATAAACAGGTACCACCTGCCCTGCAGATGGGGGAAAAAAGAAGCAGCAAAATCTTTCCGGAGGAAAGAATGGATCTACCTTGTTAATCCCCAGAGAATCCAAAAGGGCAACAACATCATCAGCGAGGTCTTTGAAGGTTCCCTTTTCGGGTTCAACTGGCTGCTCCGAAAGTCCATAGCCCCTGAAATCAATGGCTATTGCCCTGTACCCTTTGTTTGCCACAGCAAGCATTTGGTGCCTCCATGTGCCATATTTCTGGAAACCCATGCAAGAAAAGCACCACTTTCGGACCTGCACAAATAGTTACTGTAAGAGCAAGCAGGGCAAAAAATTGAAGAAAAGAGTTGTTATCCGGTGGTTATCAGAATTTTGGATCTTACCGTGTCCAATTTCCGCTACATGAAAGCTTTAGTCCTCTTACTTCCACATTTCTGTGTTGTATCTGTTCCATGAGAGCAAGAAAGAGACTCTTGAGTGAGAGAAGAAAATTAAACAAGAGAGGATGGCAGGCAGAATAAGTAAATAGATAATGCCAAGAAGTCAAGCGTTTGTTTCTTGTCATTGTTGTCAAGCATTTGTTTTAATTGCCGCCTTTCATTGTTTTAAGCGTATGTCAATACATAGAGGCTTGTGTATGTCTGACAAAACCATGTACTACTTTGAGGATTGTGAAAAATTTAAGGGTTTGCAATGACTGCCACTCAATGTTCAAGTTGATATCAAAAATTACCAAAGGAAAAATTTTAGGCTATGGATTTGACAAGGGATTTTCACTTTGTCGATTTCTCACTTTGTAAATTGTTTATATATATATTTTTCTTTGGGTTAACTACGTAAAAGTACCCAATCTTTGAGGATCGTTTCAAATAAGTACCCAACCTAAAAATGGTGGCCGGGGTGGCAATAACATAATTCTTGGAGTCCATGCAATAACATAATTCTTGGTAAATAATATTTTTAAATTGCTGTTAGTACCAAAAGCAATGTCAAAACATTTTGGTAAATTTTAATATAAAACCGTTGTAACTGTGAATAATGACTAAAATATACATGATGTTGAAAGTGTTATGTGCTAATCATGTGGTGGTAGTAGTAGTGGTGGTGGTGGTGGTGGTGGTGGTGGTGGTGGTGGTGGGGTGGGGGCGGGGGTGGGGGTGAAAGAGATAGAGGTGAAGGTGATGGTGGTGTTGAAGGTGGAGTTGGTGAATGTGGTAGTGATGATAAATCGATTAATGGCTTAGCCTGAGGAGCTCGTGGCATGGGAGCTAAGCTTTCACAAGTTTAGCAATTTGAGAGAGAGAGAGAGAGAGAGAGAGAGGCATGAATTCCTTATAGAGAACAAGAGGTTGAAGTGAACAGAGCAAGATTAGAACTATTCCTATCCTAAGAGAGAGAAGAAAACGAACAAAAGGGGAGATTGGGTGTCTTGAGTGAATTCTCAGATACTTAACAAAGCTTGGTCAGGCCTCTGAATGGGTTGGTTTTTTGGGTAGCAAAAGCCCTATTTTATAGGCATGAAGAACCCTAATTTCATCTAATCTGTTTCCTCCCTTTCTCGTTGCTTCCTTCCACTTAACCTTTTGGGTGAAATTCTTCCGTTCGGGATGCATGGGTAAGGGACCCTTTGTGGTTCCAATGGTTTGACGCAGTTGGACCTCCCCATGAGGGTGAGGCACCACCTGCTTTCTCTCTTTGGTTTTCGAAACGAAGCTCGTAATGGAAAAAGGGACGGGTAGAGCCTTTTGTCCGATGGGTATTTGTCCTTCACCTATGAATCTCCGCTGGTTCTTGTCATGGCTCCTTGTCTGACTTGTTTGGAGTCCTAACAGGGATGGAGCACGATGCCAGCTTTTTAGAAGGCTTTGGGCTGGGCTTGTGTGTATAGTGTCGGGTTATCAACGTGTTATCTCCAGCATCTAATGGGCTTTTCGTCAAGCAGCTGGAAGAGACTTTAGTTTTTTAGGCATTCTATTGATATGGGCTGGGCTACTAGATGATTTCCTAAGGCTTTGGACCATTTTCTCTTCTCACTCATGCTAACCCATGTGTTCGGGTTCTAAGAACGGGCTTGAGTTTTAATGCCCCCCAAGTGGCTTAAACCGTGCGTTCCTCGAACCCTCAATGGGCCCTATGATTGCTTGTTCCCCTCCATGCCACAACCTTCTCAGTAAACCCTGGTTTAATTTTTGTGGCTTGGGTCCACTTGTGTCATAGCTTGGTGCTAGAATAATGGCTCTTTTCGCATGATGCCTATGCTTGTGCTTGAGTTTTATTATTCCGGGTCAAGTAACACCTAATGAGCATGTGAGCGTGATTTCTATAAAGTTGGTGTGTTTACTTGGCATGACGCGTGGCTGGTAGCATGTATTAGCGGGTCCCACAAATGCCCTTTTATTCCGATTAAACCCCTTTTGTATCTTCTTTTCTGTGTTGGGCCAGGAATTAATTTAGGCTTAACCCCTTGGATTTTTGGGCCTCAACATTAGTCCCCTTGATTATTAGGGCCATGAGCAATACCTTGAGATGGGTCGAATAATCAAACCCGGCCCGAAAGCAAGAAAAATCAAATCCCTCCGGCTGATGTGACATTCTGGTTTCCCGCTTGTGTGCTGCCATAATTATCTTCCAGCAGTTTCTTACGTTCCCCAGGTACGCTTCCATCAAATCTATATATATATTTTTTTTTCTTCCCTCTTTCTCCTTTTCATTCTCTGACTTCTTTCTTTTGTGCACACGAGTTCCCAAAACTGGTTGCCCCTTTTCGGTTTTGCTGGTTCCCTTTCGCACCCAGGTCTAGAGAACCTTTGGAGAACGAGAAGTCACGGGGAGGCCTCCTCCATAACTGCTGGTTGGTTTCGCTCAAAGAAACCGCTCGCAACGTCTGGGAAAAGCCACGGCTCCTCTTTAAAATCCCTCAAATTTCCTTCAATTTCTTCTTCAATCTGCCAAAAACCAGGTTTGGCAAAATTACCCTGCAAAGCGTGAAGCAATTTTGACAGCAAAATCGAAAGGCGGTTCCCCCTTTTCTTCTGATTTCGCAAGCTGCTGGAAAACACCATCAAGAGCAGTGGTAAGCATCGTCCTCTTATCTCCTCTCCTACTTCTTCATCTTATCATTGCAGACACATGCATTTATGCATACGTACATATATGTATAGATGGCGCACTCACGTATATAGATTTTGAGAATTTCTCATGAACAGAGTGTCCTCTCAATTCCTTTTGCTGTATATCCGCCCAATGCCCATTCCATGCCTAGGTTTTTTTTTTTTTTTTTTTTTTTTTTTTTTTTTTTTTTTGCAGACTAGCCATTCCATGGCCTTCTTCAAACAATTTACCCCTTGTTGCCTTTTTTTTTTTTTTTTTTTTTTTTTTTCATCAATTTCTTTTTGACATCATAGGGATGTGGGTACGATCAGTGTCTGTGAGGGTGCTGGAACTTATTTGTTTTCCTCCTTTCTTCCCTTTCGCAGGTGTTCGTGACTTAGCGGGTTTATTATGGCATCGTCCAACCTTCCACTCATCATGTTAGACCACCTTTACTCCATGGACGACAATCTCAAAGCAGGAGGGCCGCTCTTGTTGCTGGAAGATGCCTATAAGAATCCTATGGTTGGTGATGAGCCATCGCCAGAAACTACTCTTATAGTTGATCCTGCCTCCATATCCAGGTGCTGCATTGAGAAGGGCCTGTTTCCAGCCGTTCCCTTATTTTTTCAATATCCTTGTAGCATTAGCAGGGGCTGGTCATAGTGGGTTGACCGTGAGCTGCTGGATCCGTCCACATGCAACATTTTGCGCAGAGCGCAGGTTCTGGATGCCATCTTCCTCTCCAAGCTGTGGGATATCCATATTGAAGCGAAAATGCTTCATCATGTGGTCCGTAGGTGGAGCGCTGCTACCCATACCTTTGTGTGCTCATGGGGAGAGTTTACCCCTACCCTTGAAGATGTGGCGAATATCTCCCGCCTTCCAATTTGCGGTGACCGGAGTCTCTTCGACATTGCTCTCACCCCGGAAGAGGTAGACCAGCTTGAAATTTTGCGGAGAGGCGCTCCTACTTCTCCCAGCACCTCTCTTCGGTTCAGCAACTGGATACAGTATTTCAGTGATGCAACCAGGCAAGGACCTTGCCGGTTGGCTGCATTTATAGCTCTGTGGCTTGGGCAGTTCGTACTTTTGATTTTTCGCAGGATTGCTTGCATGAGCGCGTATTCCCCTTGGCTTTGGCTATAGCTCGAGGCGATACCATCCCCCTAGCCCCTATACCGGCTGCTTAATCAGACTCAGATTTTAGAGAAAAGTGCATCTGGAACTATGGGCATGGAGAATCTCTTGAATTCTGGTTTCTTGCAGGTGTTTTTATGGGAGCGTCTCAAAGGATTGGATGTACATTCACTCCCTCACTCACATGCTATGAAGCTAGCCGATTGGGGCAAGGGTTCTTATATGCCGGAAAGTCTTCCCTTAGTCTGTAGATGGTTTAAACGGATGCAGAGGAAAGGCCAGAACTTTCTGAAGCTGTTGGATAACGTTGAGAACTTTGTCTTTCGCCCTTATGGCACCTCGGCAGAGACCTTCACCTTTGTGTCCTTTTATGCTAATGTTAGTGACACCGTTGAGGTTCCAGCAACCGTGTCACAAAGTGGCCAGTTCAGAAAGTATTCCATGTTGAACGTTGCTTCTATCCCGCTGCCTACTCTTGGAGACAGTCTCTTGGAGATTTTTGTACCTTACTCACCTCATCGGGTTAGGCGGCAGTTTGGGCTTGATCAAGGAGTACCGAGCAATCCTAACCATGCTGACCCCTTCGTGCTACACAGCGTCTTCTGGAGCAATGAATCTATACCAAACAGTTGTAGGCCCCTTGTTTTAGCTAGCAAGAGGAGAATTGGCGGCTTCTCCCGAGGTTACCAAGCTTACTAGAACCGCTGCCTCGCCTCCTTTCGTGAATTCCAATCTCTTCCCGGAGACAGATTGCCTCCTACAACAGCTCGTCTTGCAGGCTTGGTGTCGGAAGAGAAAGCCATCCCTCTTAGCCAAAAACGCAACTTGCCCTTCATTTCCAACAGCGGTGACATTGTTGGAGAATTTCCTAAGACAAAGCCAAAGCCGGGAGTACAGAGTCCTGGCGGTTTCGGAAAAAGTGCAACACCAGTGTCAGGTAAAAGGAAGCGAGAGGAGGAGCAAAATGTGAGTGAGAAGCAGACTGCCGGTAAACCCCAAAAGGTTCATTCCAAAGGTAGCCCCAAGTGGCCCTCCTCGAACCAAAGAAGCAACTCCCCACGGAACATCCACAGTCTTTAAAGTCGGCTGCATCCGAGAGCCGGGGTCGTGCTGGCAAGTTGCTGGAAACTACCCCTCTCTGCAGTAAGTGTTACCTCTTCTTAAAAAAAATAAAAAAATTTACACCCCCTTTTTTTTTTTTTTTTTTAACACACCCCCGTGTCCCCACAGGCTATTCCAAAACGTCGCAGCATGCGTGTCTTGCAAGCAAAATTCACTGGGCTCGTACAAGTGGTAACAACACCTCTGGAACTAGAACTGTGGTGACAATTGATGATGACAGTGATGGTGACACTACTGAGTCCGAGGCTATATGGATAACATTGGTGACATGTATGAGGGCTCCGATGGGAATGACAATTATGACCATGATGGGGATGTTCCTTTCGATGATTATACAGAAAAGCAAGGCGGCTTGGATACCTTTTTTGGGTCTGTGGGTAGCAGTGTGCGCCCCGTCGGCGTTGAGCCAGTACTTGGCCTATCCTAAACTCTGTTTCCCTTTTTCTTTTTTTCTTTTTTTCTTTCGCACCACCAGATACCTACTGACCACCTATACCCATTTCGCAGGTCACCGATATTGCTGAGGGCTCGGGCCTTGTTGCGGCCGTTGTCGACCCTGCGCAAGACACCCCTGAGGTAGCTCCTTTACTAATATTCTCTTTTTCTCCTTGTTGGACACCATTCCCTTCTTACTCCTTTGCTAGTGCACGTAACCTGTTGTTTATTTCGTGCTGATCCTTGTACATATCTTATAACCCTTTTTTTTTAGATTGGGTACGTTGCCCAGAACATGGAAATCGTGCCCATGGTGGCTTCCTCCTTCGACACCTTTGACAGATTGGTTGAGGCAGCCCTTGCGGAGTCATTTCCGACCATGCCGCCAACAAATTCCCAAGACACAACATCCACGTTCCGAATCACAAACCCATTGCCTCCCATCTTCCAGCACATTCTTCGGGGGGACCTTGAGCCTGCCATTTCTCCAGTTCTTCTGGCAATTCTTCGAAGCAGCAATTTTGCCTTTCATGGGATACCACCTGTTCCATCCCACATTCGACCGCTTCTCCAGACGCCAGAGCCTAGTCCCCTAGCACTTCTTCCAGCGTTCCCATTTGGTGACACAAGTGCTGCCGAGAATGTTCAGGTTGTCGTTGCTGCAGGGAATACTGCTGCAGAACACCCATCCGACGCATCTTGGTTGGAGTGGGAGGAATCCTTTGCTGCATTTATGGCCTTCTTTGATGGTGGCGTCCAAGTCCTTAGATTTGCAAATGAACTCTTGCCACTTTGTCACCGATTCAACGGTTATGCAACATTCCGAGGAGCCCTCATTTATCCCGAGACAATTGCAGCCTTGGAGAAATTTCTGGACAAGTATGGGGATTTCACGGACATGACTAGCATCACTTCTTCCTTTTCTTAGTGCACTACTTTCCGAACTCTTGGCTTGGTGCTCCACAGAATGGATACTACGCAGTTGCTGGACATTACGGACCATCGACTCCTTTGCTGGCGGGACGCGATTTGTGAAGCCATGACTTTAGGCTTCCGGGTAGAGTTTCTCTTGAACTTGGTGAAAGAACTAGCAAGTGTTGTATTCGAGGAACAGGCTATTCATAGCATGGAGTCATTTTCTGGTTCTGACAACATAAGAGCAGCGGCAAAGGCCTTGAATCTCAAGCAGCGCGAGTTAGAAAATCAGCATGGGGAATTGCGTGCCCTTCTTCTTGCCCAAGGTATTTCTCCTGATAGTGCAGGCTGCGTGATGGAAGCGGTGACAAGGTCTTCTCATAAGGCCTTCTTCGTTCTTTTCTAGCCATGCGTGATAGTTCTGAGGTTCGTTACTTCCTGTCTCTTTTTTATTCTTATCCACTACCTTCCTCTTTTCTTTCGACATTTTCTTAATTCCGCAGGCTGCATTTTTGCTTAGTGTAGGATTGACTGGCTCGACACGTCTCAGGATTTCTTTCAAGATTGAAGAACACATTTTAGCTTGTATAACTTAGTCTGATCTAGGCTGTAATCCTTTGTGGGTAACCTCAAGGCTTGTATTGCGGGTAGCCTGGGCACTTGTAGTGTTGTTGTGTTCAAGCTGCCGGAACCTATGTCCCCCTTTTTTTTTAGAACACACTGTAACTTTTGCTCAGTATATATATATATATATATATATACATATATATATATATATATGATGCTTGGTTGGCGGAAGTCTTTTGCTTGAGATTTTTCTACAGGTTGGGCACCTTTCGAAACAAGATAGAGGCCGTCAAAATTTTGGTAGGATCCATGCTTGAAGCTTCTTATATATTAATTTTTTTTTAGCAAGTTTGGGGAGCATGCCAATTTCAAAGGCTCAGCTTGGCGTATTTCTCTGTTGATAAAGCATGAAGCCTGCTAATAACCCAGGATCCCATGCAAATGGCTTTGACTTGGCATGCCTTCTGCTAAACAACCCCTCTCTCTCCTTCGTTTTTTTATAAATAAATAAAAAACAAACAAACAGGCAGACTTCCACATACAGTTTTTTTTTCTTTTCAAAAATACTCCTTCACCTTCATTTCGAATCTCATGTTATCACCAAGGTACATTTTACAAAAGCTTTCCCAAGCAGAAGCAAGCATATGGAAGGAGATAAAAAAAAGAAAAAGAAATGTAATAACATAAAGATAAAATATTATGTCTACTTAGCAGTAGTAGGGCTTGAGCCATTTTCCATTGATGGGGTCTGTTAGCATGCCTTCCTTAACAGAGATCAAGCGATAATAGCCACTGCTGTGTACTTCCTTGACTGTGAATGGACCCTCCCATTGCAGGGCAAACTTGGATGGTCCTGACATTAGTCTTCTCACGTGCTCGACGACTTTTAGCACAAGATCTCCTTGCTTGAAAGCTTGAGGCTTAACGGTCCTGTTATATGCTTGGGCAATAGTCTTGTGGTAGAGGGCCATTTTTCTTTCGGCTCCCATTCTCCTTTCGTCCATGCTTCAAGATCCAACAAACGCCAATCCGAGCATGACTTTGCATCCCATTCAAGATCGTTAACAACTGATACTCTGGCCATGGGAATGGTGATTTCCACAGGTGAAATAGTGTCGGACCCATATACCAGTGAATAAGGTGAAAAACCTGTAGCACTTCTGGGTGAGGTGCGGTAAGCCCACAAAGCATCCGGCAGGTGAGTGCTCCAACCGCCCTCATACTCATACACCATTTTGCTTACAATCCTTAGTATCGTCTTATTGGTAGCCTCTGCTTGACCATTTCCCTGTGGGTAATAGGGTGTTGAGTGGTGATGCTTGATTCCGTAACCACTAAGTGTTGAACTTACTTGCTTGTTAACAAAAGGTGTGCCATTGTCAGTAACCATCTTGTATGGTATTCCAAATCTGCATACAATATATTCCTAAATGAAATTTGAAACGGCGACTCCCGTAGCCTTTCAGAGAGGAATTGCCTCGACCCATTTTGTGAAATATTCTGTAGTAGTAAGAATCCATATGTAACCGTCAGAAGGAGGATAAATTGTCCCTATTAAGTCAAGCCCTCAAGTATGGAAAGGCCAAGGAGTGCGCATGTCCTGCAACAATGTAGGAGGCTTGTGACTCAAATTGGCGTGGATTTGGCACGTGTGGCATTTCTTAACAAAATCATGTGCATCCCTTTTCACAGTAGGCCAATAATATCCAAAACTCAACAGCTGCCGGTGGAGCCTTTTCATTCCTTGATGCTCTCTGCATTCTCCAACGTGTATCTCTTGCATGACTTGATGTGACTCCGTCTTTCCTAATCATCTTAGAGGTTCCCCATTAAATCCCTTCCGATAAAGAGTCGATCCATCCACAAAATATCTCTTTACCGTCTTCTTAAGCTCATAGGCGAGCTTGGAATTGCTTGGCTGAGTTCCTTCAACAAAAAAATGCCAAATACAGGGCCCTCCAATCTTATGCGAGTGAAATGGTGAAAGATTCCTCGGTAGTAGGTATTGTAAAACATTTGGGACAACTAGCCTGAACTTCAGCCGCTTGTTTCCTCATTTCTGGCCAAAAATAACCTTTACGCTGCAGGCGCCGATACAAGCTAATTACTGGTTCCAAACTGCAAGTAGCATCGTGCACTTCTTGCAGCCGCCTTCTCGCTTCAATTATTCCTATGCATCGAGTCAAAACGCCTCCTGGAAGACGCATGTAGAGTTCCCCAAAGATAATCACGTAATCTTTCAAATCCTTAATACCACTCTCTTCACCCAGCTTTTTCTCCAATCGTCTTCTTCCAGCAGCTCCACCTAGACCATTGCTTCGACTATCGGTGTGCCCTTCCTTATTACTGTAATATTAGGCTGTTCCTTCTCGAATGAGAGCTTTGATCCCAACGTAGCCAAGGCGTCAGCATACCTATTGGTGACTCCTGGAATGTGCTCCATCACTATTTGCTTGAAAGAATTAATAAGCCTTTCAGCAGCTGTCCGATATGGTGCCAAGGTCACCTCCTTCACAGCAAAGCTTCCTTGCAATTGACTTAGCACCAAAATAGAGTCGCCAATGACCTTCATCCTTTCTGCACCCATTTCCTTGGCAGTGGACAATCCCATAATAAAAGCCTCATACTCTGTCACATTGTTTGTGCATGGAAAATCTAACTTGAATGAGAAAGCTGTAGCATGCCCATCGGGATTAATAAGCACTACACCTGCTCCTCCACCCTTTGATGTAGAAGACCCATCAAAGTAGAGGGTCCATGATTCTTTCTCTATCACAGCAGCCACCATTTCCGGCAGCTCCCCCAAAACCTCCTTGGAAAGAGTTGATTCTTCTATCTCGGGAAATAGAGCCAGCATGTCAATCACAGCTTGTCCCTTGATGGCCTTAAGAGTTGTGCATGTAATATCAAATTCAGATAGCTGCAGCAGCCAACGCGTAAGACGACTAGACAGCACTGGCCTTGTAAGCAGATATCTCACATGATCGGATTTTACTATGAGCTGTAGCTTGTGAGCTAGAAAGTAGTGTCGCAAGCGCTGTGCAGCATAGCAAGAGCAAGACACAAGAGCTCCGAATGCACATTTCTTTGGGTTCATCTTTAACCCGTAGAGCCGACACCTTTCCAGTACTCGTCTCAAAACCTCCTAATGGCTTCCTCTATCTTTTGATTTTACCACCAAGTCGTCCATATAATCCTCGACTTCTCTCCCCATCATATCATGAAACACTGCCGTCATGGCCCTTTGGTAGGTGGCGCCAGCGTTCTTAAGACCAAATGGCATGACGGTATAACAAAAGTTCACATATGGTGTTCGAAAGGTTGTTTTCTTGGCATCCTTAGGAGACATCTTGATTTGATTATAGCCACTAAATCCGTCCATGAAGGACAGCATGCCTTGACCCGAGGTTGAATCGATCAAAATATCCATGTTGGGCAGTGGGAACTCATCTTCTGGGCAGGCTCGATTGAGATCACGGTAGTCTGTGCATATTCTGATTACCCCGATTTTCTTCTTCACGGGCACAATATTTGCTAGCCATGTCGGGTGTTTGATTGGCTTGATGAATCCAATAGCTAACAGCTTTTCAATTTCCACTTTGATTTGCTTCTCAATTTCAGGATGAAAATTCCTTCTTGGCTGTACAACAGGTTTTGTACCGAGCTCAATATTCAGCGTGTGACTTACCAAATTCGGATTAAGACCGGGCATCTCTTCGTAGCTCCAAGCAAACACATCTCGAAATTCTTTCAACAAAGATACCAAAGCTTCCTTCTCTTCCCTTGTTAAATGAACACTGATAGAGATGGGTCTTGGGATAGAGGGATCATCACTCAAATCAACTATTTCCAACTGCTCAGCTACTGCTGTTGAGCCATCTTGCATGTGCTTGGGCGCTGTCATTGGTTCCTGAAAGGTACAAGGCAGAGGTGCCTTGTCATCTGGATCCTTGCGACTGCCAGCTTGCATTGCTTCTCCTCTATACTCGGGGCTTTCCCGCAAAACGCGGTCAAGCCCCCAATCCCGTCATAAGCGGTACACAGTGCGCCCATTGAGTAGCGTCACTTTCGAGCATTGGGGATGATCATAGGCATGATTGTTGACCTCCGAATGTCTCTTTCTTTCTTGGTCGACAATGGTGATGAGCTCTTCAATGCTTAGATCACGAATTTCAGTCCACGAAGGAAGGTAAGTCCCGAAATCCTTGGGTGGGTTGCTTCCGGCACCTGTGCATTCGGTGTAAAACTCTACCTCAGAGTAGTGAGCTTCGTTTTTGTTGAACGGTGCTTGATTTCCAGGTATTCGCAGCGGCCTTAGCCCAATCCTTCCCTTCACGTAGTGATAGTAAGTAGAGACCACAAGCTTATGCTTATTAAGCCATTGCGTCCCAAGCAAAGCATGATAAGCCACATCCACATCCACATCCACGACATGGAACTTAGTAAGTGACCGAATCGGTCCAACCTTCAAATTTACTTGCATATGTCCAACTGTGACTTCACTCTTGTTCCCGAAACCACTTATGCTTGTTTGTGATTGGACAATTTTGGATAATGGAATGCCAGCTGCTGTAAGCACGGACAAGGGTAATATGTTGACAGAGGAACCCGTGTCTACCAAAGCCCTTCTTATAAATACATCGTTGATTTGTCCCTCCAAATAAAGTGGCCTCTTGTGATCCAGATATGAGACCTTCATGTCTTCATCCGTGAAAACGATAGCATTATCATTTTCCAAGAATGACCTTTGGGGTTGAGCGGTGAAGCAATGGGGATTAGATTCTGCGGAAATGTTCATGAGAGCTACAACAGCTGCTTCCCTTGCCTGAGGTCCAAAACCAAGCTGGTCAAAGAGTGACTTGAACTTTGGATTTCTTTGGAGAACTTGCGAAGCTGTAGGTTCTTGCTTCAAACCTAGGTAACGCTCCATTACAGTTGCCTCAACTTCTGTAAGAGCATGAAATGTTACAGTAACCGTTTCCTGCTGCCCAGAGGAGGTTCCTAGGCGTTGTTCTTCCGACATGTCCAACATAAACACTTCGTTGTCTGCACATTTGTCCCATCCATCAGCAAGTGGCCATGGCGTATTGTAGCTCGAAGGTTCTGAATATTTTCGCCAATAAGCTTTCTCCATGTTTCCCCAAGGCTCCCAAATAGCCTCAGGTGGCTTCGGGTCATTCTTCCATGGGTAACATAGTTCATCATCATCGAGCAGATCGTCAAAACATGTTACAACAACAGCTACCTCCTTTCCCCTTCACTTTGGTAAAGGGTCCTCATCAATAGTTTGCTTCCTAGAGGGAAGCTCAAGAACTCCTTCATTTATTTTTCCATGTACAATCCTCCTTAAGCTCTGACAGGCAGTGGTTGGATGCCCTACAAATTGATGGTAACGGTAGTACCTGGGGTCATTTTTCTCTTCTCTAGTAGGGACCTTGTAGGGCCTAAGGGGCTTGATTGCGTCGTCAGCTATCATCGTGTCAAGAATGGCATGAAATTCTTCGTACTTGCACGGTAATGGAGGGTATGTTTCCCTATCCTTTCGTTTGCGTGAATTATAGTCATTGGATAACTTATCGTCTACGACCAGCGTTTGATATGCTTCCTTCTTCTCGCTCCTCCAACTTCTTTGCCCGAGTGGTTTGATAGACATGCTCGTCTTCCTCACTACTTCCAGCAGCCAAGAAAATTGACTGATGCCAATATTCTCCAAGTAAACTCTATAATCTGCCACGATGTTGCTGATGCAAATCTCGACAACTGCCTCCTCGTCATTTTCGTCATAGCAGTCAAGAGCCAAGTCTTGGAACCTTCGTACAAAGTCCACAAGATCCTCCCCTTGCTTTTGGCGAGTGTTGTTGAGCTGTGTAGTGGTAACCCTCTCCTCATGCTGAAAATATTTTTTACAAAACCTGATCAGTGAGGCTGGTGCCAATGTGGTGTACCACGTATAAGCCCGATCAGTGAGGCTCTTTGAGAATTCTCGGAGTCGAAGATTATAATCACCAGCATGTGGTCCCAAAGCATTGAGGAATCGATTGACATGTTCCTTCGGGCTTCCTTTCCTCCTATCGAAAAGAACAAAGCTTGGTGTCTCGTAACCTTTGGGATAGGGCTGCTGCATTAAGCTTGATGGGTACGGTGGCTGAGGAATGTACTTCCAATCCTCCTGGCTTCGACTAAGCTCTTTTTCCAGCATGGCAACGACATCCTCCTGGGTAACAAAAGATGGTCCTTTTTGTTCAGACCCTTTTCCAGCAGCAGCAGATTCTTCTTGTGGATGTCTGTCGTCGTCTTCACTTGGCTTAGAGATGGCATTTTTTAATTCCTTGATAGTGTCCATCATCTCCCTCTGGGTTTCCCCCATAGCCTGTATAGCTGTAATGAGATCTGTGAGAGTGAAAGTTCCCACACTTGCGCGCTCTTGTTCCCTAGATAAGGCATTTTGCCGTGATCCGGAATCACCATGGTCGGATCCATCTTGGGAAGCCATGGTATTGCTTCTAGTCTTCTTTTTTGGAGGCATTTAGTGAAAACAGCAGCTTGATCCCCAGTAGAGTCGCCAATTTATGTAGGGGTCTTTTTGCTCCAGCAGCCTGACGAATGGGCTTAGGCTGCCGTAAGAAGACAACGAACAAAAACTCCCCAAAAAGCCTGAGTTCGAAACCAAGCTTCCAAAAGGGTTTTTATAAAATCTGATGACACTTTAGAAAAACACTCTTAGGTTCATCTCACTAACACCAAACAAGCATGATAAATCGATTAACGGCTTAGCCTGAGGAGCCCGTGGCATGGGAGCTAAGCTTTCACAAGTTTAGCAATTTGAGAGAGAGAGAGAGAGAGAGAGAGAGAGAGAGAGAGAGAGGCATGAATTCCTTATAGAGAACAAGAGCCTGAAGTGAACAGAGCAAGATTAGAACGATTCCTATCCTAAGAGGGAGAAGAAAACGAACGAAAGGGGAGATTGGGTGTCTTGAGTGAATTCTCAGATGCTTGACAAAGCTTGGTCAGGCCTCTGAATGGGTTGGTTTTCTATGTAGCAAAAGCCCTATTTTATAGGCATGAAGAACCCTAATTTCGTCTAATCCTTTTCCTCCCTTTCTCGTTGCTTCCTTCCACTTAACCTTTTGGGTGAAATTCTTCCGTTCGAGATGCATGGGTAAGGGACCCTTTGTGGTTCCAATGGTTTGATGCAGCTGGACCTCCTCATGAGGGTGAGGCGCCACCTGCTTTCTCTGTTTGGTTTTTGAAACGAAGCTCGTAATGGAAAAGGGGACGGGTAGAGCCTTTTGTCCGATGGGTATTTGTCCTTCACCCATGAATCTCCGCTGGTTCTTGTCATGGCTCCTTGTCTGACTTATTTGGAGTCTTAACAGGGATGGAGCACGACGCCAGCTTTTTAGAAGGCTTTGGGCTGGGCTTGTGTGTATAGTGTCGGGTTATCAATGTGTTATCTCCAGCATCTAATGGGCTTTTCGTCAAGCTGCAGGAAGTGACTTTAGTTTTTTAGGCATTCTATTGATATGGGCTGGGCTACTGGATGATTTCCTAAGGCTTTGGACCATTTTCTCTTCTCTCTCATGCTAACCCATGTGTTCGGGTTCTAAGAACGGGCTTGAGTTTTAATGCCCCCCAAGTGGCTTAAAACGTGCGTTCCTCAAACCCTCAATGGGCCCTGTGATTGCTTGTTCCCCTCCATGCCACAACCTTCTCAGTAAGCCCCAGTTTAATTTTTGTGGCTTGGGTCCACTTGTGTCATAGCTTGGTGCTAGAATAATGGCTCTTTTCACATGATGCCTATGCTTGTGCTTGAGTTTTATTATTCCGGGTCAAGTAACACCTAATGAGCATGTGAGCATGATTTCTGTAAAGTTGGTGTGTTTTATTTGGCCCCTTTGTATGTGCTTACTTGGCATGACGCGTGGCTGGTAGCATGTATTAGCAGGTCCCACAAATGCCCTTTTGTTCCGATTAAGCCCCTTTTGTATCTTCTTTTCTCTGTTGGGCCAGGAATTAATATGGGCTTAACCCCTTGGATTTTTGGGCCTCAACACCGATATTATCGTCAATATTCTCGATATTTATACGATATGTGTATGGATACATTCCAAAATATCTGTGACCTGAAAAAACAATAATATCCCCAATATTTCGTCGATATTATTAATATTTTAGACTATGGCCACAACCACTCATTTTGCAATTGAATTCCGAACCCATAGAAAGAGGTAACTCGTAAATAGCTAAATCTCCACAAAATTGGAAAGCATTCCAATTGGATTTGGGTTTTGGTCTTCCAGCTACTTCAAGCATTCACACCACACTTAGCCAACCAAATCTGAAGAAGAGAGTAAAGCCAAGAGAAAACACGCAGCTAGCTCCTTCACGCCTCTAGTCCACCCACCAATTGGAAATTCCTTCCCCAATTGGAGAACTCCAAACCCATCAAAATCAGGCTTTCGTGTTTCCTTTTTCTCCATTCAATTTTATTCTCCTAATCCTGTTTGTGTTGCCATTTAAAATAATTTTTTTTCCGGGTGCAGCCAATAACATCAAAATAGGAAACCAACAAAAATTGGGGCTGCTCAACAGAAGGAAACAGGATAACTCTTCTCACGCAGCAGCTCTTGGTTCCAATTGGAGAACCCCATCGTGCTCAGCTCTCATCTCCAATTCAATTTGGGTTTTGTTGATTTCCTACTGTAATTGTATTATTATTCTCTTATTTAAACAACTCTTTGCCATTGTTGCAGGTACAAAAACCTAATTTTTGAAAATTGTATGCAAGGGAGGCGTTCTCTCAAGTTGGAGTTAATTCCCATTGATCAAGAACTTGAGCGTATGGTACGAAAACATCGAAGGGAGCATTTTTCACCAAGACCAGCAGCCATGGCTAATCTAGTCAACAATGGTGGAGATAACCACCACCACAACCAAGGCTTTTAAGGGATTACACTGCACCAGCGGAGTACAATGCACCGTCGTGCATCATCTTGACTCCAATCACACAGCGTTTCGAAATTCGCCCAACAACTATCCAACTTCTACCTAGTTTTCATGGGAAGGAGGAGGAAAATCCCTATCATCATCTCGAGACATTCTTCACCATCTGCTCAACATTCAATTATAAGAGCAAATTCGACTCCGATTGTTCCCATTTTCTCTGAGGGATAAAGCAACAAACTGGTTAGACTCTCTTCTAGAAGCATCTATAAATTCTTGGACTGATTTATCTAAGAAATTTCTTTCAAAAAATTTCCCTGCTCATAAAACCAATGCTTTGATAGCAAATATTGCGAGTTGTCGTCAACAAGAGCGTGAACAATTTCATGAATGCTAGGAGCATTATAAGGATTTGTTTCTTCAATGCCCTCATCATGGTTTCGACATATGGCAAAAAGTTCACTACTTTTATAAAGGGTTGAACCCGCAAAGCAGGAGCATGGTAGATTCAACTGTTGATGGAAGCTTAATGGACATGACTGCAGATGAAGCTATCAGCACATTTGAAACAATTTATGAAAACTCTGAGCATTGGGACTTTCCTACAAAAGATTCAAGAGTTGCACCTACATCATCAACATAGAAAGGAGGCATCTATGAAGTTAGTGCCAACACAAGTTTAGAAGCACAAGTTGCAGCTCTCACAAAACTTCCCATGCCACTGGTACAGAAGGTAACTGCACAACCATGTAATTTATGTGCTAGCATCACCCACGACATGGGTTGGGGGAACTAAAGTATGTCTCGATCTCTTTGCAATTTGCGGATCATTCTGTGAAGTACACAAGAGGCATTGTTGAAGATGTACTTATCCATGTTGATCAACTTATCCTCCCTGCTGACTTTGTCGTCTTGGATATGGAGGAAGCTGAAATTTCGGCTCGTGAACTCCCTCTCATCCTTGGTAGACCCTTCATGGCTACTGCAAGTACGAAAATTGATGTTAAATCTGGTTTACTGACCATGAATGTGCAAGATACTAGTATAAATTTTCAGGTCTTTGAAGCTTTGAAAAGACCCTGGGATCCTTATGATTGTTTTCACGTCGAAGTTGTGGATCAAATTATAGATAAGACATTCATTGAATCAAGCCACACATAACCTATAAAGAATATTGATACTTTGACGGCACAAACCAATACTATTGAGGTGATGTACCTCAATGATCCCCCAGATAAATGAAGATCGTTGAATCTGGCTGAAGACTTTAAATTTAGCGCTTCTTGGGAGGCAACCCATGTTTTGAATGCATGATGATGATGAGAGGATCTTGCGTTTGCAGCACTTCCTACTCGAGATTATATGCCCAGGGAGCTCTAAACCTTACTCTTTACTCTTTATTTTCTTCTTTTAATTTTTTTTAATTTTTACGGGTTTTGTGACTTTAAAACAACTTAACTGCTGAACTACCTATGAACACAAAAGAAACAAAATAAGACTCATACAAGCCAAGAAAACAAAGAGTTTCAAAATGCAGTTTTTGGCAGTTTTGACCCTTGTTCAGATTTTAGCTCATAACTTCCAAACCGCTGGTCCGATTTCAACGTTCTTTATATGGTTATATTCAGCAAAAAATCAAAGAACGCATCGTGAACCAAATTGTTGTAACAGTTACCAATTAAAACAGTTTTGAGCAAAATGAAACCCTACTTTTTCAGACATTAAAAATTTCCAAAACACAAAAACAAGCAATAAAGCAATCATCCCCCCCCCCCCCCTCCCCAAAAAAAAAAAAATTAATTGAAACATTGTCCTCAATGTAAAAAGAATCAAAATGCAATGAATCAAGTAAAGGGAAAAAAATTAAAAGAAGAAAATAAAGAGTAAAGAGTAAGGTTTAGAGCTCCCTGGGCATATAATCTCGAGTAGGAAGTGCTGCAAATGCCAAGATCCTCTCATCATCATCATGCATCCAAAACATGGGTTGCCTCCCAAGAAGCGCTAAATTTAAAGTCTTCAACCAGACTCAACGATCTTCATATATATGGGGGATCATCAAGGTACATCACCTCAATCGTCTTGGTTTGTGCCGACAAAGGTCGAAACTGCCAAAAACTGCATTTTGAAACTCTTTGTTTTCTTGGTTTGTTTGAGTCTTATTTTGTTTCTTTTGTGTTTTTAGGTAGTTCAGCAATTAAGTTGTTGTTTTTAAAGTCACAAAACCCGTAAAAATTCAAAAAAATTCAAAAAAATTATTTACAAAAAATCCCAAAAGATTTTCCTTTTCCTTTTATTGAGTCATTTTAGTTAAGCTTTACACAAGTCAATGATAACACTTGAATTCTACTTGTTAATCATTATGTGAATTTCAAGTGTGATTGGTAATCATTATGTGAATTTCAAGTGTGATTCTTTAGTTAACTTTTTCTTACATGATTATTCTCATGTTTTTCAATGCATAGCCAATTTAATGCAATTTGCTTTTGACTTAGAGAATTATATGTGGATTTTAGTATAAGACTTGTATAACCCTTGTGAGTTTTTTGAGCC